ATCAGTGGTGCAGCGTATTCCTGTCTTTTGACTCCCTATGCACAGTCTGCTGCACAATTCGGTGGACCACAATTAGGAATATCATCGGTGATAATAGGCAGGCAGCCTTCTCTTACTGCAAACGCCTCACTTAGTTTTCCATCGAGGATCGATCACCTGACATGTGTCATTGTCAAATATATCTGTGGAATGAGGATCCACCAAATTATTTCAAATAAATCCTCAGACATCGTCGAAGTATCCGTACTAGGATCTGACATGTGTCAACAGACGCCGAACATCTCAATTCAGTCAATCAACGGGAAAATCAATATTGAAGTAAAAACAAATAAGAACTGATGCGCATTGCAGAACAGGTGGTCCTAATACTCCAAGTGGTCTAGTGGATAACACTTTGTAGTTTCTTACGATCAGTACTAGGTTCGAGTCTCTCAATCGGAGATGCAGGTACATCTAGTTGACGAGTCCCAGATGGGACGAAGTGCGACCACCTGTTCTGGTTTCATTGGACACGTATGCAGCTGAAAATAAAACTATACATTAAAGTAATAAGCATCCTTTAAATAAAAATCAGATGTTTTCAACGGACCACTAACACGACAAAACACAACAAGACAAGTCAGTTATTTCTATTGTTTGTTTTATCATATCAATTTGAATGATTGACGTCAACACTGCCTCATTTTTAAGAATAAACTAAAAGCATATCGTGATATTCATTCAAGAAAATTTCTGTCTAGAAAAAAAACAAAAAGGTAACACGATTAATTATCGACTGTAGGACATTGTAGTAAACAACGAAAATCTACTTAGTGAAAATTATATGTCCATTATTTTTTATGATTGCTTTATGAAACTCATATAATACAGACCAGTGTACGCAACTGGATTAGTAGTCGTAGTAGATGTTGTTGTTGCTGTGTCTGAGATTCATATGCTTTTAGTTTATGAGGTGAGTATTACTCTGATTAACTGACTGATGCAATTGTATAACAGCAGCAGAAATACTCTGGGAAATTTTATGATAAAACAAATCTAGGATGTAATGTAAGTGTCGAATTTGGGCATTGTGGTAAAATGCCATTTCATATTAGATAAGTCTATTTCAAATATCATACGGTCGGTCGGTTTTCGACATAGAACTTTGCACATATGTGCGGCAGTTCAAGTCGCCACACTCCATGTAGCACACAAAGCAAGAGAAGAAAGTAGGAGAAATGCACAATATAGACAGTAAACAGAAGTGTGAGACAAAGGCACAGTAATAACGAAGAACAAAACAGTTTCATTGGAAATCATGAGTCACAAGGAGTGGATGCATCTGCGCCAGCCATTGAGAACGATTTTCAGCCATATCTCCAATTGTTTCCAACCATTGGTTTTTACCGTCCCGAGGACCTCAACCAGTTAGGAAGTCTACACCTTCCTATGTGGCTTAGACTAACTGTTGTGGATTTCACTGACTGGTGCCATGTTTTCGTTTGACCACCGCTAGCTCTTTTCCAGCCTGGCCCTACATCAGCTAACATTGTCCGTCGAAGAAGGCGATGACTAGTTATACGTAACACATGTCCTAACCATCTCAGTCGATGTAATTTCACAGTTTCGTCGACTGATTTCCCCGCCTTACGTAGCACTCGACGCCTAACCTCAATATTGCTCACCTTATTATGCCACTTCACACGGGAGATAGAACGCAGACACCTATGATCAAAGACAGCTAATCTTTTCATATCTTCCGCTCTCATTGGCCACGTCTCACAGCCATATAGGAGGACGGAGCGGACTGTTGAGCAGTACACACGCCCTTTGGTTGATAGTCGGATATCACGTCTACGCCAGAGACGGCGTAAACTGACATATGCGATACTAGCCCTCTGTATTCGTGCTGAGATTTCGTCAGAGATCAACCCGTTGGGGCTGATGGTACTTCCCAAGTATCATACAGTGAATGATGCAGTAATAATAATTGAATGATGTTTCGAGCTCATAATTATACCAGTTTAGTTACATAATTTGTCTTGTATGTATTTTTTCTCTATTTCTCTCTTACTCTTTATCTCCCTCTTCCCCTTGTCGTTTGTTGCTCCTTTCCATATCTCCGGTATAGGAGTTGCGTATTTCCGATTGCGCGTCTGCTGTGTTGAATCGATAAACAAAGATTCAACGACTAGTATTCAAGTGTTGATTTGTACGGATTTGATTTGATTGGTTGCAGGATTTTGTCATGGGCTGATGCAGGTTAGAGAACCATTGGAAAATGTGAGAGTACTGGACAGCTGCTTCGTCTTGTCAGTCTGAAACAAACTAGCAATTGGCATTATTCAGGTAGGCAGTTATCTGGGTTCAAATAAGAAATCGTGACCATTGGGGTAAGGCACGTCGGGTGTAAGAACAGATCGAATCAGGTCCCAGTGGCTTAATGGGACGAGCTCGCATTGTAGCTGAAAGGTCCTGGGTTTGAACCCCATTGATGGGTACGTACTGCCGAAGAGTGCGAAACTAGGATGAAACAAATGTACAGTACTCCCAAGTTTTCCAATGGTTCTCTAACTGATGTCAGCTTATAATGAAATTCAGTAAGCATTTAGTGATTAACTTTTCTGTCTCTTCACCTAACTTTATTACTTTTGAATACTTTCACTCTTTCCCACCCACGCTATTTCGTGATTACATGCAAGTGAATGTAGTGCAATGGCTGAGCTTATTTCTAGATTATTTAACTTAGCCGGGTCAATTATCCTAGATCTAGCTAAATTTTTGTATTCCAATAATGTAGTTGACCTCGATCTACTGATTTGATCCATATAATTGACCTCAAAGTCACTGCAGCATGGTATTTGGTAAATTATATTATTTTGCCAAATTAGATCTATTGGGTCGTTAAGCCGACAAAGTTTATCTCTCGAAGAGTTGATTGGTTTAAATGTCACTCTAGTTCCAGCAGCCTCATTGAGAACTTTACGTAAGGTCTGTGATGTCCCTTCTTTATACGGCAGTACTACAGAGACTATGAATTCTATATTATTTTCATTATTTTCGTCACTTTTATTGCTAGTCTCCTTTTATTCTATGGTTCTTCATATATTTCTGAATAAATTTTGGTGGGTAGTTACTCACTAGTAATACTTCCTTTATTTGTTTGATTTCGTTATTTAGATCTTCTGGCTTATTAGTGAGGCTGTTGGCTCGATTATACATTTAACTAAACCTATCTTCCTTTACCGATTCTGGATGGGATGAATTAAAGTTTATTTATCAGTGTGTCGGTTCCCTATAAATACTAGTGTCTAACCACCCAACATCTTGTTTTCATTTTATTCTACAGTCGATTATGGCCAATTCACCCTGTTCGTTTTGTAACTCAGAAGTGAATTGGATTCTGTCGACTGTTGAGTTATATGTGTGAAAAAAATGGAGGAGATTTGTACCTCAGGTGGCTGATGTTGAATTAGTTGTGCTCTCTGAGCTAGATGATTTAACTGCGAAGCTTTCGTCGTCCAGCTAGACAACAGCTTCAGTGCAGGTTTTAGCATAAAGTGGACTTATTTAAATTCTCCATGAATGATGATGTAATTGTATCTCCTGGCAACCACTGTCGTGACTGCTCGTTAGCTTACGTCTCTATTGATCAATTTTATTTGACTTAGAATTCGAACTTTGTTGTCATGTGATTTACTTTTTATTAGCTGATAAATTCATATTATTATAATAATTTCCTTAGGTTCCAAATGGAACATAGGAATTCAACAACACATCTCCCCCTTCTTCTATTTTCTGCTGTCCTCTTCAGCTGGTTAGCCACAGGATTGACCACAATCTATCATCTCCTTCTCGAACGACCCACTCGTCGTTTCACATTCGGATTCCACTCGAGTGACGGCCTGCATTGCATGTGATGTCATTCGACGACCTCCTCAGTGGCGTATGCCCGATCAATCCATCTCCACTTTCTCCTACATATTTGTTGAGCGATCGCCTCTTGGTTGGTTTGTTCCCAGCCAGCCAGCCAGAGTTTCTTGTTGCTGCTTCTTTCTGCCCAGCTGGCTGGCCATTTCACCTTCAATATGGAACCAGAAAAAGCAGCTGATGATAAAGGTCTGGAACTTGTTGAAAATGCTTTTCGTGACATCTAGTGCAGGTTTCTGACCCGTAAAGAAGCTCTGACTGACTGACTGACTTCACATTTGTGTTGAAAATCCGAATCTGCTTCTTTATTCTGAGGTTGAGTGCAGGGGATTTCCAAATTGGTCTCAGGTTGCAGAAGGCGTGCTTATCTTGTCTTTCCGATTCTGGCCAGCTTCAAAGTCTTCATCCATTCCAACTGTCTGTGACTAAAACCGTGCTTCCTGGCCAAATAAGTGAAGCAAGTAACCTCATTCACATCTCTCTCGTTGATGGTAATTGGTTCTGGTTGCTGTCGCTATTTCTGTTGGTTGGTGATTTTCATCACCTCCGTCCTCACCTTCTCTACGTTCACCCGGAGTCCTGTCTTCACTTCCCTCCACTTCAGACAGTTTGTTGCTTGTCACCTGCAAGTCCACGAGTTTGTCTGACATTAGACATCAGTCAGCAACGCGCGAAATCCAGATTTTCTAGAATCTTCAAATCGGTGGTGGTACTCCTGTCTTTTGACTCCCTATGCACAGTTCAGTCCATAACAATTAGGAATATTATCGGTAAATTTAGGAAATTTGCTGATAACTTTGCTCTGTATTAATATGTTTATTAATCTCTGGATGATTCACTTGAGTGCCAGGCTTCCAGGAATTCCCTGGCATTTTTGGTGTTTCCTCCACTTAAAATATATCTACGATAACCCTTGTTGTTCAATACAACTTTCAGTATTTTCAACTGTTTGTAAAGCCAATTTAGAGTGGTGACAGGGAATTAAATGCAGTGTAGATATATTCCACTGAAGGCCACTGAAGTCGATTCGAAATGCAGAGAATGAATAATACCAATAACAATGATAACAGTATTGCAATATTTTCTCTTACCTTATACGCAAGTAGTAAACGACACTGTTCTTGTTCAATATCATTTAACCAAAGTGTCCATTGATGCAGTAGAAATTGTGTCTCTCTTAATCTACGGCTTACTTCTGATTCTAAACTTGCTAATTCATAATGATTTAAACGTTGAGCAGAACGTGTTACATGTACATTGACAAGACGAGCATGTAAATGTACTGGTAGAACCTATAACAACAAAAAAACACAACAAAAGAAAACGAAGAGAGAAACTGTTATATCAAGGCAGTGGTGATTTCCACTTGCTTATTTATAATTAATAATAATAATAGGCTTATAGTACTGAAATCAATGACATTGTTATTAATTTTATTATCATATTATATTGCTCGATGGTGACTGGCAATTAATTACGGGATATGGGGGCTTGTTGTCTGAATCTGTCTGCATTTCAGTAGTTTTCAGTCCCAAATCACTTTATTACAAGTGTAGAAGAACACTTGAAGATACGTTGCTGGGGTAATTTGACCGAAGTTAAGGAAAATTTTGAAATTCTTCCGGAAACACTGTGGTAATAAGTAATTCCTTATTAGTTTGTTTATTAGATGTATCACACAGTGAGGGAAACAGTATTACTTACTGGATGACGACGTTTCGAACACAATTTATTGTTCATAATCATATCAGTTATAATCACACGACTTCGAAACTTGAGTTTTATAGTCTACTTTGTTCTCTCCTATTTGTTGTCGTAGGGGTAGTAGAATTTTCCAGATGTCTGGGTGGACAGATGTTGAATCAATCCCATTACAGGTATTTGCGATTGATTCGATGAACAAAGCTCTCGTTATCAATCTCTCCCTATACCCTGTTACATTAGATTTTAAAACTGTCGTCTTATCGCATCCTATTGTATGGTATATACACATATAACTACACATATAACCTCTACCTCAACTTTATAGACTTTGAGAAGGCTTTCGACAACGTTGACAGCGAAGTAATTTGGAAACTACTCAAGTACTATGGCGTACCCCAAATATTCATCAACCTTATTCAACAGCTAGCTGTACGACAACGGCACATGTCAAGTGATCCACAACGGAAAACTCAGCGAGGCGTTTCGAGTAAACACAGGAGTCAGACAACGGTGCTTATTATCACCGATGATATTCCTAATTGTGGTGGACTGGATCATGCGTCAGACAGTGGGAAACGACAAAACAGGGATATCCTGGACCGACGTGAAGAACCTAGAAGACCTGGATTTGGCGGATGATTTATGTTTGATGTCACACAAAATCGAAGACTTACAAGCGAAAACCGACAAACTAGTCGAAAGAGGTTACTTCATTCACTTATCTAGGGAGCATTGTCTCAACTACAGACAGTCGGAACGGACGACGATGTCAAATCGAGCGAGAATCGGGAAGGCGAGAAACACTTTCATCAACCTGAAACCAATATGGAAATCTTCGTCACTCAGCCTGCATCAACAACAAAATTCGGATTTTCAATACAAACGTCAAGTCAGTCACTTCTTCTATACGGATCAGAAACTTGGCGGCGGGTCACAAAGAATATTTCCAACAGCCTGTTGCAGACCTTTATCAACAACTGTCTTCACTCTATACTGAAGATCAGATGGCCGGAAAAAATCATCAACAAGAAACTATGGGAAGAAACAAAACAAGAACCAATCGCCAAACAACAAATATGCAGGAGAAAGTGGAGATGGATTGGACACTCACTGAATAGACCGCTGGGTGACATCGCGCCTCAGGCCATAGCTCGAGTGGAACGGGAAAGGGAAGCGGCGAATGGGACGTCGAAGGGTGACATGGAGGAGATCGTGTGAAGAGGAGTTGAAACAGTATGGATTAACATGAATGCAAGTGAAAAGTACAGCAGAAGACAGAAGCAAGTGGAGACGTGCAGTTGAAGCCCTATGTTCCACCAGGAACTTAAGGGAACAATAATAATAATTATATTGCTCGATGGTCACTGGTAACTAATTACGGGATATGGGGGCTTGTTGTCGGAATTTGTCAGCATTTCAGTAGTTTTCAGTCCCAAATCACTTTATTACAAGTGTAGAAGAACACTTGAAGATACGTTGCTGGGGTAGTTTGACCGAAATTAAGGAAAATTTTGAAATTCTTCTGGAAACATAAAACGTGGTCAGTGTACGATCAGTTAACCAGTCCCACAGGGTATGAAGTACAGAGCCCACAAATCACTATCGAGTGTGTAAATGCGTAAAACTTGGGTACTGTGGTAGTAAGTAATTCCATATTAGTTTGTTTACTAGATGTATCACATGGTGAGTGAAACAGTATTATTTACTGGATGACGACGTTTCGAACACAATTTATTGTTCATAATCATATCAGTTATAATCACACAACTTTGAAACTTGAGTTTTATAGTCTACTTTGTTCTCTCCTATTTGTTGTCGTAGGGGTAGTAGAATTTTCCAGATGTCTGGTTGGACAAGTGTTGAATCAATCCCATTACACGTGTTTGCAATTGATTCGATGAACAAAGCTTCCGTTATCAATCTCTCCCTCCACCCTGTTACATTGGATTTTAAAACTGTTATCTTATCGCATCCTATTATATGGCATATACACATATAACTATGCATGTAGAGTATTCATTTGGCAACATCTATCTAATATACGTGTAAAACGTGGACACAGTGGTAGTAAGTAATTCCATATTATATATATATATATAAGGTATAGTAATAATAACAGTAGTAATATTAATGACGACATGCGTATCAAACATGCGGAAGACAACACCAACAATAAGGAATCTTCTATAGTTTGGTTTGTAAGGGTTAGCTATGTTCTACGAGTCGATTACGGACTGATATCAGTTAGAGAACCACTGACCAATGAGGTCCAACTAGATGTCACGTGTGTGGATGGATGTCCCACCAACGACAATGGTTGGGGTCACGCTAAATCACGAATTGGTAGAAGTTAAAATTCATTAGCCATTGAATCGGGTCCCAGTGGCTGAATGGTATACTAGCTTGCCTTGCAACCGGAAGGTCCTGGGTTCTAACCTTGGTGGTGGGTGCGTACTGCCGATGATTCCCAAACTAGGATGAAACAGCAGCTTTCCAGTGCTCCCTGGTTTTCAATGGTTCTCTAACTGATATCAATCCGTGATCAACTCGTAAAATAAGGAATCTAAATCATCAGTAGTAATTCCACACTAGAAAGGAACCTCGTAAACCTTTCGCAGAATTCTTAAGACTGTATAAATTAAAGCGGCTGGCATTCAAACCTACAAACTCAGTTAGAAACAACCTTTGTCGGTTGAAGGGTCCTGTGGAATAGCCCATTAAACAAAACATCTATCAAAAGAGATGCTACGTTCAGCGATATCATGGTTTTGTCATTTATATTAATAACTTTAATTCTGTCTATGAATCCAAATACATCTTTCATACTATATTTTACTAGCTTTATGGATCAGAGACTTGGCGCCGCGTTACGAAGGGCACTTCGAACAAACTAGAGACCTTCATCAACAACTGTGTTCGCTCAGTACTTCTCTCAAGATCAGATGGCCGGCCACAAAAGATCAGCAGCAGGGTGGGATCTCTAGCAATGAACGAATCAACCCAGCAGGATCTAACTGTGCAACAAATAAGCATGAAGAAATGGAGGTGGATTGGAGGCCATACTCTGAGAAAACAAACCATCAGGAGACATCACACGACAGGCCATCACTCAAGAGGAAGCCGAAAGGAAAGTGACGAGTTGGTCATCAGTGTAAGGGTGACATGGAGGAGGTCATGCGAAGAGAATATGAAAGCATACGGGCAGACGTGGAGCAAGGTGAAAACCTTGGTGGAGAACCGAACGCAATGGAGACGTGCAGCTGAAGCCCTATGTTCTTCTAGGAACTAAAGGAAACAACAACAATAATAATCACTAGCTGTTCACGTTCTTTCTTCATTATACAATCTTTTAAATATTCACTTTATTGAAAATTGAAAGACATCCATGTATAACATTTCTTGTTACATTGTAAAGTACCAGCAGTTGATGATGTCGCAGAAGATCGAATCAACTGCTTGTCAGACAGCACTGACTTAAAATATGAATCACTTGAAAAAAATTAAAGAAGACATACCAAATTATCATAATATCCCACATAGTCCAACATTTCCTGCGATAACAACCGATCCAAATGTGCCGAAGCTTGAGTAACAATGAGGAGGGCGAGGACACTGGCGCACAGTTTACGAATTGTACTGGGTTGCATAATCTGTTAACAGTAAAATCAATAAATTTTAGCATTTGGCAGTAAGTATTACATTATGAGGTGTACAGGTCAAATAAAGCCAAAAAAATATTTTTAGTTAAGACGACGGTGCCACCAAGTAACTCACAACACAAAGCTTAGCGAAGCCTTTGTAGTGAAGACATAAATAAGTCAGTCATTCAAGGCGCCCTACATTCGCCGATGATCTCCTTGATGGTGGTGGGCTGCATCACTTAACAGACTGTGAGGAATGAGAGGATGAGAGTCTGTTGGAACAACTAAAATACTCTAAAGAAAAATATAGACATCATGGATACCGAATGTCTAATGTCATACAAATTCGAAAATTTAGAAGTGAATATACCAACAAGCTGACAGAAGAGGCAGAGAAGATGGGACTTCAACTGAACTTAAAGAAGAAGAAGATGATGATGATGATGATGAAGGTACCCCACAACTAACAAGAACAACAAGCACCAATCACTAACAACGGCAGAAATCTAAGACAAGCCATTACTGTCACTTATCTAGGTACCATCATTTACAAATACAAGCGGAATAGATGGAGATGTCAAAGCCAGTTGCTATCGCTAAGACAAGACAGACCTTCAATATTCTTAAACCAATGTGGAAATATAGTCCACTAAGCATGAAGAACAAGATTAGGATCTGTATAGTTCAGAGACTTGACACGTATGTCAACAAAAGCATTCCCACCAGGGTGTAAACTGTCATCAGCAGTTACCTTCACTCCACACTGAAGGTCATATGGCCAGTCTGATAAGATAAGCGACAAGGAACTCTCATAGTACAGTGAACCAATCAAGGACCTATCACCCAACAAATATCCCGAAGGAAATGGAGATTGATCGGACACACGATGAGTAGACTGTTGAGTAACATCATACCCCAAGCCATTGCTCTAATGGAACCCGAATGGGAAAAGACGAGTTGAGCATATGTCCAAGGGTGACATGGAGGAGATCACGTGAAGAGGAGATGAATGCTTGTAGACAATCGTGAAGCCAGCTAAAGGGGACTGTAGAGAACTGGACAGAATGAAGATGTAGTGTTGGAACCCTATGTTTCACTTGTAACTTAATAGAATAATAATAATAATAATAATAGGTGATTGGAATAATAATTTATTTTAACAGGTGGTCTGATTTTCGAGCAGTTTAAAATAATTATAATTACAACTTTCACTTCAAATACCATTCAAATTATCTGAACATATTGATTTTTATTATTTCACATTTGATCGGACGATATGATATTCCACTTTCACTCTGAGATGCCTACTCTCTTATGAATATAACCTTGACACTTATACGTCTAACCGGTGAAATAATTAATTCTAGGTGAAACAGAATTATATGCTACAAATCTACGTTTTTTTTTTCTCATTAAACTATTTTCTTTAAAATGTGTATTTTACATCTCTAAGAGATTAGATGTAGTGAAAGATAATCTGGCCATGCGTAAATAAACTTATTTGGTTGTTCTTACTCAACCTACAAATTGAAACGTATCTTTGAAGAAGTGCTTGACCATTAGCCTTCTTACACAGATGCTAAAGTTTCCGCTAACCATCATGCTAAGAGATGATACTGTGATTTAGGTATGTAACTTACACCGTCTCTGGCGTAGGCGTGACATCCGGCTATCAACCAAGGTACGTGTGTACTGCTCATCAGTTCGCTCCGTCCTTCTCTATGGCGATGAGACGTGGCCATTGAGAGCGGAAGACATGAAGAGATTGTCTGTTTTTGACCACAGATGTTTACGATCTCTTTCTCGCGTTATGTGGTATAATAAGCTAAGTAATGTTGACGTTAGGCGTAGAGTGTTGGGCAAAGAGGGAAAATCAATCGAAGAGGCTATAGAGTCACATAGATTGAGATGGCTAGGTCACGTGCTGAGCATGCCTAACCATCGCCTCCCCCGACGGACGGGCATTACTAGCTGATATAGGTGCAGGTTGGAAAAGAGTAAGTGGTGGCCAAACAAAAACATGGCCTCATCAATCCATGAAATCCCTGACAGTTAAACTGAGTCAGGTAGGGAGATGCAGACTTCCGGGTTGGGGCCCTTGGGACCCTAAGAAACAATGGCTGGAGACAATAGGTGACATGGCTCAAAATCGTTGTCAATAGCGGAGATGTATTCAGTCTCTTTAACCTTCATATTCCTTTCTACCATTACTCATTCTGTTTCTCTCTTATACTTATCTAAATTCTATTGATTCTCTTCTCTCATTTTCCTGTCTACCTTTGTGTGCTATTTGGAACGCGGCAACTCGAACTGCTGCACTTCGGTGCCAAGTTCTATATTGAATCCAGCAGCAGCAGTTTAGATATGTTTAAGATCTGACTCAGGGCTATAATCCTAAACATGTCCAGATCATCCTATCATTTCATAGCACTGTTGGTTAGCTGAAACGTCGGCACTTGTTGAAAAGTTGATGCTGAAGCACTCCTTCAAGGATATGTTTGAATTTGTGGATTCAATATGTTAGGTGAATGTATTTGTGTTAACATTGGTAGAACAAAAGGGAGGGCATACCTCCAATTTTCTGAACATGTACCAAAAAGCCTATGTCTTAAGGGAACAAATGCTTTCAACGGTGCCATCGCCAGGCACCTCTTTAACATGGGTCATGAAGTGGACATCACAAGATCGTTCAAAATTATCAATAGGCAAAAGAGTTTAATACTCCTTAAGTTTGCCTAAGCGATCTCCATCAAGAGACTGAAACCTGATTTATGTATTCAGAGAGAAGCGGATATCAGTCTTTCCTTGCCCTGCCTGGCAACTGGATATTTTCATACTCTCTTCCATCTGATTACGTAATGCCGGAAGTTTCCATTGTGCATGAACATTATTGTTCGGAATAGTGTTTAATATTACTTAATTATACATATATATATATGTATATTGTATGCATATATTGATTGATTGATGTTTAAAAATGAACTCTGAGCAAGTATTTTAAAATTCTTTCTGTAGATTTACTTAATAATGACTTTGGTCTGCAAGCAACTGTGCTGATGAGAAACCAACGAAATAAACAATGATGGTACCATTTGATTCTGTAAAAACTGTTGTTCTTGCTTTATTCAAACTATGGCTTCGTTGAACATATTCGCCCTATTCACCAATGTCCCCTTATTCAGTTGTATAAACCAATATTTTAAATTTTAAAAAATTACAACAGTAAAGGTAAGAATAACTGTTTTCAATTACTCACTATTTGAAATGCATGTTTGAAACCTTTACGAAGTTTACTTCGTTCCGCAAGTCGACGTCGAAGGCCTATGAAATTGGCAATTTGTAAAAAAAACAATAACAACGGCAGTTCAGTATACCAAGTATAGTTAACAGACAGTCAACTCTTGTATTCTAACCATCCCTCTTTACTGCTCCCCATTAATATTTCCTGGACTACTTAAGAAAGATTTTGCTTTGCTGCGTAGGGCACTAAAAGCTGTTAGTAGGGCAAGTGGAATTTCGTTAAACCAACTGGTTAACACCATTGTGGATAGACATATAATGTCATGTAAGAAACTAGCGAATACTATATTGTCAGACCACGAACACCCTCTCCATACGCAGCTCTCTCCTTGCATTTCATCTGGTAGAACTAGAAGCAACTATAGGAGGCTATATGCTAGGACTACCAAGTACAAAATCTCCACAATACCTTATCTGGCACAGCTGTTATGTGATGAGAAGACTGTTAGGCATGACACGATCAACTTACTGCGGCACTCTAACAAATAGTTCCCATGAGCTTTTGTTCTCCTTTCTTTGTTACTATTATATTGTTGCTCACACATTCTATTACACACTAATTTTATATTTCATATCCTTTGGTGCATTGTTTAAAATGTGAATGCAATGCTGTTCTTTTTTATTTTTAAAATCTTATAAAATTTATGAGGTAATTAGATGCAATATTGCAATGCACGCTGAAAATTCCATACCTGTACCACAAATACTGTTTGGAATAAAGCTGTTATTATTATTACAAATGGAGAAGAAAAATACTCCAGTTAGACCTAGTATTACTGCCTAAACGTCTTAGTTGTTATAAATCCTGTGAAGTTACTAATCAACTAGGCTCTATTGATCTAAAAATACTTTGACTGAACACTAATTGGTAACTAGTATCATGCGTCTAGTCTTCAGCGTTGGCGTAGACTGAATTCTATCAGTCAAGTGTGACCAGCATGCTGGATGGTTCGCCGTCATGGTGAATTGCTGTTATTAGATGGTAAGAGGCAATTGGCAGGAAGCCTTGGATCTAGGCGAGTCACAAGTCCGAATAGCAGCTCAGTGATAACGCCTCTAACTGCAGCACTGGATGACACGTATTCAAATCTCAGAAGGGAGGTGGAGTTGTTCCTTAGAGATAGCAGATACACCTTTATGACTACTGGTGAGTGCCAACAAGCACGAAACCTAGGACAAGCGAAGCTTCTAATTGCCTCCAACCATCAAATAATCTTAAAAAAACACCGAAAATCGAAGGAGTATTTTGAAAGGAAACATGTTGAACTATAAAAATCAGCAGGAGGTTTGTTCCTCCTTAACAAGTAACTTTCATCGTAGGCGCGTTAATGAAGGGATGCATTAAGACAATCGGCTTGGAATATGTTAACCAACGTGTCACATGTAGAACTCCAGGTCTGATGATGAGAATTCATTGACTGTGTATTGTATGACAGTCCGGACCACACGAATTTGTGCTACCAAAAGTCGAATTCATAATTTACTAATTACTTAGCAATCTGCAATGAAAACAGTTCGAGGTGTGTGGTACTCAGTTGATGAGCTCAGCGTTGAAGGAGTGAAACAACCTTTCGGTGTTTAGATCACCTCAATCCGGCTGGTTAGCAAGCAATAATGGTTGTTATGAGTGGTATGCAACTACTCATCTTAACCACTGAGTAGTATATAGTCTTATGCATATACGCACAATTCGATAAATAACTAATATAGTTGTTATATTATCTCTGTTATATCTATCTTATATGCATGATAGTTTATTAACTGGCCATCATATATATAAAATATGTATTTGATAGTCACTTGTTCTGTCTTCTTATGCCTTTTTACTGGTAAAAGCTTCACTTGTCGCAAACAGGTATCAGTTTGGTTACATCGTATTATCATTAATTCCTTGAGCTCCGACTGGAACATACGGTTTCAATAACACATCTCCACATCGGTCTATTTTCTGCCGTCCTCTTCAGCTGGTTAGCCACACGATTGACCATAATCTCTCATCTCCTCCTCGAACGACCCACTCGTCGTTTTTTCATTCGGATTCCACTCAAGCGATGGCCTGCATTGCATGTGATGTCATTCGATGACCTCCTCAGTGGCGTATGCCCGATCAATCCATCTCCATTTTCTCCTACATATTTTTTGAGCTATCTATCACCTCTTGGTTGGTTTGTTTCCAGCCAAACACAGTTTCTTGTCGCCGATTCTATCTAGCCGGCTGGCTTTCCATTTCATCTTCATTGTGGAGCCAGCGAAGGCAGCTGTTGATAAAATTCTGTTGGAAATGCTTTCCGTGATACGCTGGTCAAGTTTCTGACCCATGTAGAAGCTCTAACTGACCAACTGACTTCATATTTGTGTTTGAAACTCAGAAAATTCTTCTTTATGCCACGGACTGCAGGGGATTTCTAAACTGGTTTCAGGTTGATGAAGGCGTGTGTATTTTGCCTTTCCGATTCAAGCCCTCCTGGATATCTTCATCCGTGCCGTGTGCCCGTGGTTGAAACCATACTTCAAATGATATCCTCTCTTGTACATCATAAATATATATATTTCAGATTACAGGATTTGTAGGGAATTCGGATTAGTTTCAACGATAACAATTTGCGTCACAAAATAACATCAGTTAGAGAGATCACAGAAAGCCAAGGAACACTGGACAGCTGTTTCGTCCTATTCTGGGACTCTTCGGAAGTACAAACCCACTGTCCCACCAAGAATAGAATCTCGCGCATTTAGCTTTCGAGACTGAATTCAATGACCATTCAGCCACTTGGGCACCTGGGCTACCCTCACCAGCAATGGCTTCAATGAGCATTGACTTCACCAAGACATAGCAGACCAGTTTAACTGGTCACGAATTCTTACTGCAACCTCAGGAAATCCATCCAATAACCATCACTTTATAAACCAGTTTAAAAAGTTAATCAGTTTGAAATAATTAAGCAAAATTTAAATTCTTAAAAATAGTGTCTACCTTCTTCAGTTAAATCGATAAATACAACATCACCGTATAGAATACGTTCAGCAGTATCTACAGTATGCAGTACACGGTGTATAAGCCATAAAGCATCCAAAAATAATGCAGCGCCTAAAACATGTACCCAGCCTAAATCAAAATTTGAAAATATCCAATTGTCTTCACTGTTTGATGTAGTTGAATCACCGTCAGTATCACCATAACCATTTAAATTATTATTATTATTATTAGCATGTGTTCCATTAGAAGATGATGTCTGTTGTGAATTGATATCACTACTGATCGGTTTATCCAAGAATTCGCCAGCTTCATCTAGATTGGTTAATGAGTCCTGAACACTATTGGGTGACCAGAATTCTCCGCTTGTCTCCTAAACAGGGAAAAAATGAAAACAAATCAAGCAAATAAATAAGTGGGCATTGTGATGACAGCAGTGGATTTAAGGTACAACTGTGTGGAACCAATATTAAGTTAGAGAAACACTGTAGACTATTGAGAACTAGACAGCTTATTTGCTCTCTTTTGTGAGATAATTCAAGAGTGTGAAGCTCCAATCCCATAAGGGATAGACTCTGCAGGACCGTCATGATTAGCACATTACCGCTGATGCCAATGATTTGGAATTCACTGACTCTTAAATTCTAACTTCAAATAGTTCACAGTTTAACGTCACCACCTATCAACGTCACAAGATGTTGATTGTTGATGAATATCAAAATGTGTAAAGCGATTAGTTCCCTTTATGAATTTCGACAACACAACAAGATGTAGTTAATCTGAAACGTATAATATGTATTTGAGCAACACAATTCGGACATTCTGATCACACACACACACGTATTTGTCATGCATAGTTTTTATAGAAGGCATGAATAATTACAATCAGGGTCAGATTGTGTACAGGTCAAGGTCACAAATAATGGGTAGGGAGACGCAGAGGTGTGGGTAAGGAAGATAAAAAGACCAACATAACCAACTAATGACTTCTACACCACCCCTTACTTATATTTTCAACCCGTCTCTTATCATCCCTTAATCGCATCACATCTTCATTAAAAAAGTGTTTCATTTCCTTCCCTTACAATCTAACATTACTTAATCGGTTCATTTGTTTTTACTAGCCTTTATCGACTACTTCCACCCGAACATGTGTTTGTTTAATCATGCTGTTTTTCATTATTCGTGTTATCACAGATTGCCGCATTTTTTCATCCCCATCATTGATAAAACCATTATTATTATTATTATCATCATTACTACTATTATGACTAATTGCACAATTTATATTCACCATCTTATTATCCTATAGACAAATCACCGTGATTGGTTTATATTTGAATTTTTATTTGTAAACTTATGTATATTAGAGTTAAGCCTGATGAGATCTAATTGGAAACAATATTGTTCGCTTAAATGTGTTGATCTAAAAAGAGAAAAAACAAAGCAAAGAAGGGGTTGAAAATATTATGAAATAAATTGGTCCTCGGTTCTAAATTCAGTTACCAAGGCAGGTTTAAAGTAATAACAAATAACTTTTGGACACATAAGACAGGTTTAAGTCTTTTTATGGCTAAGGCTTCAATGAATTTAAGTATATGGCCCAACCTTGTTTTATATATGGGCTTAAAGGCATTGTTGAAATCAACCTTATGACTTGTCTCTATCATGTGCTTCGCTATAGATGATGTTGGACATCTGTTTCCGGGGTCAATTCTGTCTGGCTATTTTATTTGTTGTTTCAACGAAGCACATTATAGAGACAGGTCATAAGGTTGATTTCAACAATGCCTTTAAGTCCATCGGTCGGTCGGTTTCCGACATAGAACTTTGCACATATGTGTGGCAGTTCAAGTCGCCACACTCCATGTAGCATACAAAGCAAGAGAAGAAAGTAGGAGAAATGCATATTAGAGAAAGTAAACAGAGGTGTGAGACAAAGGAATCGTAATAAAGGAGAATAATAGTAATAATAGTAATAACGGAGAACAAAACAGTTTCATTGGAAATCATAAGTCACAAGGAGTGGATGCATCTACGCCACTGAGAACGATTTTGAGCCATGTCACCAATTGTTTCCAACCATTGGTTTTTATCGTCCCGAGGACTCCAACCAGGAAGCCAGTCTACACCTTCCTACGTGGCTTAGACTAACTGTTGTGGATTTCATCGACTGGTGCCATGTTTTCGTTTGACCACCACTAGTTCTTTTCCAGCCTGGCCCTATATCAGCTAACATTGCTCGTCGAGGAAGGCGATGACTAGGCATACGTAACACATGTCCTAATCTTCTCAGTCGATGTAATTTCACAGTCTCGTCGACTGATTTCCCCGCCTTACCTAGCACTCGACGCCTAACCTCAATATTGCTCACCTTTAAGTCCATATATAAAACAAGGTTGGGTCACATACTTAAATTCATTGAAGCCTTAACCATAAAAAGACTTAAACCTGTCTTATGTTTCCAAAAGTTATTTGTTATTACTTTAAACCTGCCTTGGTAATCCAATTTAGAACCAAGGACCAATTTACTTCATAATATTTTCAGTACCTTCTTTTGCTTTATTTTTTCCCTTGCGTCATCTCGCTACCCACTATTTGTGACCTTGACCTGTACACAATCTGAATCTGATTGTAATTATTCATGCCTTCTTGCCTTCTACAAAAACTGCGTATGACAAGTACGTGTGTGTGTGTGTGTGTGTGATCAGAATGTCCGAAATGTGTTGCTCAAATACACATTACACGTTTCAGATAAACTACGTCTTCTTATTGTGTTGTCAAACATCAAAATAAGCAGAAACATTTATCACTGCTGTCTACCATTCAACGGTCCTCCAGTTAGTATCAACTCTTGACGAAATCAACTTAGAAATAGATAATATTTATCAGTGTAACCGATTAGTCTCACAATGAATACAATAAAAGTTTACAGAGAAGGTTGTAATTTTTATTTTTGAAGAATCACAAAAATTAAGCAAATATTTGCATAACTGATGCATATATGTTCACAAGTTGAGCAAATAATTCGTCCTCTCTGTCAATCTTCTTTTTGTTTGTATACTAATTTTTAGAATGAAAACCAGAATTATCGGATCAGTAGTGCTTTTGTAGTGGATGACAATTAGATCAATCATTATTTATTCAAAAAAAATATAGACATATCTTATTATTATTGTTTTGCGACGATGCTTCTTAGGTAGGTGGTAAAGGAAATGGCTTCTTTCAGAATCCTCCCATTTATGCTGATTGTTGTCTGTTGTTGTTGCTGTTGCGCCTGGCGAGGAATCTTCATCACTTCTGTTTTCTCTATATTCACCTGAAGTCCTGTCTTCTCCGGATGCTTTTCACTCGGGTATCTTCAAGTTTGTGGGGAATCAGACATATATCGGCGAAGTCCAGATCCTCCAAGTGTTTTGTATAGGTCCATTTTATGCCTGTTTCCTCACTGCCCGTTGTCTGCCACACTATCCAGTTTACCACCAACAATCAGGAAAATCATTGGAGGTAGTAGGTAGCCAGCTTGTTTTACTATCGTTTTCACTTTGAAGGATTCCGTGAGTTTCTCGTTGTGGATTACTTGGCATGCACAATTCTCGTAGAACTGTTGAACATATCTGGAACTTGTAAACTTGGAGACAGAGTTAGAATTTATTGCCGAAGAGCTAAAATTCTTTGCGATTTACCGACTACGGGTCTTTACTTCGGAATCATGTGGCTGACTAATGCATCAATAAATTTAGGGTATCAAGCTTGAGAGCCAGTGAAAATGAGTAAGTTTGAACAGCTGCTTCATTCTAGTTTGAGGCTCTTCAGAAGAATGCAGCCAAGACCCTACCTTCAGTTTAAGAAGCGACAGCCTAAGATGCAGTTCAATGACACATGAATTCCAACTTCTGTTGAGTTGTGATACATAGAGCGACCTCAAGCCGATGTCATAGGTGATTATTTGTCTTCACAAAGGAATTGATAAACCTCACTAGTTACAGCTTCTAGCGAGAGGTCTACTAGTGAGTGTTAGATTTATTTTCAAGGGATTTCATTGATGATTTCGAGTTATACCACGAACTTACATCAGTTAGAGAAGCACTGAAAAACGGAGAGTATTGAATAGCTGTTTCGTCACAGTCTGACGCATAAATAAACCGTTTACATCATCCGGTAACCGACAAAATGCAGCAGACGATTTCTACTATAGGAAATATGCCAAAACAATGCCATTTGAAGGAATCTAATGTTTAAATGATAAACTGTTTCATACTTAAGGCAGAGCCGAAATAAAGCTGACTTGAACGAATTTTCCTGTAGGTTTTAACATGTCAGAAACACAACTGGATATTGGTTTGACTAAAAGAAGTTGCCATAATAGTGTAAATCATTTACATTCTGTGGGAGATCTCAGACTGAAGTTGTACTCCTGACAAATACGGAAGTAAAAGCAGTAAGGTGTTTCCTTCAAATAAACAGCAAGCTAGCTATACTAGCTATCTCTCTCTCTCTCTAGAGAGAGAGAGAGTGGGCTAGAAAACAGATCGTGTGCAACCAGCTTCAAGTAGTTGTATCTTGGGCTCTGTGGTCACGCAACAATAATATACCTTCTGTTTTAACCACCCTAAGAAGAAATCAACCACAAACTTCCATTAGCTCAAGAAAACCTTCCTAACCATCACTTATCTTCACTCCGAAATATTCGTAATCTAGGCTGTCAATATTTACAGCTAGCTATACTGACTTATCATAACTGTAAACTAGCCGACCATAAAATCCAATCGTATTCGTAAAAAATTTGCTAAACTGTATAATAGCTCACTCTGAACACCTAAGTGATAAGGGAAAAATATTTTCTGTCAACTCAAGTGTGCGTAAGACGGTTAAACGAGTAAATATTAACTTTTTGGCTAAATATAGTAAATATACAGTTTATTCATCGAAATTTTGCAATGGTCAACAAAAAGTAAGACGGAAGTAGCAAATTAAGACAGTCACACTACAGATTCCACATGACATCAAGTTTTTTTTTACGAATTTAGTCAACTGATTCAAGAACATTTCATCACAGATGTTGATGATTAACGAATGGGAAGTAAGCAAACGATTTTAGAGCACAGTCATTTGTCCATTTCATGGGATTTATTAAACTATTACTATTAATATTATTATTCCCTAAGGTTGCGAGTCAAACACAAGGCTCCTGATGCAATCTCCTTCATGTTACCCTTGCAAAGAAGGCCCAACTTGTCATTTTCTACTCGAGTTACACTCAAGAGATGGTCTGGTATACGACATCACTCAACAGTCTTCTTAGCGTATGTCCAATCCTTGTCCACTTCCTTAGGAATATTTACTATGTTCTCGGTTGGTTCATTCCCAGAGTTCCGTGGTGCTAATTGTCTCCAGCCTGTGATCTGATCTTAAGCATGGAGCAAGAGAAGGCAGCTGTCGATAAACGTATGCAGTAGCCTGTTCCAAATGCTTTTCGTGACGCACTAAGATTCTGACCCATATAAAAGAACTGACTGACTTAACATTGGTGTTGAAAATCCGAATTTTGTTCCTTGTGATGAGTGCAGCAGATGTCAAAACCGCTATCAGAGTAATGAAGGTCTACCTTACCGTCACAACACTGCTTGGTTTTGACGTCATGCCACATGTAGTTGAAATGATGGTGTCTACTTAGAATTTTTTCCGTTGAAAGTGATCAGTGCAGAAGGTTGAATCAATCAATTATTGATTTATATTTTTAAACTGCTCATTTTTATTTCTTGATGGAACTGATCGATTTTATTTTGTTACATAAAATCTATGAAGAAAAAACTTCAAGTGTGTGCAGATAACATCAAAATCATACTAGTTCTCCAAGAATTGGCTTTCATGCTTTATCAGCTTAGTGGGTTGAGTTATAATGTTTGAAACAGCGACTACTGAGTCACAATCTCAGTGAGAATATACCCAAGGTAGGTCTCACCACTGTCTCCTAATCAAAATCACAACTAGCTGCAGTCAAACGGGAAAAGTGAAATTATTTCAAATTAGTATATATATCAAACTTACAATATCTATCGGTTGTGGTACAAACGGTGCATAAACTGGTCCATATTCTGGTTCATCAATATCGGATAATGTCCCGTGGGTTGCTGAAGTTCTTTTTATTGTCGGTGTAGGTATAACAAATTGTTCTGGTTCTAATGATGGTAAATTTATAGGCAATGAAAGTTGTGGTGTTTGTAGATTGTTTAGATTAGTTTCTGGTGAGATCAGTTTAGCCCAAGCCAAGAATGAACGTGTTGGATCATTTGGATCTGGAGTAAGAGCTCGCAGACGAACAATCTCGGAATAGATAATACGAGCACCTAAAATTATTATTAAAATATATATTTAGAAAGATATGAATGAGGTTTAATAAAAATTTTTATGAATGGTGTTTAGCTTAGTTAATACCACAAAAATGTTTATCGAAATGACACTCATAAATAGGACAAATAATCCAAGTATAAAATTTTAAAGATAGCAGTAGTTCCTGAGAGAATCGCTCACTACTTCTGAAACTGAGTATTTTATGAATATATCTAATAATATCAGTCTGAGTATTACCTTTAATACAGCTTCCTCACGTGAACATATACATATATATGTGTATATTCATACATAAGTTCAAAACGAAAGCATCCACAATTCATCTCTGATATGTATTTGAACAAATAATTCTTCAAAATACTTCCAAGTGACTTATTCAAAGCTAATACTTTTACAACAAAACTTATACTACTTATAAGTAAGTCATTTGGATAGAAGGAAGTTTCTGACCTCAATGCATAGCCAGAGACATATATCCAGACATATGAGTATGATTCTCAAGTTGTTCAAGGGATTCTTGATGAAAATATTCTAATTGGTTTATCAGACAATGTCATAGACAGACTCCTTTTGCATTTGGCTGGGATGAAACTGTTACAAAGTAGGAACTATCCCCCTCCAAGTTGACTTTTCATAAGTAGATCTGTCTGTTGAAGTGAATATATTTATGGTGTCTAGTGTTGGTTTGTACGGATTTGATTGGTTTCAGGTTTGATGACAAGCTGACGTCATTTAAAGCAGTTTTTGAAAAATCAGGGAGTACTGGACAGGTGTTTCATCCTAGTTCAGGTTAGCATCTACCAAATCAAGTAGGAGGACAGTTAGTCGACGACGACATTGGCTGGCGATTGTGTTATACATCACGAATTGGCAGATATTCAAGATTTCTAGTCGTATAAATATTCTACGGTCTGCGTACTCATAATATTTTAAAATTTTCACCATGGAAAATGTATGTTATATGTGTTAATGTGTACTTTTATGGAAATTGTCTTGTAATTTTTCCTATGATCCAATGTGTATATATTCCGTGATCACACATCAAATGGAATGGGTAATTATTTTCTGCCACTATGTTTATGTGTTTGTGTGTACCTTAACCTTATGAATTGATTTAAACAGTCAGTTTACAGTTTGTACAGATTCTGATTACTTTCCGTGCGTTGGTGGAACAGCCGTTAGGAATCTTGTCGACCATATATATAGTCTGGGGTTCGATCCCTCGCCGACATACACCTGATATCAATGGTCGGCCTGCAAAATTTGGGCTAGCGATATCACATCCTGAAAATTTCATACTTGTACCAGAAAATACAGTGTGGAATCAAGTTATAATCAAAATTTAAACTAAAATTAATTTCTTCATGAACCAACTTCAATAAGAAAATCATCGAGAGCCAGGGAACACTTGACTGCTGCACCAAACTAGTTTGGAACTTTTCAGCAGTATGCATCAACGATCGAACCAATAACCCGCAGGTTTTGAAGCGACCACGTTGCCCATTCAGCTACATTGAAGTAAATAATCATGTCTGAAGAGTATTCAGCTGACGAATGCTTTCGAAATTTATGAATTCACTAAATCCTGCTTTTTTTCTGTTTATTTAGGTGGTCACGAACTGAGTTAATTTTCCTACGTGACGTGTCTCTAAGCCAGAAATTTGACCCTAACGAAGATTAAAGGTCAGGTCAGTAAGTGGTTCATTGGTATTTATGCTAATCGGAGAAAATTGTCTTAAACTTTTGATTTATTGGTTGTGTAAAATAGCTATATAAATAGGAAATAAAAATCTTCAAGTAGCCATTCGGCCTTCTACGCCTTCTTAGTGGAACAGCCAATGGCAGCCAAGTGATCAATAGTATTTTGTTGTCGTGCATTAAGGTTCCAGTTACAACATTTTCACACTTACCGCTCATTTCAAATTTTCAGGCATTAGTTTGTAGAGATTTGAGTTTGATCATGGATTGCCAGAGAACCATTGAAGAGCCCCAAAGTGCGACGAAACACCTGTCCAGTACTCTCACCTGGTTTTCAACCATTCTCTCACAAATAATAATCAAATCCCTACCGATTAACTCTTGAAAATTAATCCCATGCTTGTCAGTCAGTGATTAGCTTCAGGACAGCGTTACCTTGACTTCTATTAAGGAGTTGTAACCGATAGGGTTCACTGGTTCGGAAGTAGGTAGAAATACTTGCCTATGACATTGGCTGTAGTCGTACTAACAGTACAAATTGGTAGAAATTGGAATCCACAGGTCGCTGGACCGGTCCCTAGTGGTTGAATGGTCTACGAGACCGCCTTGTAACTGGAATCTCCTTGGTTCGAACCCCAAAGGATGATTGCTGATGAAAAACTAGGGCGAATCAACTGTTCAGCATTTCAGATTCATTATCAGTAATCATTTTAAGAAAGTATAAACTACTTTTCTAGGAATGGAGGGAAAAATATATTATATTCATGCAAAATGCAATGAATTACAGTAATCAATAAAAAATAAAAAATCACCTGTAAGCCAATCAGAACTTCCTAAAGCTTTTTCAGTTTCAACTAAATCAGCCTGAAGACGATTCATAGCCCATTCAGCTGTCTCATTGAATGTAATCAAACCCTCAGCTAATTGTAATGCTGATGCTGTAGCCGTAGCTCTTGCTAGTTCAGCAACTGCTTGTGATAAGAGTACTCGACTACGTCTAGATGCTGCTAGACTTGATACAGAATCTAATCGCTACATTAAAAAAGTATGAGAAAAAAAATAAGGATATATTAAACACATATCAACTATGTTAAAGTTAAATTGAGAAAAAGGTTATCTGTACTAAGTCACTGAATCAATATATTCATATCACCCGGAATCGGTAAAGACAGGTTTAGTTAAAGACCCACTGGACACAATTAAACAAACCAATATAATTTACAAAATACCTTGCAATGACTGTGAGTTAAGTCAACTATATAGGTGAAACTAGTAGATCAGGAGTAGTGAGATTATCAGAACATTAGAATTTAGCTTAGGTTAGACCGATCAAAAAATAGCCAGCCAGCCATTAAGAATTAGCAACAAACCAACCAAGAGCCAACTGCTCAACAAATGTGTAGGAGAAAATGGAGATGGATCGGACATACGTTGAGGAGGCCGTCGAATGACATCGTGCTCAATACAGGCCATTGCTTGAATGGAACCCATATGGGAATCGATGCGTGGGTTGTCAGTGTGAGGGTGACATGGAGGAGATTGTTTGGGGAGGAGGAGAAAAGAAATTATGAGCATTTGTGTGGCCAGCCAGTTGGTGGGGACGGTAGAAAATAGAAGAAAGTGGAGATGTGTTGTTGAAGCCTTAGGTCCCACTCGGAACCCAAGGGAATAATAATAATACTTTGGATTCATCTGATTGGTCGATAAGGGTTTATAAGATCATTATGACGGTGGTTCATTTGGATCGCTAAAGTTTAGAGTTACCCAGTAAATTCATAAATGGAATGAAACGTGAATTATCAGAGGATAAAAGTTAGAACTCCTACTTCATCAAATAAAGGCATCAGTGAGTGGATGTAGCGGAACTCAAGGGAGCTACTGTGTTCCTATTGCCATCTCAGACTCCAGGACGTTATTCGGTCTCTTAATGAATTGTCAGTTAGATTCTGAGGAGTTAGCATTAACTGCTGATACGAGATTTTGTAATTTCCTCCACTAGCATTTTTAGGACAGTAATGCATTGCTCCCGAGTTCATGGTGTCTGAAATGGTACGCCATGCCGGAAGTCCTTAAAGAATGTTAACCCTAGCCCTGTCACCAGGCAACATCAAGCAAACTACATAAAACTAAAATCACAACAGCATAAAGGTAACCATATAAAGATATCAAAATACCAACATAAACCGATGAATCAGATTTAACAAAATAAGCTAGAGGGGAATTACAACGCTTAATGTGATAATCGTCAGCATCAATATGAGGATGACGAATGACTTTTTAATGACAAAAAGACAGAAATAACAAACAAACAAACAATAATGATGATGAAATTTACTTTATTCATTTGTTCAAACATCATTTCCACTCCACGATCACAGATATCACGTAGTTGTTTAACTTCTGTCTGTTGTCTGATTAATTCATTTCTTAAATGAACATCCATAGCATCTTGTAATAATTTTTGTCTTGTTAAACTAGTCCCCATTAGTTGACCACCAGACTGATCGTTTAAACTATTCCATTCAGGTAAATTGTTTAATTTGTTTGCTGATTCACTGAAATTCAGGTAGAAAATAAAGCATAAAAACAGATATTACTTTCAAATTTATAAGTAGACAGTTTAAGACTGCTAAAATTATATGAAGAAACAATAAGTGATCAAGTAGACGCAACACAGTCCGCGCTTGGATGACAGACGTTGCAACAAATCTCACGCATACCTGTTAGCTCAGAATTTTCTGTGAAGTTAGTGGGATATGGAAAACAAGTGTGCGAATCCTTTGTTAAATTTTCAGATATCATGCTCTATAGTGAGTTAAGCGACCGATTCCAACAACAAAGACCTTCACAATCGTGCATTTATATTCGATAATAATATCAAAGGATTTGGAAATATTCACTGGATGGTAACTTTTTCTGTCATCAAGCGAATTATTCTTTTGTGTTTATTCCATTCATCAGAAGTAAACGTCATTCACTTTCAGAAACCAATTCATTGTATCTCAATGAAATTTGTACAATCGTCGTCATCACTTACAATGTCAGCACTAAGTGACTACCAGCTGGCCATAGTGAACTAGTGCATCTGGGCATTCTACCTGCCTCTCCTCCCCACTTGTTCAGTAAATGCTTATTCACTTTTCTTTAAAATTATTGCCATCTTCAAGTCGACTGGTGGATGGTGACTAGCAGTGGAATCCAGGATGCGCATTTCATCCAATTCGGGACTCGTCAGCATCTGCATTCCCCAGTTATTGACGGCATTCCCACCGAGGCTCGAACCCAATGCCTGTAGTTTCAAGCACCAAAGTGTTATCCTCTAGACTACTTAGGCCACGACAGCCATCTTTTGTGCAAAGGGATTTATTAATAATTTAATTCAGTCTAGATTTTCCCGTCGATTGATTGGACCGAAGTACTCGGTCTCAGATGACGAGTCCCGTAGAGAACGAAATGCACATTCTGGATTCCACTTCTAGTCACCATCAACCAGTTGACTAAGAGTTACATGGTCAGACATCGTCAAAGCATGTATACAAGGAGTCGACATGTCAACCTGAGACCGAGCACATCGGTCCAATCAATGGACGGGAAAATCGAAATTGAACTATATAATGAATATCATCTTATTATTGGGCAAATAATTATTATTTGAAACTTCAATAGTTGTGGTGTTTATTTTTTTTGAGGGAGAGATCGGGTTGCCAGCCTCCCTCTTAACTGGCCTTACTTCTGGCATAGCAAGGTTGAGGAGTGAGTCGGCTGGGGATTGAACCTCGATATCATATAATTACTGGCATTTTTTACAATTTCTTGTCATTAATCTGTAGATTGTTGCAAACCTTGATAACTTAAAATTCTAGCAGTCAAGTTTGCAATATTTCCAACGATGCTAGGTCGCTGACAATCATGGAACTCTATGAAACGACATTAAATATTTGGAGGCAATCACAGGTAGCATTAAACATTGCAAACTCGACAGGTGGAATTCAGTCTGCATCGAAACACCAAAGACTGGATTCATGACCTAGGGTTTCAAATCAAAGTATCCATTACAGTCGTACAGGAGGTCAATCACGAGTTCAAATAGCTCAGTGGTAACCTTCCTGAATGCAGCACTGTATAGGAAACTTAGAAGGGATATGAATTCCCTCAAGACTGCAGATGCGCCCTGACGACGATTGCCAACAGATAGGAGATCTAGGTGAAGCAAGGCTTCCTACCGATCGTCTCTAGTCGGTGGCACAGTGGTTGGGACTCTCGCCGATCATTCACATGGTCCGGAGATCGATCCCCTGCCGACGCACACCTGATGCCGATGGTCGGGCCGACATCACATGCTGAAAATTCCATACTTGTACCAAAAATACGATGTGTAATCAAGCTATAATCAAAAAAAAGAAATCTAATATCAAAGACAACATTTTGCATAAAATAAAAGAATTTCTTACCTAGTCATATAACGAATTATAATAGCTAAAGCTGTTAATGTCACACCAAATGTGTAGGCGGATTTCAAGCATAAATAACCCATAAGTAGAAATACACGAAACCAACGTGATATACAACTGTTATAATGATGACGAATTGGATTTGAAACTAAAGCCACACGATCACCATCCAGATTTGATTGATTCTCAAATGGACTTAATTTAACCCATGCCATTGTAGGATCTTTAGTTGTTTTTTTTTTTTAAAAGAATCAAAACAAGATTTGGTTAAAATATAGAAAATAAAAATTTCTCTATGAAGTTTGATTATGAGTTGATTTTTAATTCGATAATGTTAGAGGACCACCAGGTGAAAGTTAAGTCAACACAAAAGTTATGTTTGAAAAAATCCTTAGCGATATTGAAATAGGCGATTCCAACGTTTATTTCATTAGGAATCAAGTTGACATTGGATTATCAATCATGAACTTCTAGATTGGGAAGGACATTAGAAAAGCATCTGTTTTACGTCTATAAGTGTACTCCTGATCGTTAGCTGCTAACTTGACGTGGTGGTCGGGCTTGAACATCACAATGACCCAACAAGTTACTTCGACTGGAACTATTGTCCCTGCAGGTCATACCATGCCAGGAAGGTTGTTAGGATAGCGATTAGACTAAAAGCAGTTACCAGCTTAGTGTAAGAATCTTTCTCACACTATGCTGGAGGTCTGTGGGTGAAGTCGTACTGCTGGGGAACAGGAATGTAACAGCAGTGAGGTGTTTCTCTCAGACGACCAGCATGCCAGGTATGCTGTCTCTCCACTCCGGAGAAAGGGGGTTAGAAAAGGTCGACCCCAACAATTGTACATCCCGACTTACCCTACGGTGGTGCGTAACCGGCTGTAAGTTTCCTGATACGGAACCAACCCAAGAAACCAGTTCATACAGGCCGTGTGTGACGTGCCGTGACCATTATTGTTCGGAATAGTGTTTAATATTAAATATATACATATCTATACTGTACGCATATATTGATTGATTTTTGTTTAAAAATGAACTCTGTGCAAGTATGTTAAAATCGTTTCTGTAGATATACTTAATAATGACTTTGGCCTGTAAGCAGCTGATGAGGAGCTAACGAAATCAACAATGATGGTACCATTTTATTCTGTACAAAACCGCTGTTGTTCTTGCTTTATTCAAATTCATTAAGGGGAATAAATGTATGAGAAATGAACTAGTTTTACAAGTTTATTTTCCAGTAAAGTAATAAATTTCCGCCCTTAACAGTTGGAAGTTTGAAATAAACTTTGAAAAAAGAACGGTACTCTCCAAGGGGGGGGGTATTATCGATTCAACAAATGATAATCAAGGTTAACAGAAAAAATACCAGTATGTATATGTCTATGCTGAATCATTCAATGTGACCTTAAAAAGTTTCGAGCTTATAATTAACGGTAAAAAAAAGAAGACGAAAGTTAAAAGAATTCGTGTCTCAGTATACACTACCATATATTTTCTTGTATTTTATTTTTAATTCATTTGAAGATGATTTTCTGTATGCAGTTAAGTGGTTTATATTGATAGTTCTGTATCTTAGTGAACAGAACACGCATCTAACTATTATTCCGATCAGGTTCTACAATCTCATCTCTCCGATGACCGTGAAGTTCAAAAATAGTCAAAAGAAAATATTAGTATTACCTAATTCTTTTCATTCGTAACTTATAGGCATAAATCTGTATGCGATAAAATTAAATAGGCATTCATCGTATACTCATTACTATCTCACTGCATTCTATCGCCCATGTGAAATGGTATAATAGGGTGAGTAATATTGAGGTTAGGCTTTGGTCGAGTGCTACGTAAAGAGGGGGAATCAATCGATGAGGCTGTGAATTTACATCGACTGAGATGGTTAGGACATATGTTACGCATGCATGCCTAGTGTATCGCCTTGCTCGACCGACTGGCAATGTTGGCTGACATAGGGTCAGGTTGTAAAAGAGCCAGTGGTGGTCAAACCAAAATATGGCTTCATCAGTCAATGAAATCCACAAGTTAGTTTAATCCAGCCAGTCACGTAGGAAGGTGTAGACTTCCTGACTGGTAGGGGTCCTCGAGACGGTAAAAACCAATTAAGGCTGAAGACAATCGGTGATATGACTCAAAATCGTTCTCAATGGCGCAGATGCATCCACCCAATGAAACTAATTATTCTGCTTTATTACTATTCCTTTTGTCTCATAAACCTGTCTACTGTCTCTATTTTGCATTTCTCCTACTTTATTCTCTTGCTTTGTGTGCTATAAGGAGGGAGTGTGGCAACTGGAACTGCTGCACATCGGTACAAAGTTGAAAACAGACAGACAGACTGGGTTCTGAGTGGAACAATTAATCCTGTTCTCTTCAGTCCACCTTACAATTAGCCATGAGCTCTCATCTTCTCCTGATATGTCCTCTTCCATGTCATCGTCAGACACACACCCAACTCGTCGTTTCCCTTACTGGTTTCACTTGACCAATTGCCCGGTGTGTGATATCACTCAACGGTATTCTCAACATGCATCCGACTCATCTCCATCTCTTTAGGCATATTTTTTGCGTAGTAGGTGGTTATTGGTTCATTCGTTCCCTACAGCTTTTTGTTACTAATCCTCTCTGACCACCTGGTATTCAGTATGGAGCCAGCAAAGTGGGCAGATGTTGATAAAAGTCTGAAGTTTGTTCGAAATGCTTTTCATGACGCGCTCATCAAATTTTTGACCCGTATAGAAGAAGAAATGAAAATCCGAGTTTTGTTGCTTATGCTGAGTACAGGAGATTCCTACTGATTTCAGAGTGATAAAGATCCGTGTTGCTTATCCAACTTTCGCTGGTTTTGACATGTTCATCCGTTCTGTGGCGTATAGTTGAAACAGTGTTGCCTAGATAAGTGAAAGGAGGTGATGAAGATCACTTCCGTCTCTTTTCTAAGTTCACTTGAAGTTCTGACTTGGCTGCCTGCAGCTTCTGCAAACTTGTTGGTTTTCACCTGTAAGCCTTAGAATTTATATGATATTCGATATAAATTGTCTGTGAAGTCCAATCTTCTTATCGATGCATATGTGTTCCTGTCTTCTCAATCTCCAAGCATGGTCTTCCTCATATAATCCAGCCCACCACAGTTACGAATACGATCAGTGATGGTACGCAGACTTGTTTTACTCTCCTGTATTAACTTCAAACGCCTCACTAAGTTTTCCGTTGTCGGTCACCTGACGTATGACATTGTTGAGAACGATTTAAGGCACTCAGTAGTATTAGAGTAGTTTCCAAATTGCTTCACCGTCAACACTATCGAAGGGCTTTTCGAAGTTGAGGTACAGTAAGAGTTTCGACTGCCATTCTATGTTATGTTAAATGAAGATGCGTAGGGTTGAAATTTAATCAGCACATGATTCGCGTTTCCTAAACCCAGGGCTGGCGGAGTTCTGCACCCAGAACATCTTCTAATCTCTCCAGGATGACATGAATTAATATTTTGCTTGTTACGGACAAAAGCATTATTCCTCACTAGTTCTTGCAGAGGCTTAGTTTTCCCTCCCTTGGGAGTTTGATAAAAGATAGTCTTCCTTTGAATCAGTAGGAACCTTTCCTTCCTTTCAAACGTTTTTGCAATATTAGCATGAGAATATCCACTGAAGCCACTGGATCCCTTTTCAGTGCTTCCTGATGAAATCCATCTGATCCTGCTGCCTTTAAGGAACTTCAGTGGCCTGACTGCATTGAAGACATCTACTCTTGCTGGAAGATTAGTATCTACTTGCAATAAACTATACTAATTATGCTTTTTTGCTGAAGGTCATCTCTTTGTGGCCGTTTCTTAGAAAGTTAAGCCATATATCTGCGAATCATATTTGCACACACTAAATCTGCTGTGATTGGTTGTTGAATTCCTCAAAGTTAGGCTATGTTCTTGTTTGTTTTTTCATGACAAATTTTGGCTTGCAGACAGCTCTCAGCACAGTTTTTTTCATAAAACCCAGCTACTATTCATCCACGTCCATTTTCTTTTCAATTTACTACGATGATAATCTGGATGGAGACATCCAGTTGAGCATAGTAACGATGATCTCACAGTCAGGAATCCATCACTCATATTGGGCTTAACAGGAGTTCTCGCTAACCGAGAAAAAAAACAACCTAATGAAAAGCTGAGTTATTCACAGTTTTCAGAGTGTAAAGTATCAACAAACACTAGATCGATAGTATTTATAGAAAAATTCGATGTTTGTTTCAGCTCCGATTATTACTGCATAGCCAACTTATATCCTGTGACTTTTTCTCATAGAAGCAGGATTGATCACGAGCTAACATCATTCAGAGAGTCATCAGGAAACCAGGAAGAAGTATTGAACATCTGTTTCATACTAGTTTGGTACTCTTCATCAGTATGCATCCACTGTGATGCCAACCGGAGCTCTTCAGGTTACAAGGCAAGCTTGTAGACAATTCATCAACAGGGATCCGATCCAACGACCCACGACTTCTTATTTTTTACCGATTCACGATACAAAAATAACGCAACCACCAACGAATGTCATCGAAGAGTGACTTTCCTTTTACCTGACTTCGTGAACCCTAGTGGTCACAACTAACTTCTCAATAGGAGTGAGTCTAGGTGACTTTCTCTATAGAGCCAGTCGGCGTTTGATTGACTACACGTGTGATCATGAATAATCAAACTAAAAATGGTACACCGTTGAAGAATTAAAACTCTCCCTGTCATACACATATATATTCAAAAATCATTTGTACAATATGCATCTTAACCAAAGTGAATTTCTGCATTTTCAGAGAACTTTCATTCAAATATTTGTAGCTTCACGTGTTGTGCAATAATTATTCAGAGGATGATAATCATATCTGATTGAAATAATAATTTAACGCTATAGTCTGTCTGCATCGGTGTCAAAGCGGTAGGATGCTCGCCGACCACGCCTCACGTGGTCCGGGGTCCTACCCCCAGCCGACGCACTCCTTTATTTCGCTATCCAGTAGTGAGACTGGTAAAAAGGGAAGGTCGGGCACCAGGCTAGCAACCCCATCCTGTAAAAACTAATCACCACTGTTACAGAAACTTCAATCCTCTATGTTCCACTGGAAACGTAAAGGAATAAAAAGATAGTTTGTCTCAATACTAGATAGATACTAAATGAAAGTGGAACATGTACAAGTTAGAATCACTAACTGGTAGAAAGAGGAATTCATGAACCATTGAATCAGGTCCCAATGGATGAATAATCTACGAACTGGCCTTGTATTCGGAAGTCTCTGGGTTCAATCTCTGGTGTAAGGGTACTACTGAAGAGTCATGGACTAGGATGAAACAGGTATCCATAACTCCCTGCTTGGTATTCCAACTGTTCTTTACCTGATTGATACCAGCTAGTGATCAAACTTGATACAAATCAAATCCCTACAAACTAACCCTTAAAAATTAAGTTATAATGAGTAAACCAAAAAAAAATCTTAATAGTGCGATAGTGTACATACCAGGCTCAGTGACATAACCAATGAATAGTATAAGTGAAAGTAGTAAAAGTATACAAACTACAGAATAAACAAGTGCAGATGATGGACCGAATGTGCTTCTCATTACTGGTGATGACGAGGATGATGATGGTGATGACGAGGATGCAGATGAAATTTGATCACTTGTTTTATCAGATCTTGTATTCATTTTTTGATCATTAGTAGATGAGTGTGGATAATTGTTGTTGTTAGCTTCTCGTTTAGAAAATTTCCTATCATTAGAATTTTCATAGGTGTAATCACTTTTTTCTGAGCTTTCTTTCAATAAACTATCTTGAATTGCTTGTTGCCGTGCAGCTAAACTCGGCAGTAGATCAACTAGAGTTGGCCGACCATCACCTAAAATGAGTAGAACAAAGAAATATTCGAATAAAAGTTTGCATAAAGCTATATATATATATACTACTGATTGATAGAGATGAGTAGTTGTGTACCACTTCTATCAACCAGTATTCAACACAGACCTACAGGAGGCCAATCGCCATATCAATATATGTGTAAAACTTGGGTACTGTGCTTGTTAGTAATTCCATATTAGTTTGTTTATTAAGTATATCACACAGTGAAACAGTATTATTATTTATTAGATGATAATATTTCGAACAAAATTTATTGTACATAATCATATCAATTGTAATCACACGACTTTGAAACTTGAGTTTTAAAGTTTTATTTGTCTTCTCCTATTTGTCGTCATAGGGGTAGTCGAACTTTCCAGATATCTGGGTGGACAGGTGTTGAATCATTCCTACTACGCGTATTGTTTTCAGTTGATTCGATAAATAAAGCTTCAGTTATCAATCTCTCCCTCCACCCTGTGACATTAGACTTTAAAACTATCATCCTATCCCATCCTAATTTGTGGTGTGGTTGTGTGTAATTGCATGTAGTGAATGCTATAGCTGAACTATTCTCTAGATTTCTTATCTTATTTGGATCAACTAATCTAGATTTTCCTAAGCTTTTGTGCTCGGCTAGTCTGACTGCCCCTGTTTTACTGCTTTGACCTATGTATTTGACCTGAAAATCATTCATTCCAGCAGGGTTTTAGATAAACTAAATTGTTTTGTCAGATTAGCCGAACATAAAATCCTAGCAAAATCTAGATTGGTTAATCCAAATAGGATAAGAAATCTAGAGAATAGTTCAGCTATAGCATTCACTACATGCAATTACACACAACCACACCACAAATTAGGATGGGATAGGATGATAGTTTTAAAATCTAATGTCACAGGGTGGAGGGAGAGATTGATAACTGAAGCTTTATTTATCGAATCAACTGAAAACAATACGCGTAGTAGGAATGATTCAACACCTGTCCACCCAGATATCTGGAAAGTTCGACTACCCCTATGACGACAAATAGGAGAAGACAAAGAAAACTATAAAACTCAAGTTTCAAAGTCGTGTGATTACAATTGATGAAATGATTATGAACAGTAAATTTTGTTCGAAACGTCATCCAGTAAATAATACTGTTTCACTCACTGTGTGATAAATCTAGTAATCAAACTAATAAGGTCAATCGCCAGTCCGACTGGCTCGGTGGTTACCTCCCTGACTGCAGCACTGGGTAATGCAGGTTCGAGTCTCAAGAAGGGACATGAGTTTCTTCAAGGTTGCAGATACAACCTTGATGATAGGTGCCAACTAGCACGAAACCTTGGTCCGAAGTTTGCTGCTGATCATACTATATTTGCATTAACAGCATTCACTTATAGGCTAAGTAAAATAATTGAAGTAGTTCCTAAATACTCTTTATTTTTTAAAAAGAAAAACAGCATACAGTGAAAGAGTAAAATAATAATAATAATTTACCGTCAGAAAGTTGTCCATAGATTCTGCGTAACGCCATTTCATCTGGTGGTTGAACAGCTCGTTTAACTCGAATATCTAAACGATTACTAGCGTCCAGGATGACAAGACGAAAAGCTTTCTCATAGTCAGGTTCACTAGTAGGACCAGGGATAAGAATGCGTAACTGAAGATAAGAAAAATGCACAAGATATTTTATATATAGTAATAAGATCAGACAACTATTAGAATCAAATGATAATAATAATAATGTACATCTGTTGTTCTTGTAATCTACACTTCGCAATAGTAAGGACTGAAAGAGGTGTCTATATGTTAAACAGATAAATGCCTACGTGAAGTAGTTCTGTATATAAGGCACTCACTCAAAAGACTTTCTAACCTCGTTTACTTCTCTGATAGGATGCAGTACACGGTATACAATGGTGTATCTTCCTCTCCTTTGCTTACTGAAGCTGGAGTTCCTCAGGGTGCTGTTCTCTCTCCGTTTATCTTTTCCTTCTTCTTACATGACTTACCTCTTTCAGACGAAATCAACTTCGTCAAATATGCAGATGACCTGACTGTTTCGCTTCCCGTTAAGTCTCAGTCAGACTGTTTCAAATTAAACAGCTTCCTGTTGGACATCAGTCGGTGGTCTAAACTAAATGGCCTCATGCTGAATCCCTCAAAATGTCAGAGTATTGACTTCTCCTTTAGGCATAAACGAGATCTACAAACACTAGTAAGTACTCATGAAGCCTGTTGCACTGAGGGGACTAAAATTGAAACTAAGTCTTGTGCAAAATACCTCGGTCTAGTTCTATCTTCCGACCTTACTTGGACATCTCATATCCTAATGATTTCTAAGAAAGTGTTATGTCTAACCTACTACATTAAGAAACTTAGACAATCTGAAATCACCCAACTTCTACTTTCACAATTTGTCAACTCTTCTATCTTACCTATTCTACTTTACTGCTCCCCGTTAGTCTTTCCTGGGCTACTGAAAAAGGACTACACCATCCTGAGAAGGATGTTGAAGGTAGTTATTAGTACTAGTGGTGTAAAACTCAGTCAGCTCGTCACTAAATTAGTTGAAAGGCATCTGAATACATGCGAAAAATGGTCTAAAAGCATACTCTCCGACCCCCAACACTCCCTCTATTCCCAACTCTCGCCTTGTCAATCATACCCTACTTAGCTCGTGTTCGGTGCGATAAAGAAAGCATTAGGCGTGACACCTATAATTCATTCAATAGTCAGTAGAACAACTGGGCCTCGTGTTTCCAACTCATATCATTTATAGGTGCAACATTTTCTTTCTTTCTTTTCCTTTTTTCTCTCTCTCTCTCTTTTTCCGTTATGTGCTGCTTTGTTTCTTTCTTCCGCTTACTCCAGTAAATATGATAGCACCTACTTTTCTAACACCTTCAAACACTGTTCAATTTTGGCTTAGCTACCGACATGCCAATATGTTGTTGTCATAATGAACTGAGATTTCCTTAATCTATGTAGAATTTTATTTATTGATAATGTACTAACTGGATGCAATACTGTAGTAAAAATGCTGAGAATTCCATTCCGTATCACAAGTACTGTTTTAGAATAAAGTAAATTATTATTATATATCCCTTGATTTTATACATTTGTTGACTTTGTAGGAGGGCTAAACGACCCTATTGACCCAGTTAGACAAAATAATTGTAATCTATAAAAATATATCTCCCAATAAATATGAAGTCAGCTATATAGGTCAGATCAGTTGACCGGAGGCAGTCCGATTATCGGAATGTAGGAATTTAGCTAAGTGCAGAACGATTGATGAAGATAAGTCATTTAGAAAAGAACTCAGCTTATTACTGTGTATGCATTAACACATCATCCCTGACGGATCGGTTACAAAACAGAACTTTGCATAGAAGTGCACCATTTCAACTTGTCACACTGCATGTATCACACAAAAGAAGACATATCTGAGTGGAAAGACATTCAAAAGAATGGTAATAAGCAGAAATGTGTGGGGGAGAGAGAAACAATAGTAACATGGAAAAACAATCAGCTTTATTGGACATATCATACTATAAAAAAGAGTGAATGTATTTGAGCCAGCCATTGAGAACAACTTTGAGACCCACATCATCAATTGTCTCATGCCACTGAAGGAGCTGCGAATGTCTTGATCGAAAAAGTTATCAGTAAATAATACTGTAATACTCACTCACTCACTGTGTGATTTTATCAAATAAATTTACTCTATAATGGAATTCTTCAAGAGTTAATGAGCTGTCTGAAATTTCTTACTGGGAATATATGAATTGTTTTCCATAAGTCAGTCTTCAAAAATGCTGATCTATCTTTACCTCTCTTTGTTTTTCTAAGATCACTAGTGAAAATTTAGGTATATGTCATGGACGTATTCATGGAAATATATAAGAATGACTCTAAGTTCAATATGAAAATAGACTACTTTATTGAAGAAAATTGCATATTAAAAATGGGACAGATTCGGTGTCCAGATACAGTGAAAGTTTCTTCAAAGTTGTAAATGTCTGATAACGACGAGCACGAAACAACAATGAAGCAACGCCTTTTACTGACTAAATGGTAACGTCTTACGGAGGTGGCCTGCTTAAAAATTGGGCTACCGATAACCTCCATCAATATACTGTATATATAATTTGTTTGTTTAAATCTGGCAAAATATGACCTATAATAGTATTGTTTACCCTTTGTGAGTATTTAAAGTTAATTTAATTTTTTATTATGGCTTGATTAAACACAGTATTTTTGGTGTAAAAGGATGGAATTTTCACCATGCGATATCGTAGCCCAAATTTATCAGGCCAACCATTAATATCAGGTGTACATCGGCTGGGGATCGAACCCAGGGCCATATGCATGGTCAGCGAGCGTCCTAACCGTTGTGCCACAGACGCACAAGATCTTAGCTCTTAGAGCCGAGAAGCCAATGTTTTTAACCTGCTAATTGGTAAATTTCCACTACTAAACATGAGAAAAAGCTTAGTAGTCGTAGTAGGTGGCAGCATGTATACCAATACATGAGAAAACTGCTCCTGAGTTGCATCCTAGGTTCTCATAATATGCTCTTCAACGTTTTATTGTTGGCATTCAACCAAAATGTTGTGCATTTCTTGAAAGCGACAAAGAAGACGTATCATAAAAGAACAGGTTTGCGCTCCAGGTCAGTCAGGTCGAACCCCGGTGGGTGAGTACTGTGAAGAGTCCCAAACTAGGACGAAATAGGTTTTCCAGTGGTCCTCTAAATGATGTCAGTTCATGGTGAAATCCTCCGTGCAATTTTTTTACTTGAAGATCGTGAACCGAGGTAAAATATAATGCAATAAAGTCAGCTGAAAATTCTGTACATTATATAAACATTTTTCAGAATAAAGCCATTATTATTATTATTAAAAATTAATAGTGTATAACACCTGACGATGGTTTCATCTGACTTCAGCAAATTACGACATTTCGTACTTGATCGATGAACTATGCCCAAGTACCAGAAGAACTAGACACTAGCATCGACTATTATCTGATATTAGATTACGGACGAAATGGAGAAGTTACAGTATAGCGATGCAGGATTTTGAACGCATCAGTGCCCTTAGTTGCATACCACTCATTGGATAACGGGATCTACTGCTGCTATAGAACCATCATGAATGTGATGCAGGAATTGAGGTGCAAATTTCATCCCGACTTCGTTTTTAAGTACTGCTTGGATAATGTGTTGATAGCTCGTTAGCGTAGGTGGCACAGCGGTAAGAACTCTCACCAACCATGCACATGGTCCGGGGTTCGATCCCCTGCCGGCGCACACCCGATATCTATGATTGGCCTGCAAAATTGGGCTACCGATATCACATGCTGAAAATTCCATACTTGTACCAAAAATACGGTGTGGAATCAAGCTATAATAAATTTTAAAAAATGATAGGGGGTTAGGATTAAGGTAAGGTTTGTGGCTGGTACTTGGGTTATGGTGTTTTAGCTTTATCACCTGCATTTTCCTGGTAAATAGTTGTCAACGTCCTTACCTGGAATCTATACTTATTCAATTGAATGTTTCTGGGAAGACTTGAAAACAGGAAACTGGTTTAACCTAAAAAACCTAATACTCCTCGCATTATAATTAGGAAATCTTTTTAAGTCACGTCAAGAGAAAAAACCCTGTCCAATGTGTTTTATCCCTATTCTCTGTATTTCTCTTGTAAATAGATGTCATCTTCATGTAAAAATCACCCGTCTTTTTCTGACTGGCCAGCTCAAGGTAAGTTGTACATTCTCATTACACGGATCGTTATACTTTAACTTTGCCGATAAAATAGTGGAAAAAAATGAACAAACCTCTCTCTCCCTCTGTATGTGAAAAAAGGTTAATAACAAGAGAAACAAAAAAGTGAAAACGGGGAATTTTACCTGAAATTTACGTTCTTCAAAAACTCCAATATCATAATCTAATAATGGTTCATCTTCAGGTTCTTTTCCGCCTAAATCAATTCCAGAATTTAAAGTATCATCATCCCCGTCATCTTCAATTTCAACAGTAGCATCAACAGATGATGTGATTAGGTGGTGTGAATTTCGACGGCGTTGTTGTAATAGATAGTCTGAGCCCTTGTCTTTCATTCTACCGTTGGTCATCATGCTGTCATTTTTGCCGTTATTATTATCATTATTACTATTATCATCGCCATCATCGTCTATATTGTCTGGATAAACAAGAAGACGGAATAATCCAGGGAATTGATCCACTTGACCGGTAAGATCGATTACCCAAAATCTTTGCTTCTTTAAGGATTCTGTATTCATTGTTGATGATGACAATTCAGAATTTCTTAATTTTGTACTTGTCTTCTGACCACTACTACTACTACTGTCGATAAGAATATCACCATTTTTAATTTCAGGTTCTGTTAACCATGCTAAGGCTAGACTTGCTCGTAGATAATGTCCACGTTCCACAGAGGCTGGATAAAACACAGCACCGAGTAAAGATGTTGTTTTAGGTAGGCTAAAACTCAACTAGAAGACAAAAGGAAAGGAAATAAAGAAAAAAAATGTAAATTTGGCCCCTTTATGGTTTTAATAAAGTTTTAAGAAGGAACAAACTTTGCGGAAGATATTTAATTAGAATTGTAACTACAGAAAAAGTGAATACGAAAACAGTATACAGTAGTATAAATGCATATCATTAAAGTGTAACACAGAGACGAATTCATATTAACTAGGAACAGGATCAGAAAGTGAACAGCCACTCATACATAAACTAAGAAGTACTTTCATTGGACGCTAGACAGATAGTGACTGATATCATACGTCTAAGTCCTTGGTGCTGGTACAGACTGAGTATTGCCAGTCAACTATGTAATGTGTGGCCACGATGTTAGGTGGTTCACCATCACAGAGCACTCTGAACCATTGTTTTCAGATGGTTGGATGCAATCAGCAGTTAGTAAGGCATATCTGCAATCTTGAAGGGACTCATACTATCCATTCTGAGACTTGAACTAGGGTCACGTGATACCGCAGCAAAGATGCTGAGCCTCAACATCACGGTGGCTGTGCTGCTAACTTGACTGATAGAAAATTCAGTTTGTACCAACACACCAAGGACTGGATTCATGACCTAGGGTTTCAAATCAAAGTATCAATCCATGATCAACTCGTAAAAACAAAACTAATCCTTACAAACCAAAACTATAGAAAATTAATCTGATGCTCGCTAGTGACCTGCTACAGTACAGAGTTTCCTGGAGTTCTAGTGAGAAGTCGTGACCAGTGAGGTCAATCCAGATGTCACGTGTGAGGATGGATGTCCCACCGACGACACTGGTTGGGTTCACTCTAAATCACGAATTGGTAGTAGTTAGAATTCATGTACTGGCTGGCCATTGAATCGGGTCCCAATGGCTGAATGGTATACGACCCATCTTGCCTTGTAACCGGAAGGTCCTGGGTTCGAACTCAAGTGGGTGCGCACTGCCGATACTTCCCAAAACTAGGATGAAACAGCTGTCCAGATCTCCCTAGTTTTCAATGGTTTTCTAATTGATATCAATCCGTGATCAACTCGTAAAAACATAACTAACCCTTACAAACCAAAACTATAGAAAATATCCTTTACAGTCCTACAGGAGGTCGATTCCGAGTCCGAATAGCTCAATGGTGACTCACGTCTCTGACTGCAGGGGATATCAGCTCTTTCAAGATTGCAGATACGCTTTACTGACTAGTAAGTGCCAACAAGCACTAAAGCTAGGGTGAAGCCAATTGACTCCAAACATTTAATCAATTGAAATGTGTTTCTTTTCATTCCTCTATTTCATGTGTTAAAATCAGTAGTGGAAATCTACAAATAATTTTCGATTTCTCCATCATATCTAAACTTTATGATACTACAATATTCGATACTGCTGTTGAGTTATTACTTCATACTGTTTTCAAAACCCACTGGAAAGCCATAATGCACTAATGACAAAAACACCAGTTCAATGTTTGTTCTGAACTGTCTAATATCATATTCTGAATATCAGTCTGAACTTCTTCTGCCCAAAAAAGACACGCTGAGTATTGAAGCCAATATAGGACACGTGCTTTTTCATTTTTTTTTATTTTTGATTATAGCTTGATTCCACACCGCATTTTGGTACAGTTATGGGAATTTCAGCATGTGATATCGGTAGCCCAATTTCGCAGGCCGACCATAGATATCGGGTGTGCGTCGGCAGGGGATCGAACCCCGGACCATGTGCATGGTCGGCGAGAGTCCTAACCACTGTGCCACCGACGCACATTTGGAAATTTTCAGCATCCAAGTGTTTCTATGGTCACTCTCAAACTTAGAACCCAACGTTTCAAACACACAAGTGTTATCTACTAGGTGTTACTCGGCTGTAAAGAGCCAACACTCATGAAACGACTATCAGTTGTTTTGAATTTCATGCTGATTTACTGATTTTACTGAACTGCAATAATCGATTCCTGCTGACAAGTCAGTCACTGCAAGTAACTGCTTGTTTTTTTCGAAATAGAAATCGTCAGAATACTCCAATATAAAGGCAGTAAGTTTTACAAACACAGTAGGTCCATGCTTTAGGAAGTAGCTAGTAAACGTTTAAGGAATCTCATACTAAAGGAAACAGTAACTCAGTAATGCTTCTTGCTGTTTAGCTGTTTTCTGAATCGCGTTAGTTCAGAAGAAAACTGACTAAAATGTTAATAAAAATTATAAATAAATGCTGATACAGGATTTCATCATGAACTGAAATTTGGTTAGAGAACGATTGGAAAAACTGGGAGTACTGGACAACTGTTTCGTACTAGTTCTGGGATTCTTCATTAGTACGCCACCACCACACAGGGTTCGAACCCAGGACTTTCTGATTACAAGGCCAGCTCGTAGGCCAGTAGGCCTCTGGGACCCGATTCAATGTCCCGCGAATTCCACCCTTTGCCAATTTATGATATAGCACGACCACTAACCAATATCATCGCTGGCGAGTATCTGTCCTCACACTCGACCTGCTGTACCCCACTGGTCACGACTTCCCACCTGAATAGGGCCAATCTCTAGTGAGCGTCAGATTGGGGACAGATACTCTCCAGAGATGATACTGGCTAGTGGTCGCGCTATATCATAAATTGGCAAAAGTTAGAATTCACGGGCCATTGAATTGGGCCCCAGAGGACTACTGGCCTACGAGCTGACTTTGTAATCGGAAAGTCCTGGATTCGAACCCTCTGTGGTGAGGGCGTATTATTATTATTTCCTTTAGTTCCTAGAGGAACATAGGGCTTCAGCCATGCGTCTCCATTGCGTTCGGTTCTCTGCTAGAGTTTTCACCTGGTTCCAGGTCTGCCCACATGCTTTCATCTCCTCTTCACATGATCTCCTCCACGTCACCCTTGGACGACCAACTCGTCGCTTCCCTTTCGGGTTCCACTCGAGGGCTTGTCTGGTGACGTCACTTGCTGGTTTCCTCAGAGTGTGGCCAATCCATCTCCATTTCTTCCTGCCTATTTGTTTCACAATCGGTTCCTGCTGAGTTGGTTCGCTCATTGCCAGAGATCTTTGTTGCTGATCCTTTCCGGCCATCTGATCTTGAGTATTGAGCGAAGACATCTGTTAATGAAGGTCTGTAGCTTGTTTGAGGTGCTCTTTGTGACACGCCAAGTCTCTGATCCGTATAGTAGTACTGACTTCACATTGGAGTTGGTGAGGGCGTACTAATGAAAAATTGTCCAGTACTCCCAGTTTTTCCAATCGTTCTCTCACCGATGTCAATTCATGATAAAAGCCCATAACCAATCAAATTAAATTCCTACAAACCAACACTTAGATATTTATTTCTGTAGTAGCACAAGATTACTACTGCTGTCAATATATCTGACGAAATCTAAGCACAAATACAAATGGTTCGTGTGGGATTCGCCAACCTTCATCATCTCTGGTATCGACGTGCTAATCAACTATCGATCAAAGGACATGGGTAACATTTCGCTCTGTCCTCCTTTATGGCTGTGAGACATGGTCATTCAAGCGGAAGATATGAAAAGACTAGCTGTATTCGGTCATAAGCGTCTGTGTTGGGTCTCCGTTGTTGAATGGTGTAATATGATGAGTAATATTGAGGTTAAGTGCAACGTGTTAGATAGCAGGGGGAAGTCAGTGGATGAATTCATGAAGCTACATCTACTGAAACAGCTAGGACACGTGTTCCATATTCTGAATCATTGTCTTCCTCAATGGACAATGTTGGGTTAGGTTGGAAAAAAGTTAGTTGGTGATGGTCAAACTTAACAGCTGGTTTGAGTTTTGTTAGGGAGGTGTAGGCTGACTGTTTAGGGGTCATTGGGATTCTAAAAGCCATCGGCAGGTGATATAGCTCGAAATCATTTTCAGTGGCACAGATGCGTTCACTCACTGTGATCCTCTATATCCACTAAACCGTTATGTTTTTCCCATGTTACTATACTTTCTTCCTCACATTTTCGCTTTTTACCGTTCTTTTGGATCTCCTATTTTCTATATTCTGTCTACCTTTGTATATGCGTGTGTGTGTGCAGAGAGTGGCAAGTTGAACTACTGCACTTCTACATAAAGTGCTAAGTTGAAACTGAATCACTCAGTCTGTCACCACGAACAACACAAAAGATGGTTAGTTATCTGAGAACTGATGGTGCAGCATTTCTTTAGCAAAAAGGACTTGGATTATCAGTTAAACAAGTGTAAAGCAACAAAAATCTCCAATCTGTAAATTCATACGGTCAGTTAATGTAATCATAAAAATAAACAATTGAGGGGACAGACAACATGAGCCGGTGATTCAGACATCAAGCTTCGATTCCTTACCAACGCATTATTCCTAAACCTAACCTTACTGGTAGTAAGCTGGAAAAATAGGGAGGATTGGACGTGAAGTCAGGAACCTCACTTCGTAGAAACAACATCATAGTTACTGCTACTGAAACTTTACCCTTTGAGGTCCTACATTCCATTCACGAAGTAAAGGAATGACAGATAAAGATACACTACAGTTAATGAAAGCAGTAAGCTTGAGAAAAATGCGCCAAACATAAATAATGCATACAGAAAATGAAACTTACTTTTGGTCTGATTCTTGAATGGGATACAGCGTACAGATAATTACCTAAGTATTCAACCTGTGCACATAGAAAGAGGAAAAATAATAGATTAAAGTCTTGAAAGTTTGAAAATATATACTAAAACTGCATAGCGAATAACAACAATAATAAGCATGGTGATAACAGTAGATTATTTTTGTGTAGGTATCAATGGAAATAGGATTTCTGAGAGTATATAACTAACAAGACCATTGTGAATCTCTGATACCAACTAATGTTTGTTCCCAGATGTCCTTAACATCCATAGGACTGGAGAAATAACTTGATGTACTCAGACAGATATTATTTTGCCGACTGAATGACTTTCTTTGTTTAGGTCAGTTATCACTACTTATAAACACACACAGTATTATTATTTTTTTTAATTAAAGCGTCACTTTTAATCAGATATCGCTAGGAGAAGATCTACAGGTGGTCGTTCTCAAGTAAGACTTTATGCTTGTTACCACTCACCAGGAAAGTGTACCTAACAGCTTGAGTATACTCATATTCTCCCAGTATTTCGGACAACTTCAAAGTTGACCAGTCTCAAGCCACCGCTGTGCGTCGGTGACACACCAGTAGAAAGCTGGCCAACCACGACTCATGTGGTCCGGGGTTCGATCCCCGGCCGACGACACACTCCTTTACCTCAACTAAATCAGTAGTAAGACTGGTAAAAAGAAGGAAGGTTGGGCATAAGGCTAGCAATCCCATCCAGTAAAAATAATCACTAGCGCTATCGAAACTTCAAGCATCCAGCTTGAAGGCCTATATTGTACTTGGAATGTTAAGGCAATGCAAACAAAAGTCAGGGAAAGAAGGGAAGTTTGGGCATGGAGCGACCCCTGGAAAAATCAATTCAGTGGCTACAGAAACTTCAAAGCACAACAAAGATATAAAAAACAAACTTATTTCTCGCTGGAATCGGAGAGAGAAAATGATGTGGGCTGGTGAGAGCATTTCAGGAAGCTAGTCAACCCAAGATGCATTCTTCCGATGAGGAAGAAATAGGCATGGGAACGTGGAAATTTCGTACAGTGCACGAAGCTAGAAAAGCTGCCCAAGTTGGAAAAGGAATGAGAAGATATGGTGTAGAAGTGTTAGAAATCTCTGATATCAAGTGGAATGCAAGTGAACTCTCTAAATTGTTAATTGGAAAGCTAATAATTTACTCCAATCACTCAGATGAATAGCTTGAGCAGTATGAAAGAGCAGCTATCATGATATCACCAGCAGCAGTAGTAGCAGCAGCGGAAGTAGCAAAAGCTCTTATGTAAATCAAAAGCATGAAATCTAATTGATAACAAACTATAAATAAAAAGAGTATACAGCTGATTGAACGGTTATTACTCACTTTCACTTCACCCATTGCTATATATGGTGGTAATGCAGGAGTGTATATATTCAATTGTTCAATTAATGGTTCAGCTGTTGTACACGGTGCACCGCTTAATCGTGTCCACGCAGATGTGCTAACTTTCAATGGTTGAGAAGGCCATACTTGTAGGCTAGCAATTTCATTCGATACATCTGTTGGTGTATACAACATTGGATTGGAGTAAAATCTATCCGATGGTATAGTCGACGATGAAGTTGACGAGGAATGTGATGTTAAAGTATCAAAGGGAATACTTGTTCCACTGCCACTCACTAATGGTATAGTCTGAGAGGACAAAAGATGATAAAGTTAGCAAAAAGTTGAAGAAAAACAACACTTTTGGGGTATTTAGTTGAAAATCAAATAATGCATGACTATACTATTCCTTAGTACTTCTACTGTCATATTTTAATTAGTAATAAAGGTGTTTTGTATTTCCCAGTGAATGAAAAACAAAACGATATTCTTCTGTTTACTGACGTTTCACTATTTAATACTGCTAATAGCTTTATCAAAGTACTATCAAATCAGAATTTACAAAATCTCAACTTATATATAACAACTTAATCATCGTTCATCAGCATAGGGTCATTTTCGCGTTGTCAAGTTGGTCAACTGGTAAAGATAACAAAACCAGGTGTAGATTGTTGGATTTGATAAGTGTGTAAAATTATAAAAGTAGCATGTGTTTACATAATGAAATTGCTTATCACATTCGTGTTGATTTTGTTACTTCATGAAGGAGGGAGGTGTTGTAACCAAGTGAAATTATGTCTTTGTCAACCATTCCTATTCCGACAATTTGGATTCCACTTGATGATATGAAGTGCTTCTGATGATATTAGACGTTCTTTGTAATTTCTGAAATTTTTCTGGATGATGATTTCAATATTTTCAAAATCAATTTTGTGACCTGATTCTATAGCGTGTAGACTTATGGCTGGCTGTCGATTTTTCTAGATTTTCTAGTTCAACTGGATTTCTCGGTGTTCGAACACAGATGCTATACGGTGTTCATTTCTTCTGATTTTGATTTCTCTTTGGTGATGTGTTGTCCGATGTATATCGCATCACATTCCCAGCAAGCATTTTATTTCATAGATACAATTAGGTGGAGAATCCTTAGGGATTTGGTCTTTTATTATGTGGACAAGGTTGATTTGCAGTGCGTGTGTCTGATGTTTTGAAGAAAACTCTGATGTCGAGCTTATTGTAAAGGTAAACTACTCAAGATGTTTAAATTATTGGTTTCTTGTAAGGGATTTCGACCACTTTAGGTGTAGATTTCATCACGAACCAACATAAATTTTATAGATCATTGAAGACCAGGGAGCCCTAGAAGACCATTTCGTCCTAATCTGAGAATCTTCATTAGTGCACGTCAATAACCATGCCCAGAGTCGAACCCGGGACCTTCGGGTTACAAGACTTAACTCGTTGACCATTGAACCACTTGGGCTGGAATTCAATGACTGAAAAAGAGTCCCGTGCTGGGACGAAACAGATGTTCAGTACTCTTTGATTTCCAGTGGTCTCTTTAACTGAAACTGTCCATGATATGGTCACTGACATTGAATGAGCATTTAAATCTTTACAAGAATTAGAATGATCCCTAGCTTAATTCAATTTCTGAAGGATTGGTTTGGCTGCCATACAACTGATTGATACATAACTGCTTGTTGATAATCGAAGAAACTGTCCAGTAAATCTTTTTTCACATTGTAGGAAAATTATTTTTACTAATTATTAAATGAACTGATAGGTAGAGCTAAATTCTAAGTGAATTAAGTAAAAGTAATCTCCTTTAGTATGTTGGTCTTGTGCATAAAAAAGAAAACACTTGGGAATATGACTTGTTTGAATAATAATAATTTGCTTTATTCCAGAAACAGTACTAGTGGTACAATGTGGAATTTTCAGCACATATCTACAATATTTGCATCTAATTTTATCCAACGTTTAAAAGGAGTATTTCAAAAAAATAAATATAAAGACAACAACAGCAAAAAAACAAAAAAATAATAAAAAAAATGCGAAAAAATACCAAGAAGTAGAAAGGAAAAATAAACAGCATATACTAATATCTCAGTATTGGGTAGTGGAAGCTATGACATGATTATGCATGGTGACAGTAAAGCTATATAAATCGAAGCATCAATGTAATCAACGCTTGGTAAAGTATCTCAGCTTTCACAACTGCATTAACTCTTCATAATTCTAAAGCGCAGTTGATATTTGCAGTAATTATTTGAATGTAGAATACCATTCTTATTGTAATTAACGCCACTGTCAAGTCAAATTGCCACTTTCCTTTGCGTCCCAACTGAAACATGGGGCTTCAGATCTCAGCTGTGAAGTTTAGCTTTTATGGGGTTCGGTTGCAAGTCTCATTCCTCACCTTTCCTCTCTACTGGGCTTACTACCAGCTAAATGAGGTTTGGAAGTGCGTTGGTGGGGATCAATCTCACGCCTACACCCGACGCACTTCTACACACCTCGCTTAGCTGCTTGTAAGCCCGGTGTATAGACGGGGGAAGAGGTTTGGCAAGAGGCTAGCAAAGCCATCCCGTAAAAAAACTAAACACCAATGTTAATAAAAACCTCGCCTAGATTACTAGGTCACTAGTATTCTAGCCGGTCCCAAGCCCGGATAAAGAGGGAGGGTTGGGGCGTGGTGCTAGCAACTCCACCCCCAAAACTTAACCAAATTGCTACTAAAACTTCAACGCACAAATATATTCAAAATTCTAAAATTACAAATAGTGACCTTAGTTTTCTCTGGAATCGGGGAAGTGAAATGACGCGGGCTGGTGAAAGCCTTCGGGAAGCCAGTCAGCCGATGTGCCTTCTTTCGATGAAAGCGAAAATAAGGATAGGGACGTGGAATGTTCGTACAATGTACGAAGCTGGGAAGGCTGCTCAGGTAGCCGCAGAAATGAGGAGATATAGAATAGAAGTGTTGGGAATCTGCGAGAGCAGATGGAACGGATGTGGAAGGAGCCAACTATCAACTGGAGAGACAATAATCTACTCCGGTCACCCAGAGGACAATCACGAGCACACCGAGGGAGTAGCCATCATGATGTCACCAACAGCGGCTAAAGCTCTCATGCAGTGGGAACCAATCTCCTCCAGGATAATGACAGCCAGGTTCAACTCAAAAGGAAAAAAGGTTACAATCGTTCAATGCTACGCGCCTACAAACGCCTCAGAACATGAGAAGAAGGAGGATTTCTACAGTCAACTACAAACAGTAATGGACAACGTCCCAAAGAGCGATATCAAAATCCTGATGGGCGACATGAATGCGAAACTGGGAGGAGACAATACAGGAAGAGAACTCACCATGGGTCGTGAGGCCCTCGGTGAAATGAACGAAAATGGTGAACTCTTCTCAGACTTCTGCGCCTTCAATGATTTGGTGATTGGTGGCAGTGTGTTCAAACACAGGGATATACACAAGGCAACATGGATTTCACCAGATGGACACACCAAAAACCAGATAGACTTCATTTCAATCTCAAGGAAGTGGAGACGGAGCCTACTGGACACAAGATCGAGGAGAGGAGCAGATGTGGGTTCAGACCACTATCTGGTACAAGGGACTTTCAAGGTGAAGCTGAAAGCCTCGAGGATACCTGGGGATAGGCCACAATGCAAGTTCAACACTCACAAACTGAAGGACACAATCACACAGGACATTTTCACTGCAACTGTCAGAGCAAAGCAGGAAACACTACGCAGCACCACTGAGGAATCATCCGTGGAAGACCATTGGAACTCTCTGAAGGTAATTTTCAACGAAACGTGCTCAACGGTTTTAGGAAGAAAGAAGAAACAAGACAAGGAATGGCTCTCAACAGACACTTGGAAACTAATAGAGGAGAGGAGAAAGGTGAAAGAAAAAATGATTCAATGCAAAGATGGACAAGAGAAAGAGACGCTGAACTCAACTTACACAGCACTGGACAAAGAAGTGAAGAAGAGTGCCAGGAAGGACAAAAGACAATTCTACGACAACCTGGCTACTGAAGCTGAGAAGGCAGCAGGCAAAAGGGACCTGAGGACACTATATCAGATAACCAAGTCTCTATCCGGGAAGAGATCAACACAAGTGAAACCTATAAAAGACAGCCAAGGGAACCCAATTACCAAAGAAGAAAGACAGATTAAACAATGGGCGGACCACTTCAAAAGACTCTTGAACCGACCACCACCTACAACCCGTCCAGTAATACCAACAACAGCACGTACACAACTGCAAGTTGACACCAATCCTCCAACGAAAACTGAAGTCATGAATGCAATCAATCTTCTGAAAGCTGGAAAAGCAGCTGGACCAGATGGAATACCCCCGGAAGCACTAAAAGCGGACCCAAAAACGACGGCAGATATGCTGACTCCATTATTGCAAAAGATCTGGAAAGAGGGAAAGGTGCCTACTGACTGGAGGAAAGGTTACCTGGTGAAACTACCAAAGAAGGGCGACCTGGGACTCTGCAAGAACTGGCGAGGAATCATGCTCCTGTCGACGCCAAGTAAAATCCTGAGTCGCATCATCCTGGAGAGAATCAAGGACGCGCTGGATACAGAACTCCGACCAGAACAAGCTGGATTCAGAAAAGGCAAATCATGTTCTGACCAAATTGCAACTCTACGCATTATCATCGAACAAAGCATGGAATGGCAATCAAATCTCTACCTCAACTTCATAGACTTTGAGAAGGCCTTCGACAGCGTTGACCGCGAAGTAATTTGGAAACTACTCGAGTACTACGGCGTACCGCAAATATTCATCAACCTTATTCAACAACTGTACGACAACGGCACATGTCAAGTGATCCACAACGGAAAACTCAGCGAAGCGTTTCGAGTAAACACAGGAGTCAGACAAGGGTGCTTATTATCACCAATGATATTCCTAATTGTGGTGGACTGGATTATACGTCAGACAGTGGGAAACGAGAAGACAGGGATATCCTGGACCGACGTGAAGAACCTAGAAGACCTGGATTTCTAGCGTGGATGATTTATGTTTGATGTCACACAAAATCGAAGACTTACAAGCAAAAACCGACAAATTGGTCGAAGAAGCAGCCAGAGAAGACAGGACTCCAGGTGAACATAGACAAGACGGAGGTTATGAAAATAACCAACCAACAACAACAACAACAGCAGCAACATCCAGTGCCAATCACCATCAACGGGAGGGATTTGAAAGAGGTTACTTCTTTCACTTATCTAGGGAGCATTGTCTCAACCACAGGAGGAACGGACGAGGATGTCAAATCGAGAATCGGGAAGGCGAGAAACACATTCATCAACCTGAAACCAATCTGGAAATCTTCGTCACTCAGTATCAACAACAAAATTCGGATTTTCAACACAAACGTCAAGTCAATTTTGCTTTACGGATCAGAAACTTGGCGGGTCACCAAGAATATTTTCAACAGGTCGCAGACCTTTATCAACAACTGTCTTCGCTCCATACTGAAGATTAGATGGCCAGAAAGAATCACAAACAAGAAGCTATGGGAACAAACGAAACAGGAACCAATCGCCCAACAAATATGCAGGAGGAAGTGAAGATGGATTGGACACTCGCTGAGGAGGCCGTTGAGTGACATCGCGCGTCAAGCCCTCGAGTGGAACCCGAGGGGGAAGCGGCGAGTGGGACGTCCAAGGGTGACATGGAGGAGATCGTGTGAGGAGGAGATGAAACAGTATGGAATAACATGGACGCAAGTGAAAAGAACAGCACAAGACAGAAGCAAGTGGAGACGTGCAGTTGAAGCCCTATGTTCCACTAGGAACCCAAGGGAACAATAATAAAAAAATAATAATAATGTTAATAAAACTTCAAAACTCAAGCTTCAAACCTTACTTTCTACTTGGAACACAAAAAAACAAAATAACAAAAACGGTCGGATTCAACAATACTCGTTTGTTTCATTCAAAAGACATTCAATACACCGTGGAACTCTAAGCATTCGATACAATTTTGCATCTAATTCACTCAACAAGAGTAAAAAGACATTACTTGGTATAGGTAACCAAAATTAATAATGGCAGCTTCTTGACATTAGCAGTAACAGTAAAGTGAGAAATGTACCAAAACTATAAAATGATAATAATCATGTTAAGAACTGAAATACTCCCTAGTGGTTTTCAATGGTTCTCTAACTGATATCAATCCGTGATCAACTCCTAAAAAACATAACTAACCCTTACAAACCAACCATAGAAAATTAATCTGATGCTTACTAGTGACTTGCTACACTACGGAGTTTCCTGGAGTTCTAGTGAGAAGTCGTGACCAGTGAGGTCCATCTAGTAGGGAATAAGGATGCATTTCCTGCCGATGACATTGGGTGGTGCCAGTTACGAATTGGTAGAAGTTAGAATTCATGCACTGGCTGGCCATTGAATCTGATCCCAGTGGCTGAATGGTATACGACCTATCTTGCCTTGTAACCGGAAGGTCCTGGGTTCGAACCCCCTGTGGTGTGTGCGTACTTCCGATGATTCCCAAACTAAGATGAAACAGCTGTTCAGTATTCCCTGGTGGTTTTCAATGGTTCTCTAGTTGACATCAATCCGTGATCGACTCGTAAAAACAAAACTAATCCTTACAAACCAAACTACAGAAAATAACTGAATTTATAAGATAATTGAAATAGTGTCATCATAAATTACAAATAGCAGAAGGTAAAAGAGCCATTTACTTTGCTAATTACACAGTAAGTTGTAAGTTACACGCTTATCACCACCTCTGTCACATAGAACGTGGTCCGAATATGGTATCGTTGAGTTTTCGTAATTAGTTTTCTGAGCATACAATCTTTCATCATAATGACTTCTAGACCTACGTGATGAGATGCAAGGCGGGGAGAGTTGTAAATAGACAGGGTGTTGTGAGTCAAACCACATGCATTTAGACCATTTCTCACACCAGTTCAGATGTCTATCGATTATGACAGTAACGAGGTGACTTAAGGACACACCACTTGCCCCACTAACAACCCTTTACAATTCATTATAAATTATTTAAATTAATCCCAGCGTGTTAAGAAAATCAAAACAAGATTTTTTTTCTGAACGTTTCGCTGTGTAAGCCACAGCTTCTTCAGCAGATTTATTCGGAATCTGCTGAAGAAGCTGTGGTTTACACAGCGAAACGTTCAGAAAAAAAATCTTGTTTTGATTTTCTTAACACGCTGGGATTAATTTAAATAATTTATAATGAATCAATCTGACTCGGCGCTCAAATTATTTCAGGAAGTTCGTAACACCTACGGCCTGGAAACCTATAACCCTTTACAATATTACATAATCATTTGTGAATAGCCCAAGAAAGGTTAAGAGAGAGAGAAATAAAGAACAGTAGGTGAGATGCAAGAGCAAACAAATTGTAGAAGTAGATATTGATTAGATAGTTGGAGGCAATCAGCCACAGGAAGCCTTGCTTGACCTAGGTTTCGTGTTAGTTGACACCCACCAGTCAGCAAGGCGTATCTGCAACCTTGAAGGAACTCATATCCCTTCTGAGATTCGAACCCACGTCACCCAGTGCCGCCTGCATTCAGAGACATTATCACTGATGGAATTCAGTCTGCACCAAAGAAAGGACTAGAAACATTTCACACTAGTTACTAGTGTCCAATCAAAGTAGATATTGGACTGATTCTTGATTGTCTTAACTTCCTAATGTAGAAGGGGTAGGAAGAATTAAGCGACATATCATTGACACAAGCATCATTTCAAAATAAAGAAGAAGAAAGGAAGAAAAATTACTTGTTTACTCCAGAAATATGCACTTTGCATTGTATCCGTTCCACCGATTACATCCGGTAAATGTTCTAATCCTGAACTGTACTGGATATGCAGCAGACCTCTGTAGGTTTGTGTTATAGTCCCACCACTATTGGCTGATAATCCACCACCACCACCTGAATTCCATCCATTTGCATCTGGATAAATTAAAATAACATGAAAAAATAAAAATGAAATCACGAGAATATTAAAGAAATCTTTTTAAGAAGTATATACTTGATTCTCAGCCCTGAGAAAGTTGACTACCATTTTTTATAATAATAATAATACTAATAACGTCTGTATTCTGGACAGTATTTATAAAATGTACAGAATTTTCAGAGGAGTTTTAATTGCATGATATTTTCCCTTCAGACAATAACTTCATCGCCAGTACATCCTGTGACACAATGGTCTCTGAGCTGAAGTACAAACCATTCCATTATGATATATCTCCTTCGTCTCCTTCAAGAAATCCATGATATCTAGTTGAAAGCCGATTTTAAGATGTTCAGAAGTATATTTTGAGACACGCTGTCAACCACAATCAGGCCATTCTTCGAGTTTAGTAGAAACTTGCAAAATAAGGAGCTTGTAAACATTTTAAATAGACACAAGAGTAGATAATACCATTAGAGGTCATATCTTGACCGATTAAAACAAACGGAACGAGAGAAAATATATGCAATATAAAGAGATGGAAGCTTCTGGTAGCCCAAGTTTTAAGCAGGCCACCACAGCTGCTGCAGAATAGTGATAACGATGCTCTACTTAGATAACAGCTTATCAATTTTTAGAGGTTTCATTATAAAAAAAACGTATCTGTGTACATGTTTGACCACGAGCTAACACCAGCTACAGAACCATTGGAAAATAATGTTCAAAGAAATGAAACATTGCGTCTTCAGTGTTCAACTGCGAAGAAATGCTGGCAACTCGGTGAGGAGATCCATCTACAAAAATCCCGCATGGAATGCACGCTTTATCAAATTTTAAAGCTGTGCCTCTCTAAGCGGAAACCTCATATATTCATTTTAGTCAAGAATCCGAAAAATATGTATTGAGGAATCTATTAACGGAGAACTGCAAAATCTCCGAGGAGTTTTGATTGCAAACAGTTTCCCAGCTAGATACATAGACAAGAATCGAAGACCAAAGAAAGCTTCTGAACAGTTCCATGTAGCCCTCAAAAAGATGCTGATGCTTTATCTGAAATTTGAAGGTGATACTGAAGAAGAAGTTCTTAGTAAACGACTTTCATAGTCTCTCAGGAAAACATACTTCGTCGCCAGTCTACAAGTGACATTTTCTTGCAAGGAACTATTCAACCAGCAAGCAAAAGACAAGCTGTTGCACTGGACCAAAAATTCTACATGCACTCTACTCGAACTCATGCAGCCAGGTGAGAGCTTACGGCGAGTTGTCATCTAAAGTGGTGACAACCAGTGGTGTTTGACAGGTATGTCCATTATTCTCATTTCTATTCAATTTTATCATAGATGTACTAATGGACTTAACCCTAACTAACTTCAGAGACTCAGAGATTGACTTGTTACCACCAGAGAATAATATCGTTGACTTGGAATATGCAGATGATATAGTCCTTCTAGGTGAAGACGTTGAAATAAAAATAATACAGAGTCTTCTGAACACCTTGAGCTACAATTTATGAATAATTGGCATGCGATTCGCTCCCGCCAAATGTAAGATGATGTTACAGGATTGGACTACATTGACTCCTAGCTTAGAAATAGGGAGTGAAGTAGTAGAGCACGTTGACTGCTTCACTTATTTGGGAAGTTGCATCAACCAACGCCAGTGGGTTGTGAAGTTACATCGATTGAGATGGTTAGGACATGTGTTGCGCATGCATTCCTAGCCATTACCTTCCTCGGCGGGAAATGTTAGCTGACATAGGATGGATCAGGCTGTAGAAGAGCTAGCGGCGGTCAAACAAAAGCATGGCATCAGTCAGTGAAATCCACAACAGTTAGTTTAAGCCAGTGACGTTGGGAGGTGTAGACTTTCTGACTGGTTGGGGTCCTCGGGACGGTAAGCACCACCGGCTGGAGACAATTGTTGCTATGGCTCATAAACGTTCTCAATGGCTGGTGCAGATGCATCCACCGCTTGTGACTTATAATACCTAATAAAACCATATTCTTTTTCCCTCATATCCAAATAATTTTGCTGCTGTAGAAGCTGTGGCTTACACAGCAAAACGTTCCTAAAAATCTTGTTTTTATTTTTTTCTTGAACACGCTGGGACTAATAATTTAATAATAATATCACTTCTTTTGAATCCCCGTTTATTTACCTGACCAGTCTTAAATAGAATAACCAAATCTGTATTCCCGGTTGTACCGACAGTCCTCATAAAGCAGATCACAGGAGATCCCTATTTCAGTAGTATTGACTTCGGCATAGTCAATATCAAACTATTGTGAAGAGTGCTACTGACAAAATTTGTAAGTAGTATATAGATAGAGATAAAAATATGTGTGAATCATCAGCAAGAATATCGATTAGTGGAGGGAAAAGATTTCATGGTAAAGGGAATAAATGAATGATGTTTGCGAAGCAACAAGGAAAATGTGAAAGGAATACAAGGAGGCACGATACGGAAGACATGTACAAATTGTGGTTTTAAAAACCAGGGAGTACTGTACAGCTGTTTCATCCTAGTTTGGAACTTATCCATGATCAAACTCGAAAAACAAATCAACTCTTGAAAATTAATCTGATACTCGCTGGGGACTTGCTGCAGAACAGTTTCCTGGAGTTCGAGTGAGAAGTCGTGCCCCGTGAGTTCCGATCCAGTCAAGTGTGAGGGTGGAGTTACCACCGACGACAGTGGATAGTGGTTGCGATAAAATCACGAATTGGGAGAACTTACATTTCGTGAGCCATTGAATCAGATGAAGCTTTACTTTTGTGAAAACTTTGCATGAGACTGTGTGGAGAGAAGCTAAAGCAAACGTTTTCCTTCATCAGAGTCTATTGATGACGAAGATTATTGTGGCATCCAGGTACTAAACTTTCTGTCATAGAAGAAAATAAATCTTCAGAATGGGGATTCATTTTACACCATAACTGACAGGAATGGATGTTAACAATTTGCGTATTATCTTAATCTTCAACACGTCAAAGCATTAGTAATTTTAAAGTGCAAAAGTTTAGTTTACGAAAGAAAATTAGTGATACGGCTCAAAATCATTCTAAATGACGCAGATGCATTCACTCTTAATGGTTTTCCATGTCCAGCACTTCTGTGCTGCAATTCAGCCAGTCAGTTAACTAAAGCAACTTATCAAATGGATTTTCAAGTATTGGTTTTGTAAGGATTTCGTTTTATTGCATGGAGGATTTCATCATGAACTGACATCAGTTAGAGAACCACTGGAAAACCTGGGAGTACTGGACGGTTGTTTCGTCAGCCTAGTTTGGGACTCTTCATAGTACGCACCCATCAGGATTCGAACTCAGGACCCAGAAGTTAGAATTCAAGGACCAGTGGATCGGGTCCCAGTGGCTCAATGGTCTACGAGTTCGCCTTGTAACCATAAGTTCCTGGGTTCGAATCCCGGTGGGTGCGTGCTGATGAAGAGTCCCAAATTAGGACGAAACAGCCGTCCAGTACTCCCAGGTTTTCCAGTGGTTCTCTAACTGATGTCAGCTCATGATGAAATCCTACATGTTATCAAATTGAATGTCTTGTTTTAATGGAACATTAGATTCACCAAAATGTGGAACTCTATAAATCTTTATCACAATTACCATTACAAATAAATAAACAAGGTGAACAATTCACTTCAAATATGACCTTAACATTCGATGAACAAAGCCTGTGTCTAAACCAATCAGAGGCGAGGATGTGATGAGAGCTGTCTCCTAGTCAAAATTGTAGACACCAATTGACGTCAATGTTTACGTCCCGAATCAGGATCATGAGAAAAACGAGAAAAAGCCTAACCTTGAGGAACTCAAAAACCAATCACAGCAGACTTAACGTGTGCAAATACGATTCGCAGATATATCGCCTGACCTTCAAAGAAACGGCCACAAAGAGTTGACAGAATAACTTACAGCAAGAAAACAACCAATCAGATGACGTTGCTAACAATAACGAATGATAATGTATATAAAAATCTATAAATATCTGTTGATTTTCTCAATAAACGGTGTGTTGCCTGGTCGTTGACTTCTGTCGTTACATGGGGAGCAGTTTATGATCTTCGTAATTGTGAAGTTGACAGAAGATCAATTTGAAAGTAGTGTCTCATCTTCTTCTTTTAACATTCTTATAAAAAAATATGAGCTGTTCACTCACATTCCTTTCACATTTAATGACAGTGACCGTTAAACAATATAAATAAATACGAGTATGTAATAAACGCACAGATGATTTCTAAACTCACTTTTGCCTGAATTTTCACCTGACATTGAAGATAACGGTAGAACAAGTGATGCTGGGAATCGATCAGGTGTCAAGGGTCTACCTTGATATAATAAAGTCCAATGCAAACGATATATCGGTCTACTTGGTGCTGGTTGGACATGACACAGAAATTCACCTTGTTTAGGCCATTCCGGCGTTAGCGAGAAATCTAATCTTAAACCTGAAGTAATCAATAAAGTATAGGAGGACAAAAAAAATGATAAAAAGTGAAAGATAATTTACATCATTTGACAAAGAAGAAAAAAGTACACCCAACGACTCATGGTCAAGAGGAGAAAGATATATTCCTTATCTCGTGTTATTAACATTCATTTAGAATATGAGTCGGTCGGTCGGTCGGTTTTCGACATAGAACTTTGCACATATGTGCGGCAGTTCAAGTCGCCACAATCTATGTAGCACGCAAAGCAAGAGAAGGAAGTAGAAGAAATGCATAATATAGACAGTAAACAGAGGTGTGAGACAAAGGAATAGTAATAACGGAGAACAAAAGTTTAATTGGAAATCATAAGTCACAAGGAGTGGATGCATCTGCGCCTGCCATTGAGAACGATTTTCAGCCATGTCACCAATTGTTTCCAACCATTGGTTTTTACCATCCCGAGGGCCCCAACCAGGAAGTCTACATCTTCCTACGTGGCTTAGATTGACTGTTGTGGATTTCATTGATTGGTGCCATGTTTTGGTTTGACCGCCGCTAGCTCTTTTCCAGCCTGACCCTATATCAGCTAACATTGCCCGTCGAGGAAGGCGATGACTAGGCATACGTAGCACATGTCCTAACCATCTCAGTCGAAGTAATTTCACAGTCTCGTCGATTGATTTCCCCGCCTTACCTAGCACTCGACCAAAGCCTAACCTCAATATTGCTCACCTTATTATACCACTTCACGCGGGAGATAGAACGCAGGCACCTATGATCGAAGACAGCTAATCTTTTCATGTCTTCTGCTCTCAATGGCCAGGTCTCACAGCCATAAAGGAGGACGGAGCGGACTGTTGAGCAGTACACACGCCCTTTGGTCGATAGTCGGATATCGCGTCTACGCCAGAGACGGCGAAAACTGGCGAATGCGAACCTAGCCCTCTGTATTCGTGCTGAAATTTCGTCGGAGATCAACCCGTTGGGGCTGATGGTACTTCCCAAGTAAGTGAAGCGGTCAACGTGTTCTACCACTTCACTTCCTATTTCTAATCTAGGGGTCGATGAAGTCCAATCCTGCAGCATCATCTTACATTTTATAGGGGCGAATCGCATGCCAAACATGCGGAGATTGTTGCTCAGGGTGTTCAGTAGACTCTGCATTTTGTCAGAGTCCTCGCCTAGAAGGACTATATCGTCCGCATATTCTAAGTCAACGAGATTCTTCCCTGGTAGCAAGTCAATCCCTGAGTCGCTGAAGTGAGTTAGGGTTAAGTCCATTAGTACATCTATGATGAAATTGAATAGGAATGGGGATAAAGGGCATCCTTGACGGACGCCACTAGTCGTCACCACTTCAGATGACAACTCGCCATAAGCTCTCACCTGGCTGCATGAGTACGAGTAGAGTGCCTTAATCAGTGCAATGTATTTTCTCGGCATTCCCTTTACAGCCAAGCATCGCCAGAGAACCTCTCGGTCGACAGAATCGAATGCCGCCTTTAGGTCAAGAAATATAATGATTGTTAGACGCCGGTGGGAATGCCTATGCTCTAGAATCTGTCGAAGGGTGAAGATATGATCAATACACCCTCTACCTGGCCTGAAACCTGCCTGGTTTTCTCGTGTTTGTGTCTCCCGAGCACCACTTAATCTACGCAGTATTATTGAGCCTAGGATTTTAGATACTATATTAGTCAAGCTAATCCCTCTGTGATTATCACAAGACGACTTGTCTCCCTTCTTGTATATCGGAATGATCAGTGACTTACACCAACCCGATGGGACTTCCTCTGATTTCCAGACGCAGCCTAGAACCTCCGTTAACGCAGACAGTAAACTGTACTTAAATACCTCTGGAGTCAATAAATCAGGTCCCGCTGCTTTGCCTAGCTTCAGATTGGTGACAGCTTTAGTAACCTCGGTTAAGGACGGAGGACCTGTGTCTACCTCCCATTCAGGGAGGTGTTGGATGTCCGGTAGGTTAAGTGTGGCTGTGGGCCAATTAAACTGCTCCTCATAGTGCTCTTTCCAGCGCTCCAGACGTCTATCCTGGGAGCTAATTATGGTGCCATTTTTCTCGGAGATTGTTTCGCTTATCATTTGTTTTTTACCACCTGTTTCCCTGATAAGCCTGAATAGTTGTCTGGTGTTGCCTATCGCCGATGCTTTTTCCATCTCTTTCGCCTTTGTCAACCACCACTGTTCACGGTCTTTGCGGAGACTTTTCGTAAGTTTCCTCTTGTGCAGCTTTCGCTCCTCATTGAATTCGGAGCTCGCCGGAATAAGTCTTCTAGCATCTATCAGTTCGGATGAGGCAGTCGAAATCCAATGGTTTTTACTCACCTTTGGATTTACCTTATTCACAGCTTTTACAGCTGTATCTATGGCTGACTGAATATTCTTCCAGGCTTCTTCAGGGTGAGCGCAGCTGTCAAACTCAGATATGTGTTTAGCTAGTTCTTCCTCAAATAGGGACTTAGTTCCCTGGTCGAGCTGGGGACGAGATGGGTTTACCGCCAGCTGTTTCCTACGTCCGTTCAGTCGTAAGCACACACGAGCGCGGACCAGTGCGTGATCGGTATCTACACACGTGTTCCAGAAGGAGCGACAATCTCCTACCGACCCACGCCAACGATAGCTTATTGCTATGTGGTCTATTTGTGTCCAGCGTTGATTTGATGATGGGGGTCGCCAGGTCAAACAGTGTCTCTCCTTGTGTTTGAAGTTAGTGCTTCCAAGAAACAGATGATTATCTGAACAGAACTGTAGGAGACGGTCACCGTTGTCGGTTCGCTGGCACGGAATTCCGTATGTGCCACCAACATTCTTCTCAGATTGACACAATTTCCCTACTTGAGCATTAAAGTCACCAGCTAAAACGACTATATCTGAGCGTCTAGCCTTTCGCAGCAAACTAGACAGCTTTTGGTAGAACTCATCCTTCGTTTCATCCGAACTGCAGTCAGTGGGGGCGTAGGCGGAGATTACGAAAAGGCATCGGCGAGTAGTGCAGTCCTTTCTCCTTTTCACTGATCCGTTCAGGCGGACAGCGCACATTCGGCTATCTACCGGGATCCAGTCAAGTAATGTCTTTTCTGCTCTAGTACTTAAAGCTATCCCAACACCAGCTAATCCTCGTGAGCTAGCCGTCGCATCTCCTGACACCCTCAAGGTGAATTTTGCAGATTCATCCTGTTGGCCAGGTGGGGTTAGGTGAATAACCACACTTGGGTCTTGTATGCGTGTTTCTGAAACACAACATACATCAATGGCTCGGGATGCCAGAGTCTCGGCTAGTGATGCTTGTTGTCCTATTTGGCAAAGTGTCCTAACATTAAATGCTCCTATATAAAATTGGTGGCGTGGTTTTAGGAGACAATCGGTGGTGGCTTTTTGGCTTCCATCGTTATCAGTGCACACAGAGTGAAGGGGAAGTGAAGAGCCAACAAGTAGAGGAGTTGCATTGGTAGAAGGAAGGCAAGATAATAGAGATGAAGATGAAGACAAACATGAGCGAGGATTAGAGGGGTTTCGCGTGCACTTCGGATTGTGAGGGCGATTGGTACTTCCCGGCTGCCCACACCGTGGAAGTTGGTTGCGTGACCGCAGAGCCCAGGGGACAACTGCTTGAGGCCGGTCACACACGGCCTGTTTTTGTTTGTTCTTTTTTATTTGGTGTGTCTCAGTAGCGTATTTATCACTTCTGCCCTGTGACACGGCAGCAGAAAGCGCGGTCGTTGTTAATCCGGGCCCCGACCGATCCGGCATGATATTTTGTGATTTATTTGAAATCATAGGATTGGATTGGGTAACTGCTTTTAGTCTAACTGCTATCCAAACAACCTTTCTGGCATGGTAGGACCTGCAGGAACATAAGTTCCAGCCAGTATAGCTTGTTGGGTCATTGCAGTGTTCAAGCCCGACCACCACGTCAAGGTAGCAGCTTTCGGTCGGGAGAATATGAGTTGACGATGTATGAAGGATAACTGCCGGAGGTGAAGTATAAAAACCTAGAGAAACGAACATACCAGTGACACCAGACTCCTCAATTTGAGTAAGGGACTGAAAGCACGTAAATAATACTAATGTACGGTTACGAGACAATTAGAGTTTAATTAAGGCTTAGAATAGATCAGGGAGCAAAGTATATCGGCCGTAAGCAAAGTCAAGTCCACAAAAGTATTCTGGAACATTGTCCGGCGTGGTTAGCCAGAAGAGAAAAGAAAAATAGTAGCAGCTCCACATCTTGTCATCTCTGGACATCGAGCACCCTCACTTGCATGAATGCTTCACAGTGCTACACAGAGTCGCTCAATATCGTACAAGGGGACTTCGAATACGCAATCTGTACATGGCTGAATCATTAGCTATTCGGGATTTGAAACAAGACCTCTACATTCGAAAGCGCAACATAAATTCACGCGCCCTACTGTGACCAGAGTAACGTTATTGCTATGACTCTGTAAGTCTGTTATTATTATTGTTATAATCATTATTATTTCCATCATCCACATTTTGTTATCACTCTATAACTGTTTATCAATAACACTGAGTTTTCATACTGATTTTACATAAAAACACTTTATCGTTTTTCCACTAGTTCCTATCCTTTCTACACGAGCTTATTGATTAAACATTATCTTACACTTATTACGTCATGCCAGCTTCTGCCTCTTTTTTAATTTCCATTTAGTCATCCCTTCTAGATTACACCTTACATTACGTAATGCATTTTTCGAGGACGAATTTTACTAGTATCTGATTGGCCTTATGATTTCTTTGTTAAATATAATTACCAAGTATTGATTTTGTAGGGATTTTTGTTTAATTGGTTGGAGGATTTCATGACGAGCTAACATCAGTTAGAGAACCATTGAAAAACCTGCAGGGAGTACTGGACAGCTGTTTCGTCAGCCTAGTTTGGGACTGTTCATCAGTACGTACCCACCACCTGGGTTTGAACCCAGAACCTGCTGGTTCAAAGGCGAGTTAGCTCATGGACCATTAAGCCACCGGGACCCGATACAATGGCCAGCCCATGAGTTCTAACTTCTACCGATTCATGAAATAGTGCGACCAATTCGCAACGTCTTCTTCTATGAGTTACTGCCTCACCTTCAACCTGCTGTACCCTGTTGGTCACGGCTTCCCACTAGAATGCCAGGTTGAATGCTTGAATAGGGCTGATGAAGAGCCCCAAACTAGGACGTAACAGCTGCCCAGTACTCCCTGCAGGTTTTCTAATGATTCTCTAACTGATGGCAGCTCATGATCAAATCTTCCAAGCAAAATATAATTACGACTGTACAGCTTATGAAAATGAATCATCGAAAAGAAAATTTTCTTCGCTCTTTACGTCTTTTTCTTAAGACCAGGGTTAGGTGAAAGTAAGGCTAAGAAAACGTTACGGTTGATTAGGGATAAGATTAAGCTGGGGATAAGGTTAGATAACAGGTCAGCGAAAGTTTGCGGTTAAAGTTGAGTTAAGGATGTAAATCTGTCTCCTCAGCGCAACTGAGCTTCCCAAAGTCATCATTGATGCGTTTGTCCCTCTTGGTGTCCATTCTCTAACTGCTTATATCCACTAATATTTATATTTATTATTTCAGAGGCTTCGGTGGAGCCGACTAAGTTAGCAAAATCATCCATTTGTGAACATTTTTTGAAGCATGTTATTCAGCTGTTCCTGATTTATTTTGTAAGGTAATCCACCGGAGCAAACTTAACCAATCTTAGAGTGCGCTTTTTCTGGACTTCAATGACGAAAGCGATTTTATTACTTTGTTTTATTTCTCTCCACCTCCTTGTCTGTAATCGTAATTATCGCCATGATAATATTTCACTTTTTGATCACATTTAAACCACTTCATGTCACCTACATGCTGAATTAACACTAATGAGTCCAAAAATATGACTGTTACAGACACGAACTTACCATAACTACACAATTGCATATGACAACGATGTGCAGGATATTTGTCGCATACATCAGTACAATTATCTCGAGCACAACAATCAAAGCATGTTTCTAAACGTGGTGAACGACCATTATCAGCAGCTCCTGGAGTTGGTTTACACGTTAACGAACTGGATTTTAATTCTTCAGCACACGATGCTAAACAATGCTGACAGTCGAGTTTCAATTGACCACATCTTTGTAAAAGAAAATATCATGGGAACAGATAACAGTTTAAAATAAGAAATTGGTTTATTTCATATATATATGATAACACGACTCATTCAAAAGTTAGTTATATTCAGTAAATTTAAAATTACTCTGACAGAAAATATACTTAACCTTGATCAAGGTATAAACATAAATTAGGAGTATTTATCAGCAGTGTTAGGCGGATAGTACTTGGCAGAATGAGTTTACTCTACTCCTTAAAAAGTGCAGAATAATGCTAGCTTCACATTTACAAAATATAAAGACGACGAAACGAAGAAACACAGGAATTCGTCACGTTTACCATAGGAGAATAACCTAAAAGAAGTGCAATTCAGGTTGTCCTCGGGTGTTTATATCTGACAACGTAATGTCACCTTTAAATTTGTTAACAGGGAAACTGATTCTAATATCAACTAATAGTTTGTTCTCATGGTTTTAGGGGTGATTACGTTAGTGGTGTTGGTGGCACAGTGGTAGAATGCTCGCCAACCACACATGTTGGCGACCCCCGGCCGACGCACTGCTATTAGTGTAAGTGTAGAACTTGGACATTATGGTAGGATGTAGTTCCATGCTAGATAAGTTAATTTTATATATAACCGACAGTAATAGATCATTAATAACTGGTTGACGTTTCAAGCAGAGTTTATTGCACATGATCACGTCAGTACATATTCTGACGGCCTGACAGGTTGCTGTACATATATTTCTGTCTTTCTCTTCCCATTACTGTTTGTTGCAATTTTCCACATATCTAATATAGGTATTGCATCACTTCGATTTTTACTGTTCGGTGTCGATTCCATGAAGCAAGATTCAGAGATTAACCTCTCTCTCTTTCTGTCTACCTAGCTGTATTACTTTTTAATACTTTCACCCTGTCTTACCTTATTGTTTCATTACATTTAAGTGAATGCAATTCAATGGTTAAACTTTTTCTGGGTTAGCAGAGTCAATCATCTTAGTTATAACCAAATGTTCCCTAGCCCATGTTCCCACGATGTTATTGATCCCGATCTACTACTTTGACCTATGTAATTTACCTCAGAGTCTTTATATGGTAATTGGTAAATTATAGTGTTTTTCGTAATTGGATCTATTGGGTCTTTAGGCCAAAAAAGTTTGTGTCTGAGTGAGTTGGTTAACTAATTTAATGCTGTCTTAGTTCCAGCCTTGTTAAGAATCTTATGCAGGGCTTCCTTCTGTGTTGCGTTTAGTAATATAAAGGCCTTGAATTCTATATTATCACTTATTTTTCTGTGGGTCTTTGTACATTCAGAATAAAATCTGACGAGTACGTAGTCACTCCTATTGTTTTCTTCCTTTGTTCAATTTCAATGTATAAATCTTCTGACTTACTAGTTAAATTCCTGGCTGGATTATATAAACACATTACTAAATCCATCTTTATTGATTCTGGATGAATGCTTTCGTCTCATATCACGGTCTAGCGTGGCCACCTCACCTTGTTCGTCTTCCAACTGGACACCATCTACAACTGGGTTTATATATGTGAGGAACTTAGGGATATGTTCAAATTTCAACACAGTGAATGTGTATCATCTACATAACTCCACCAGAACCTAAGAGAAGGATTAGAACTTCTAAACGTTTTACATTCTCAACTATCCATAAATAAGTTTGAAACAACTACGGATATTGGTGATTCCATTGCAACGCATATTTGCTTTATTGCACATTTTATTCTGAAGCTTGAATAAAGCGGAAGTTAGGCATTAATTGAACAGTTATGAATATGTACAGTTATGAATAAAGTTAAGAAATCCACAGCGGATCTTATACGCCGAATGAAGCCGTTTCTAGGTGAGTCTAAGTGGTTTAATTTAATGCCCAAAACTAATAACCCCAGTAGGATGTATGGTGTTGTTAAAGTTCATAAGTCAGGATACCCTATTAGGCCTATAGTTGATTTTAGAAATTCACCTACTTATGAATTATCTAAATATTTAGCCATGGTATTAAATCCCCTAAAAATCCACTCGAAATCTAGACTAACTAATTCTTATGAACTCAAACGTAGATTAGATAATTTAAAATTAGATAATGAAGAAAAAATGGTTAGTTTTGACATAGTCAGTTTATACACACGTGTACCAATAAATATGGCTATAGAGGCAGTCAGAAACGAACTCATTTCTGACCAAGAACTCGAACTTAGGACAAAAGTGCCACTTGAGGACATAATGCTGGGAGTACAGCTATGCCTGACTTCCACAGTATTTAAATTCCAAGGGAAAATATACAAACAAACTGAGGGAGTTGCCATGGGATCACCAATATCCCCAGTGGTAGCAGATATATTCATGGATAAGTGGGAAAGCATAGCGATTAAAACGTTCACCCCCACCCCAAAAGTATGGTGGAGGTACGTAGACGACACATTCACTGTACTTAGAACACAAGATATAGATAGGTTTTTCGAACATATCAACTCGAAGGTTGAAGCAATTCAATTCACTTATGAATTGGAAAATCAGGAAGGGGAGCTCCCAATGTTAGATTGTAAGGTAAAGAGGAAAGAAGATGGGAAGGTAAACACTAGTGTGTACAGGAAACCCACACACTCCAACAGATATTTGGACTTCCGATCATCCCATCCTATGTCAGTAAAAATAGGATTGGTGAAATGTTTAAATGACAGAGCACAAAAATTAAGTAGTACCAAAGAAAATCTAAAACAGGAACTAACACACATAAAAGAAGCCTTAAAACTTAATAATTACCCGTATAAATTAGTCAGGAAATATGTAAGGAAATATAAAAATAAAATAAATAATGATAGTAGCGATAGTGATAATAACAATAATAATGATAATAGTGATAATAATAATAATATTAATGACGACACCAACAATAAAGAATCTAAATCATCAGTAGTAATTCCATACAAGGAAGGAACCTCGGAAACCTTACGCAGAATTCTTAACAAGGCAGGAATAAAAACGGCATTCAAACCCACAAACTCAATTAGAAACAAGCTTTGTCGGTTAAAGGATCCTGTAGAGCCTTTAAAACAAAACAATTTATTTTATCTAATACCCTGCCTAGAATGATTGTCAGGTCAAATACTTAAGTCAAACTAGTAGAACAGGGGCAGTCAGACTAGCCGAACATAAAAACCTAGCAAAATCTAGATTTGCTGACCCGAACAAGATAAGAAATCTAGAGAATAGTTCAGCTATAGCACTACATGCAGTCACACACAACCATACAATAGGATGGGATAGGATGACAATTTTAAAATCTAATGTCACAGGGTATAGGGAGAGATTGATAACAGAAGCTTTGTTTATCGAATCAACTACAAATACATGTAGTAGGAATGATTCATCACCTGTCCCCGATATTTGGAAAATTCTACTACCCATACGACAAATGGGGGAGAACAAAGAAAACTATAAAACTCAAGTGTCAAAGTCGTGTGATCACAATTGATATGATTATGAACAATAAATTTTGTTCGAAACGTCATCCAGTAAATAATACTGTTTCACTGTGTGATATACCTAATAAACAAACTAATATGGAATTAATTGAACACCTAATATTATTTCATCAACCGAGAATCTTATCCCATTTTTAAGTTCAGGACCAATGTACAGTTCATTCTTAACTGTCTCTAGAGCTGTATTAATTGGGATATTGATATATACACCAATATTCAGTGGAGGTTAGTTATAATCGGTTTGTGTATAATGAACAAGAAGGAGGAGAAAAGAATATATATATATTATGAAGCTCTGTGAATAACTTAATAAAATTATGAGTAATAAATTATCTAGATAAAGCAATAAGAAGACGTAATTTGTCTGAAATACGTCGGTGGTATAGCGGTTAGGACGCTCGCCAACTATGCACATGGTTCGGGGTTCGATTCCCGGCCGACGCACTCCTTTACCTCGCTAAGCCAGAAATAAAAGCTGGTAAGGAGGAAAGGTTGGGCATGAGGCTAGCAACCCCATCCTGTAAAAAAAACACTGCTAGCTTGAAGCCCTATGTTCCACTGGGAACGTGAAGGAACAAAAAAAATTGTCTGAATCGTGTAATGTATGTGAGCACAACACATTTCGAACAATCTGATCACACACACGCAGACTTGTCATAGGAATATATTAGAAATTAATAAAGAGGTAAGAGGTGAGAAAATAAACTACTTATGTCAAGCAGGTTAAAAGGACATATTCAAGGTCAAAATAACAATGAAGACCACTAAACCAAATAGCAGAGGCAATAGTACATCTGCTATGGTATCAAAACAAAATTTACCAAGGAAGGTTTAATGTGATGACGAATTGTTGCTTTGAACGCACAAAGGTGGTTTAAACTTTCTAATCGCCAGCTAGGGCTTCCACAAACTTTAGGATACACTCCAAACACGTTTCATAGATAGGTTTAAAAGATTTCTTAACGTCAATTTTATGTCCTATCTCTATAATATTGTTTAGCAATATAAGAGTTAGGTCTCCTGTTCTCACGATTAATGGGTTCTGAAGATTCCATTTGTTTCTGGAGCCATTCTGGAATTATCCTCGAAACGTCGTCCACTTATCAATACTGGATCACTGTATGTTGTACCAAATCAACTGATCCAATATATATGTTTCTTAGAACAGATGTTTACATTAATTTAGCAAATAAACAAACTTTATTTACTTGTTGGTACTTCTTCCTGCTGAACTCAGTACAAAAGAAAAAAATTCGGATTTTCGACACCAATGCCACCATGGTTGTTGTTTCATATAGGTTCGCTGGAGCCATACTGAATATCAGATGGAATGAAAGAATAAGCAACAAGGAACTCTGGAAGTTTAACAAACCAACCAAGAAGCTGTTGGCTAGGAAATATTCTGAAAGGAGTGAAGATGAATCGGACACACACTGTGGAGAGACCTTTGGCAGACATAGTGCGTAGCCAGACCATCGCTCGAGTGGAACCCGAGTGAGAAATGACGAGTCAGGTATACAAAGGTGACATGAAGGAAATGAAACCTTATAACCAGTCGTGGAGTCACATATAGAGGGATGCAGACAGCAGGATAAATTGAAGATAGGCTGTTAAAAACCTGTGTTCTTCTCAGGAGCCAAGGGAATGATAACAATAATAATACTGCTACAAAAATGAATAATCAAGTTAATCATCCTGAAAGTTTTGTGAATACTGTGAAACTTACAATTGCTTCTCTTCATAATAAATAGAACGCGGGGAAGCAAGTTCAGCATTCCAATGAGATCCAAAGATTGAAGGTAAACGACCAGGTTCTAGACAGGCGACAACCGCTGGTGTTGGACTTCCGCTGTTTGTTTTAGACTGATCATAAATACTTCTATGCTCTGATCCAAATGTTTGTGTATAGTGTTCTGATTCAGTTTGACGTGGAGTGAGTTCTAAAGGTGGAAAGTGTCCATGTTGTTTATATGTGCGACAACTGGCTAGAACAGGACGATGGCCTGGTAAACTGGCATCTGGTACTGTAGCAGTAGTAACATTCTATGCATAAGAATATTCGAGAAAATGAACAAAAGGACTGTCGTAAGTTTCATTGAACAGAAATAACTGATAAACCACATGACTAAAACCTAAGTCTAACAGTATGTATTTTATTTTATTTTTTTGTTTTATTGTAGCTTGATTCCACACAGTATTTTGGTACAAGTATGAAATTTTCAGCGTGTGATATCGGTAGCCCAAATTTAGCAGGCCGACCACAGATATCAGGTGTGCGTCGGCGGGGGATCGAACCTCGGACCATGTGCATGATCGGCGAGAGTCCTAACCACTGTGCCACCAACGCTGTTAGTTGATTGGACCGAAATGTTGGGCTTCTGTTGACATGTCACCTCCCCAGTACGGACGCTTTGACGATGTCTCAGGATTAACTTAAAGTGATTTGGTGAATGGTAACTAGCAGTGGAATCTACCAGGACGCGTAATTCGTCCTATTTGGGGCTTGTCACCTGGACGGCAATTTTGTCACTAACTTCTTTCATGAAAAACACATCTCATATAAGTGTGATTTTACACGTAGAGAGGAAAATGAATCCGCTGAAATGGGCCTCTTCCCTGAACTACGTATTTCGTTTTCATTAATGTCTGGATGGTGATTATTCATGACTTACTAACTGTTCGTTGGTTTTTATTTCTCACTGTTCAAAATAAGTCCATTTGGGTGAATTAGTTTCTGTTTCACTGTACGTTTTGTACATTTCTTCGGTTAATATTGTTATAACTGCCTGTGGAACCTAATTCTTAGTTATATATTCAAATATGTTCCTATTCTCGTCACAGAAGCACCGTGGGTGTTTTGCTCTCAGATAACGCTCTCTTATTAAGACCATGTTAGACATTTTATGTTTCCACGTGTCAACTCAACTTCATTCTAGCTATTCTTGTGTATATCATCACTCAAGTAAACTAAACTGACGGGTTTCGATATACCTGTTAGCGTCATAGTACTTAATGTTACACCTTGTCAGCTAAATGTAAGACTAATTAGAAACAGCGTACTATGCACAAATGAAGCATAACTAACTATATAAGTAAATATTGTTTGAATGTGTTGTGTCTTCACTGTTTTGTAAAAGATATAAAGAAGGCGAACGAATATATTAACTTACCCGATGAACACGCATACCAAGACGATAAAGCGGTGGGACTGGATAAGGGCATAACTTTGATAAAGTACTATTTGCTTTCAATGAATAAGCATGCACCGTATGATATTGACCAGTAGCAGATGACCATCTGTAAGAATCCGGCTCCAAGGTTGACTGATCCATCAATGATGCAGCTAACATAAATAGATGGTTGTCATTTCCTGATGAATGATCCACTGGACCCAAAACTGGCATTAAATTAAGGATTTCAAAATCCAAACGAACCTTGGAATAGAAATATTAAGAAGTTCTGTGTTGAGACTGAGTGAATTAAGTGTAGTAACACTGATAAAATTTATCAACAGTAAACAGTCAGACTTTTCATACACACTTCTTCCCTTCTATGAATATGAATAAGGGCAAGAACAGCAATTTGTTTAGAATAAGATGCTACCACCATCATTTTTTTCGTTGGCCTCTCATCAGCTGCACACAGCATAATGAAATGCACTGAGTTTATGTATTATTATTATCATTATTGTTTCCTTTGATTCCTAGAGGAACATAGAGCTTCAGTCATGCGTCTTCATTGAGTTCGGTCCTCTGCTAGAGTGTTAACCTGGCTCCAAGTCTGCCCACACGTTTTCATCTCCTCTACACATGACCTCCTCCAAGTCACCCTTGCACTGACGACCAACTCGCCGCTTCCCTTTCGGGTTCCACTCGAGCAATGGCTTGTCTAGTGATGTCACTTGATGGTTGGTTTTCTCAAAGTATGGTCAGCCAATCCATCTCCATTTCTTCCTGCCTATTTCTTTCACAATCGGTTCCAGCTGGGTTGGTTCGCTCCCAGAGATCTCTGTTGCTGATCTTTTCTGGCCAGCCATCTGATCTTGAGTGGTATTGAGCGAAGACAACTGTTAATGAAGGTCTGTAGTTTGTTTGAGATGCTCTTTATGACGCGCTGGCCAAGTCTCTGATCCGTATAGTGAGTAGCACTGACTGACTTCACATTGGAGTTGAAAATCCCGATCTTATTTTTGACCTCTACACAGAGCTGAGAGTAGTGAAAGCTTGTCTTGCTTTTCCAATTCTTGCTTTGATATCCTCGTCAGTTCCGCCTGTAGTTGAAACGGTGCTTCCCAGGTAGGTGGTAGAGTAGGTTGTTTCTTTCAGGTTCCTTCCATTTATGCTGATTGTTGTCTGTTGTTGTTGCTGTTGGTGGTGTTGCCCAGGAATCTTCATCACCTCTGTTTTATCTATGTTCACCTGAAGTCCTATCTCTGATGCTTCTTCTGCCAACTTGTTGTTTTTCGCTTGCATATCTCCCAGTTTGTGGGAGATCAGACATATATCATCGGCGAAGTCCAGATCCTCTAAGTTTTGTGTGAGTCCATTTTATGCCTGTTTCCTCATTGCCCGCTGTTCGTTGCATTACGAGTTTATGTACAGAACAATTTTAACATATTTGCAAAGGTTACTTAATGTCAGTTGACAAGAGACTCCAAACTTAGGAAACAGTCCTCACAAATTACAATTATTCAGTTTTTATCCACAGAGTACAGGTTTAAAAAAATTAGATGGCGAAATCAATTAATGGTAAAAGAGCCACGTAATAAAGACAAGCGGTGAATAAGATCATGAGTAACCAGTTAATTAAGTAACAGTGTGGTAGGTTCAACTCAAACCCCGGAAACACGAGATAGACAAAGTTGCACTACCTAAAAGAAGGGGAGGTTAAAGCCAAAGATTACGTGATCAAATAAAAAAGAGAATAAAGACATCCATCCAGTTGCCAGGGCAAGGAATGACTAATAACTACTTCTTCTTGAACACATAAATCAGGTTTCAGGAGTTCGATAGCGATTGTTGCAGAAAACTTGAGGAGAACTGAACTATAATTCCGAAGGATTTCATGGTGTCTACGTCATGGTCTGTGTCGCGAAGACGTCGAGCAATGATACTATTGAAATCGTTTGTTCCCTTGAGGGGTAGGCTTTTTGGCACATGTTTAGATAATTGATAGTGCGCTCTTCTTCCTATTCTCTAAATAGAACTGCTTCCTCAGATACATTTAAATTTGTATACGCAGTTAGAGTTAACAAGAGAAGGATATCTGTCTTCCTTTCATGTCGTCCGATAAGTGGGAGTCAACTTAGCTGCAGGATTGGTTCTGGCCAGTGAGGTTTTCAACCTTTTGTTGACTATTCCTGAAGTATTATCACCTTTAAAATTGGGCTGAATGAAGATAGGCTCCTTTACCGCTGTGATTCGTTTGGCGTTTGAGCCTACACATCTTCTGTAATTGTTGGTGAATTCCTGAAGGTGACCATTGATTATTTTCAACATCTTCCAGAGAATCAGAAATTATTCCTGTAATTTTTTTTCCTGTAGAGCATATTTTCCTACCTTTATGAAAGACTTTCAACCAGTGCTCATCTGTAGCTATGTGGACGACAACCATTAAAATGTAAGTATTGTCCATTTCATATAGATAACTAACGAACAGAAATAAAAACCAGCACCAATCACCATCGCCGGAAAAGATATAACAAATATTACGAATATAAAGAGTAGTAATGTACATAAAAATCTATAAATATCTCTTGATTTCCTCAATAAACGATCTGTTGCCTGGACCTTGTCTTCTGTCGTTACAATTGAAACGATGGTGCCTAGATAAGTGAAGGAAGTGACTTCTATCAAGTTTCTTCCTTTGATAATGATTAGTGCTTGATTAGCGCTAATAACACATTGCAAGTTTGACGCGCTACATAATCTAGGCAAAAAAGGAGAGGTACAAAGAAGACACAATAGTTTTTAATACATTATCCAGCATGACTTGAAAACAGCAACAAACTGTAGAGCTGCAGCCACTAAGGGTTTTCGAATATTATGAGCCATACGCAAGGCTTTTGTGAACGTTGACGCTAATATATTTCGTTTATTATATCCGACTTATATCAGACCTCATTTGGAATATGGGATCCAGGCAGTGAGCCCGTGTTTCAAATACGAAATAGACTTATTAGAAAGGGTGCAAAGAGTAGGAACTAAGCTGATAAAGGGTTTCTCGACCCTCTCATATGAGGAAAGGTTAAGTCGACTGGGTTTATTTCCACTGTCATACAGACGACTTAGGGGTGACCTAATACTAGCATACCGTATCCTAAGAAATGATTTTGGAGCTAATTTATCTAATTTATTTCTTCCTTCTAGCACCAACCAATTGCGAGGACATCACCTCAAGGTTCAAAAACCACGGTCGAATCGTCTGAGTCTGGAGATCCGTTTTTCGCATCGAATTGTGAACCATTGGAACTCCCTACCGGAACACGTCGTATCAGCGCCATCCGTTGATTCATTCAAGGCGAGATTGGACCTCCTGTGTGCAACAAATCGAAAGGATTAACACAGGCACATAGCCTACTATCCTAAATAAATTGTAAACTGTAAATTGTAAACCTCTGCTGACCCTGTGAAGCTATTCACAGAAGGAGGAGAACTTTTTCATAGCAATGAAAACATACCACTATTCTTTTAAAAAGTGAAAACAGTATTTATTATTTCATATTACCTGATAACCAGATCCTCTGTCAATAATAATAGACTTATTCATTGGTAAACGTCCAATATCTTCTGGATGAAGTGTAACTGTCGCTTCTTGTACTTTTTTACGATTTTCAAACCAAACATTCTTTTTATACGGAACAACTAATTCGGGTATAAGATCCTTACCTACAGGAAATAAAGTCATTAAAATAAAATTGAGATACTTTTTGTTTCTTCATTATTCCAGTTAATATTATAACATTTTGCAGCTCAATAGATTAAAAACACTAAATATACGGTACTAAGATTGTAGAGATTTGATTAGTTTCAGTGCAGATTACGTCATAGCCCAATGTCAGTTAGACATGTTGATGAGTCCCAGTACTTGGACAAAACAGCTGGTTGATTATTGCTTGTTAATTCTCAGAGATTCTGTAGAGAATGTTCATTCCTGATTATATCTCCAGTGAAACGAGTAATGACTGACTGGTTTCAACGTACAAAATTTGCACAGATGTGCAGCAGTTCGAGTTACCATATTCCCTCCATGTAGCACACAAAGCAAGAGAAGAAAGTAAAGAGACTTAAAAGAGAGAGATAATAAACAGAAATGTGAGGCATAAATAACAGTAATATGAAAGAGCAATACACTTTTATTGTATATAATAGATCACAAAAAGTAAATACATCTGCGCCACTATCAAGAAAGATTTTGAGTCATATCACTAATTGTCTCGAGGATGCCTACACCTCCTCACGTGGCTGGCTTAAACTAACTGTTGTGGATTTCCTTGACTGGTGAAGCCAAGTTTCGATTTGACCACCACTGGCTCTTTTCTAACCTCATCCGGTGCCAGCTAACGTTGCCAGTCGGCCGAGGAAGACGATGGCTAGGCATGTGTAACAAAACGAGTAATGGAGACTTAGTGTATGCTATCTAAAGATTAAACCATTCATTTCCCAACTGTGCGGAAAAGCAAGACACGCTTTCTTTACTCTCAAGTCTGTGTGGAGGTCAACAGCACTCAGCGTGAAAATGAGATCAGGATTTTCAACTCCAATGTGAAGTCAGTGCTACACACTATACGGATCAGAGACTTGCACTGTGCGTCATAAAGAGCATCTCAAACAAACTACAGACCTTCATTAATAATTGTCTTCGCTCAATACCACTCAAGATCAGATGGCCGAACACAAAAGATCAGCAACAGAGATCTCTAGGAGCGAACCAACCACGAACCGATTGTGAAACAAATAGGCAGGAAGAAATGGAGATGGATTGGCCATACTCTCAGGAAACCATCAAGTGACATCACCAGGCAAGCCATCGCTCGATTGGAAGCCGAATGGGAAGCGGCGAGTTGGTCGTCAGTGCGAAGGTGGGTGCCTTGGAGGAGGTGATGTGAAGAGGAGATGAAAACGTGTAGGCAGACTTGGAGCCAGGTGAAGACTGTAGCAGAGGACCGAACGCAATGGAGACGCACGGAATTAAAGGGAACAATAATAATAATAAATTCCCAACTGTTAGATAGTTTAATATTTAATACATCATCCTTGAGATATTTCCCAGTAAACCTTTCCGTGCACTGATCTGTTTTTTCAACTGCCTTCTCCTTGACTCAAAAGTATGCCTGAAACCCCCAAGTTGACTGCAGCATTCTTCCTCATAAGTAAGATTGGTGTGATTGTATATAGACATAAATCTATTTATTAGGCAAGTTGTATTTTCATGCTATTTATATTTGATAGTGATGTGGTCAACATACATCTTATAAAACGCAACATTAGTGATCGTCTAACAGGCCATATTTTCCACATATCACATGAAGGTACCATCCAACAATGTTTAGATGAACTTGGTCTTTAGAAGATGGTTGAGGGTAATTGGCTTAAAGCCTTGGATTTGGGTTTCATGCCTGTCAGAACTCGTCAGAAAGGAACAAGTCATGTCCCTCTGAAATTTGAACCCGTGTCACAGAGTGCTTCACTCAGAGACATTACCACTGAGCTACTTGAGTTTATGATTGACCTCATGTAGGTAGGAGTGCTGTGATTACTTTGACTGGAAACTAGGTAGTTAGTGACTTGTGTCATACGTCTAGTCTGGTGTTTGGTAAAGACTGAATTCCACCGGCCAAGTTTGTACTGTGACTATTCAAATTCAACAAGGGGGAGAATCCCACTACTTTATTATCAAATAATTATAAATTTTGTCTAAAATATCATAGATAAAAAATTAAACAATAAGAGACAAAGTGTGTGGATGCACGCGTTCAATTCTTTATTATTATTATTATTTTTTTAAGGCGGTCAATGTGTACTTACGTTTGCAGATACGATTACTTGATCCTTTGCATGGTGATAACTCGAATTCTTCAGAAATGCATAATGGACGACAAGCTATTCAAGACAGAAAATAATAAAATAATAATAAAAGTTATTATGCAATTCAAATTTAGGAAGGAATCATATGCGAAGACCTAATTACCTTTCACCCAGTAAGACTGTTGGTCTGGATTGATTGATTTCAGGACTGATTACGAAACCATTAGGAACCAGAGAGTGCTAAGCAGCTACTTTGGCCTTGTTTCTGGCTCTGAAGCAGTACGTAGCTATGACTCCACTTGGGATCAAACCCAGTACCTCCACGCTACAAGGCGTGCTCGTGTGATGAATCCAGTGACCCATCAATCCTGACTTATGTCACAATTCGAGATACGTAATTGAATATAAAACTATTTCCTGCTGATTGCTTTCGATGATTAGTTGCATACTACTTATACCAGCCAGTCGCCAGATAAAGTGACCTCAACACCAGAAGGCTGTTTCTTCTCGTTTGGGGCCGAACTCATCAGTGCTGTACAGTTTGACTCGACTCATAAGGAAGGCAGCCGAATAAATTGAAACCATATGATTTTTGTCTAGCTACTTGGGTGAACTTCTGATAGTATAAATGAAAACCACAATTTAGTATAAGTGGTATACAAGTACACATCTCAATCCCTCAGTAGTATGTAGCCCTGAGCAAATATGTTTACTTTCTCAATTACCATTTATGGTATCCAGCAGAGATTATATGCTGGGATCCAAATAATTTCGTTTCCAAAGGAAACTGCAGTTAAAATTTCACCAAACGAACTGTGTTCATTGCAAATTGCTCACTAATTCGCAAACTGTGAATTTCACTCCAGATGAATACCACTACAACCAACTATTATCAACCGCGAGTATCTGTGCTCAGACCCAACTTCCTGAACCCTCTTCAGAAATTTCATACATTTATTCCCCTTAATGAATTTGAATAAAGCGAGAAATTTCCTGAAAAAATCGTCTTCCCACCAAATCTTTCAAATCACTGAATCATGTGGTGAAAATTCCCTGCAGACTTAATAATGACTGTGGCCTGTAAGCAGCTGATGAGAAGGCAACGAAATAAATGATGGTACCACTTTATTTTGCAAAAACTCTAGTTCTCACTTTATATAATTTCCTGAAACCCGTTGGTGTAAACTTTTCACTAGAACTTAAGGCAACTTCGTCCTGTAATTATGTTACGACAGAAGACCAAAGCCAGGCAACACATCGTTTATTGAGAAAATCAACAGATATTTGTAGATTTTTATGTACATTATTATTCGTTATTGTTATCAGAGAAGCAAAGCCTTGTGATTGGATGATTTCCTGCTGAAGGTTATTCTGCCATCTCCTTGTAGCCGTTTCTTAGACAGTCCGGTGATGTATCTGCGAATTGTATCCTCCCACGCTAAGTCTGCTGTGATTAGTTGTTGAGTTCCCCAAGGTCAGTCTTTGTTCTAGTTTTTTCTCATGATCCCGATTTGGGACGTAAACATTGACATAAACTGCTGCCTGCTAATTTCGGCTAGCAGACAGCTCTCGACACAGTTAGAAATTAGTCAGCAATAGATTAATTTTTAAATATAGATTTCCAGGGATTTGCTTGATTTCAAAATAGAGTAGTAGACACCTACTTCCTTCTTGCACGAAACTCTTCAGTCGGAGCTTGCTTTATAATCTGAAGATCTTAGGTTCGAACCCTAATGATTGGGTCATGGATGCATTCTTCTGAAGAGTCCCAAACTGATAATACGCACTTTTCTAGAACTTTCTGTTTTCCAATGATTCTCTAACTAAAAGTCGGTACATGAACAATCTTAAAATAAGGTATTTTCTCATCAGATATTGTGATTTATACCATTCTTATGAAGACAAACTCAAATAGCACGAGTTTGCTTCACTTCTTCTTCACTCCTCGGTAAAGTTCAACAATAGCGTCCCAAGGGATGCGAACCCACAAGTGTCCTTGAGCCAACAAATCATAGAAATGAGGAATTTTTGTATGAAAAATTACGTATATTTACAAGAAAATGAATGAAAATACTTTGAAGAGGGTATCTTTCCCTGACATGACTTAAAAATACGTCCCAGTGATAATGAGGAGTATCAGTTGCTAAGTTAGACTAGTTTGTCTATATGTATACACCAGGTGACTGAAGATGAGCTGTTTTTGTGAAGTGTTTACCTCTCTTATCTTGTTGTGCAGTCCTTCCCAAAGCCCTCGGTTAAATTACCATGGTTTCCATTAAGAGGATCGACGACTATTTACCAGGAAAATGTGGGCAATAAAAAAAATTGAAATAAATGACATCAACTCTAAATCTATCCGTAATCGCATCCATAACCTTAATCCTGACCCAAACCCTGAACTTAACATCAAACCTAACCTTAATCCTAACCCTAATTACAACCCTTATCCTAACCTTAAGTCTAACCCTAATCCTAATTTTGACCCTAACCCCAATACTTACATTAACCCTAATCCTAACCCTAGCGAGCTATTACCACATTATCCAAGCAGTACTTAGAAACGTGATCTGGGTGAATATCACTGATATTTCAGCTTCGATAATGACAGAGGTGCCGTTAGCCAACGACTAGCGTGCGTTCAAGGTCATTGAGGCGTTCGTACTCTTGAGACGCTATTCTTGAACTTCTCCCACTCCAATAACAATAAAATAGTCAGACGTAAATTTAACATTGTACTTAATAAATGAACCAGTTTTCAGAAAGTTGATGAAATCATCTGAAAAAAAATTCGAATTTGTCTAGATGATAACTCATACTCAGCTATTAGTATCTGACATTGTACACAGCCTGCAAACATGAATGCCTAGTTAGATCAAGCCTTTATTAACAAGATTAAAAACCATTTTCTCCGTGAATTATTCCTGTTCCGAAATATTCATGTGATATTCCAAAACAATATTGCAATCGTCTACTCTATATAAGTTATGTATAATATTTAGTTATTGCAAAAAGAATGCAGCAGCCAGCGGTAAATGAAGTGAATACAAGGAATACATCTAATTTTACCGAAATGGTGACCAGACGGTAATTAGTCTAGCTGTCTCGACTTTATCAGCCAACACTGATCAAGGACACATTGAGTTCACTAAACTATATATATAACATAAATATGCCACTGACTGTGGAATTAATTAGTCCAGCCATCGATTATGATTACTTGTTTCTCCTGAACTTTCTGCTAGCGAAACCTTACAAACCAAGAGAAACTGTATGGTAAGAGCTGTTTGCAAGCCAAAATCGTAGACAACAATTAACGCCGGTATTTACGTCCCAAATCAGGGTCATGAGGAAAAATAGGAAAAAACCAAACCTAGGGGAACTTAACAACCAATCACAGCAGAATTAACGTGCGCAAATACGATTCGCAGATATATGGCTTAACTTTCTAAGAAAAGGTCACAAGCAGTACAGAATAACCTTCAGTAAGAAAACAAGCAATCAGAAGACGTTGCTTTTCCACTGACAATAATGTACATACAAATCTATAAATATCTGTTGATTTTCTCAATAAACGATGTGTTGCCTGGCCCTTGTCTTCTGTCGTTACAATAGTACTTAATTACAAAAAAGGAAACAAAAGAATGAACAAATGACAATCTATAAATAGCATATAACATTACAAGTGAGATAATTCTGGAAATTATTCAAAATGAAATTGATAATTAACAATCTACAACACTTTCGTTAACTGCGATAATAACGTAATTCTTGATGATGTCTTGTTTGCATTCAACAACTGCGATCCCTCTTTGGAATTCACCGGAGAAAAATAATCAGAACTAAGCATTCCATTTGTTGATGTGTGCCTTAGTAGACGTAATGACAGATCTCTCAAAAGACCCATCCACCAGAAGCAGTACATGAAATGAACAACTAGCTAATTTTTATAGTTGGGTTACTATTTCCAGGAAAAGGAACCTAATTTATTCCCTCTGTTTAAGGTTAGGAAATATTTGTAGTTCTGATTGCATTGACTCAGAACTTGCCTTCCTAAAAGCCACACTCACAGAAAACAGTTACCTGAACCGATTTATTGACAGTAACACGAAAGACAAACAGTTCAAACTGATCACCAACTCAATTCCAGAGGAGACCACATTTGTGAACTTAATTTCGAATTCAAAAGTGATCAAGCTTCAGATAAGCTCAAAAACCGTCTCTCTAAAGCAGGTAGTAAGACTTTCATTGCAGCAAAATTACAAATGACGTCCACGAGCTGTAAGTTGTTCTCCATCTCTGTAAAAAATAAGTTTCCTCGTCTGGCCACCTCCATTTGCATCTATCAGTTCACCTGCTCTTGTGGAGCAAAGTATATTGACTGTAAGCAGAGAACGTTTTCCACATGGATGCGGAAATATATTCCAGGATGGTATTACAAGGGAGAAAGGAAGGGTGTGCGAAGCTATATTCTAGAACATTTGATCAACTCCCGTAACTCTAATAACCCTGATCATGATTTTAAGATCATTAATCAAATCCATGCTAACTCACGGTGTTTTCTTCGTTATAAACTTCTAAAGATAGTAGAGGCCTTGACCATTCATGAATTTAAGACAAAATAATTATGTACAATCCCTACGTCTACCATGACCGTAAAGAGATAAACATTTATTTACTTATTTATTATTATTAATAACCGTAATAATAATATTAATATTAATGACGACATGCATGTCAAACATATGCAGGATAATGACAATACCAACAATAAGGAATCTAAATCATCAGTAATAATTCCATACAAAGAAGGAACCTCGGAAGCCTTACGCAGAATTCCTAACAAGGCAGGAATAAAAGTGGCTAGCATTCAAACCAGTCACAAACTCAATTAGAAACAAGCTTTGTCGCTTAAAGGATCCTGTGGTGCCTTTAAAACAAAACAATTTAGGTTATCTAATACCCTGCTGGAATGATTGTCAGGTCAAATACATAGGTCAAACTGATAGAAGAGGGGCAGTCAGACTAGCTGAGCACAAAAGCCTAGCAAAATCTAGATTAGTTGACCCGGATAATATAAGAAATCTAGAGAACAGTTCATCTATAGCACCACATGCAATTACACACAGGCACACCACACATAGGATGGGATAAAAACGACAGTTTTAAAATCTAATGTCACAGGATGGAGGGGAGAGATTGATAACAGAAGCTTTGTTTATCGAATCAACTGTGAATACATGTAATGGGAATGATTCAGTACCTGTCCCCGATATCTGGAAAATTCTACTATCCCTACGACGACAGATAGGAAAGAACAAAGAAAACCACAGAACTGAAGATTCAAAGTCGTGTGTTTATAATTGATATGATTGTGAACAATAAATTTTGTTGGAAAAGTCATTCAGTAAATAATACCGTTTGACTGTGTGATACATCTACTAAACAAACTAATATCGAATATATATATTTATATATATATACTATTGTACAGCTTGATAATAAGTTCGTTTTTAATGTTACAATCAGAATTATCAAATTATAATAAGCGAAGGATATACAAAAAGAATAAACAAAACGAAAAATAAAAATGGCCAAAGTATGATTGGAGATTATCATACTTTAGCATAGACGCATTAAGACCCTGATGTTGTGGAGGGAGAATTATATCTTCCAGGAATAATCTCAATAGAAAATGGACTTTCGCCACGTTTTATAGACAATAACACACGGTAAAAACCTATGAAATGTGGCTTAACATCTGTAGTGAAGGAAATGCCGCACATGAACTTGAACTGCTGACATTCTTAAAAGAAGGAACACACAGTCTCAGAAAAGGACATTCATTTCAACATCGTTAAGGATAACATTTTCCCGTCAACCACCCCTGATCAATAACTTGAAGGAAAGTTACCTCAGTTGACCAACTCTGTGTGAGTTTATCACTTCACGTACTCCTGTGGAACTGGGTATTTCAGTCTCTCGACTCCAGTCTTGTCCAACAGGGTGTAAGAACACCGTCTTCGGGTGGTTAAGAAGAGTTGGAAGTGGGGCTATAAAAAGCACAATCCCTGAACATCTAGTCGATAATGGTCACCCTGTCTCTACAGCCTTCGCCTTTAAAGTTATTTGCAAGGCGAAAAATAAGCTCGCTCAAATCACTAAATACCCAACTCATTTGTGTTGCTGAAGCTTTGGCCATAGAAGCAGAGAAGCCAGATTTCTGCATACAGCAAAACGGTTTGTTCAACTCCTGCGACTCTCATGATCTTAGTCAGTCTGTGCTAGAGTAAGATAATCCCCAATCATACTTTGGTCCTACTCATTTCTCGTTGTGTTTTTTTATTGAATTTGTATATCCATCCCTTATTACGTTGATTGTAATTATTATCATTAATTTTACTTTGAACAATTTCCAGTATTATCTCATTTGTCTCCTATATTCATTTAATTCAATATATAACAAATTCATTACCTCGACAGATTCTATCAGAGTATTGGGAACAGGGCTTGTCTTCATACATTCCAGCTGGACAGGATGTTGAACATGCTGAAATTTGAAGGAACAAAGAAAAAAACAAAAATAACTCATATGACTCGCAGATTTTAGGATAAAATCACTAAAATGAAAATATGAGTTTCATCGGGATACTTAGGCACCATACTACAACAGGTGGCTTAATATGATATATTTTCAGTTTTATGTATTCGTATACCTGCAAAATGCATCGTAATTAGTTCAATCTCTAAGACAAGCTTTTCATAATGAAGCCTGTGATTGCACTGGAGGATTATATTTTCTATCAAGCACATTACTACTGAAAGTAGCATAGTCATTTAAATCGAATTCACAGTTTGCAAATGAGTTAGCATCAGATGGTTGAAGACAATCGACAGGAAGCCCTGCTTGACCTAGGTTTCGTACTATTCGGCATTCACCAGTCAGCAAGGTGTATCTGCATCCTTGAAGGGACTCATGTGTCTCCTGAGATTCAAACCTGTTTCATCCAGTGCTGCAGTCAGAAACGTTACCAGTGAGGTTATTCAAGTTCGTCCAGTGGTAACGGCTCTGACTGAAGCATTGGGTAACACGGATACGAGTTCATCCCAGATTGCAGATACGCCCTGCTGACTGGTGAGTGCCAAATAGAACGAAACTTAGGTCAATCAGGGCTTCCTGCCAATTGCCTCCAACTATCTAATATCAACAATTGAAAGTGTACCGTGACAGTGAGCCGTCTAGAATGCTGGCCACATTGCAAACTTGACTGATAGAATTCAATCCACATCAAAGATAGGACTAGACACACTACACTAGCCATTGACTAGTATCCGATCAAAGTAAATCAGTTAGTAATTTGCAATATACATAGTTCAACGGGTGAGATTTTCACCACAGTTTATTTAGATCACACACAGAGTAAGTGCTCTGCTTGATATCATAAATAGTAATCGACAAAGCAAGTATATTTGCGCAAAACCATATACTACTGATTGATTGAGTTGAGTAGTTGTATACCACTAATATCAGTCAGAAGTGCTTGCCAGCCAGGCATATCGGACGGCCAAACTGTGTACATTGCTGACTACTAACTAACTGGCAAATTATGCATTCGATTTAATGGAGCACCCGTTAGCCCAAGTAGCTATCCAGAGATCGGATGATTCGAATTGATTCCACTATCTCAGGTAATTCAAACCGGGTAGAGAGCTGATATGCTCAGTTCCAGACGAACGAAACTGCTCTCCGGTGTTTAGCATCACTTCTATCTGACTGGCTGACAAGCACTACTGGTTGACACGCGTGGTCTACGACTACTATTCATCTCAATCAGTTAGTAATGCAGAGTTTCTCATGCGATATAGTCAATTAATACTCAAAAAGTAGTTAGTCCCTAGGAATGGCATAAATGAGTGTGAACGACTATAATTTTGAATTAATTATTTCAAAACGTGGAATTTTCCAGCTGGTTATTAGTATTCACTTTCTTAATTATCGAATTATTATGCTAATTAGATTCGGGGAGGATAATAATAAAGAAGCCTCAGTTAAAGTAGATTATTGTAAACTTGTTCAATGAAAAAAAATATTTAAAACAGCCCTTTCTTTTCTAGTTTATATAAAAATAGAATAACTTACGTTTACATTCAACGGATTGGTTTCTACCACAAACACCAGACATCCAATAGCCTTTAGGGCAGGTTGTATCACAGGCTAAAATATAATGGCAACGAGGAAGTAATTTTAAAATAAAACATATGAAGAAGTTATCTGACTATTCCGATTTAAATTGTATCCCACAAGAATGTGATAATTGCCATCCTTCGATTAAATTCACAATGAAATTAGAAAATACACCAAAGATTCCACTTCTGAATGTAGAATTGACAAGAAGAGATGATGGGACTCTGGAAACATCTATCTACAGAACACCATCATGGAACAAGCAACTGACAAACTTATATAGTTGACAAAGAGCTCTCATCATTTCACTGGCTCACCGTATCATAAGAATTTGAAGCATTCATCGCTTAGAAGAACTCTTATTTCTCAGAAATAGCCTGGCTCAAAATGGATACCAGACACGTCTCATGGAAAACAAAATGAAACCAAAGCCAAAATGAGAAGAATGCATTTCATTGCCGAAGAAGATACTGTATATGAGAATCTGGACTTCATGAGAAGTTTATTGGCAGATATTCTAAAGAGGAGAATCTCCAGTTCCCAAATAGCAAGACCAACGGTGACATTCTCTAGCGACTCAATGTTTTTAAGCAATGTGAAGTACAAACTTTCACATATGACCACTCTTATGTGGATATATCAATTTACTTGATCCTGTGGAGCTAGGTACATAGCTCACCTTATGCGCATCCTTTCAAAACGTGTTAGAGGAAGTTAACCAGTAGGGTTGCAAAGAGGTACTGGTTCAATCAGAAGCGCCATGGATGGACACCTCTTCAACACCTCCTACAGCATCTCAGCTGACTCATTTTCAAAGTACAAGCGAAAATCTAACAAATGCGGTATGTTTCCAACATTTCTGTACTGCAAGAGCTCTCACTATATGCATGGAAAAGCCACAGCTTCTTTGTTCAAAAGAAATTTACTATGGATTTAGTTCGATTTGACTCCTTATTTTCCGTTTATTTGCTTTTTCATTCCCTTCTTTTTTGTCATAAAAACTATTATTTCAGTTTTTGTTTCCATGCTCATGCAATGCACACATGTCTTCGTTGAAAACTATTTTGTCATCTGACATAACTTTTTCTGATCCTGTGTGGTTTTGTTTCTAAGCGTCTTGTGGTCTATGTCCACATATCATTATCAAACTCAAAATTATTATCACCTTTAATGCTAAACTTATGTATATCAATGCGATTGTCTATCTTCTTTTGAGGATGAAATTTCTGAGTCAGACAAAAGAAAAGGAGTTCTGACGATATCATTCTCAAGCTATGCGGTAGCATGTATATATATATATATATATATATATATATATGGGGAGAGAGTAAATTATCTTAGCAACAGAATTTTAATAATAATAATAGATTTATTCCAAACAGTATATGTGGTACAGGTATGGAATTTTCAGCGTGCATTACAAAAGTGCATCTAATTACCTCATAAATTTTATAAGATTTTAAAAATAAAAAGCAACAACAACAAAAGAAAAAAAAATAAAATAAATAAAAAAGAACAGCATTGCATTCACACTTTAAACAATGCACCACAGGATATGAAATATTAAATTAGTGTGTAATAGAATATGTTAGCAACAATATAATAGTAATAAAGAAAGGAGAACAAAAGCCAATGGGAACTATTTGTTAGAGTGCCGCAGTAAGTTGATCGTGTCATATCTAACGGATTTCTCATCACATAACAGCTGTGCCAGATAAGGTATTGTGGAGATTTTGTACTTGGTAGTCCTAGCATATAGCCTCCTATAGTTGCTTCTAGTTCTATCAGATGAAATGCAAGGAGAGAGCTGCGTAAAGAGAGGGTGTTCGGGGTCTGACAATATGGAATTTGCTAGTTTCTTACATGACATTATATGTCTATCCACAATGGTGTTAACCAGTTGGTTTAACGAAATCCCACTTGCCCTACTAACAGCTTTTAGTGCCCTACGCAGCGAAGGAAAGTCTTTCTTAAGTAGTCCAGGAAAGATTAATGGGGAGCAGTAAAGAGGGATGGGTAGAATACAGGAATTGACAAACTGAGAAAGCAAAGACTGCTTTATACCAGACTGCCTTAACTTCCTAACGTAGAACGTTAAGCGAAACATCTTTCTAGTAACTAGCAAGATGTGAGAGGACCAGGAAAGATCGGAGGAAATACTCAGTCCAAGGTACTTGACATTAGATGTAGTTTCAACCACTATGCCGTCAATGATATTGGGTCATGTGGGCTAGCTAGTTGTTGTATGTCACGTTTTCGTCTGAAAGTGAAATTTACTACCTGACATTTAGACGGATTTAGCTTAAGACCGTTTGAAGGGGACCACTGACTAATTTCCGACAGAAAGTTTTTTAATTTGGAACGATCTGATTCAGAGTTGACAGGCATAGAGACAGAGAGTCTCCAAAGATGTGTCACTAGAATTTTAAATTATAAATGACGTAATACAGTGAGCGTTAATCGAGTTTGGCAGCTATAGTCAGCGTTTTCTACCCAAACATAACATCGAACTCTTACCCTCATGGTTTTAAAAAGGATAAAAGAGCCCTTATACCTGCATCCGTATTGTGGAACATCTAATCGATTCTGAACAGCGTGCGAACCTGGAAACTAATTTCAGAGTCATCTACAGAGTGGGCGAAAAACTTGTGAAAGGAGTATGTATCAGTCTTCTTCAAATCGCAGAAACGACGGTTATGACACAAGAAGTTCAATGCTGTTTGTATTATGGAGTCGTTATCTAAAACTTAAAATGCTAACGATAAATCTTTGGAAACAATCCTTTATTTGTTAAGATAATTAGCTTTATATAGTTGCGATTGTATAGCTTGAGAATGATATCGCTGAGAAGAATAACTCTTCACTGAATGCCTTTTCTTTTGAAATGAGCTACATAGCAAACAATTCTACATGTGTATAACTTTTTATGTAACACAAAAGTCTCTGAATTACTAACAACAAATTGCAGCCACAGGATAATTATGGTTAGACGAAGTGAAAAAACAATTCAAAGAACTAGCGTACTTACTCATACACGGTTGACCAGTTGGACACAGACACGCGTAATCTCCAGGACGATTTGTGCATACACCTCCTAAACGAGCGCATTCTCGACGAAGATGAGGTTTATCGCATTCATCAATATCTAAACATACTCGACCTTGTACATTTTCCAGGGCTACATTACCAATGCCTGTAAAAGTGTTCAAGTAAGCATTCAAGAAGGTGAGTGGTCAATAAATGAATAAATAAATAAAATACAGGAAAACTGGACTGGACCCCATTTTGATGGGGTTGTTCAAACATATCAGTTTCTTGACTTAAACATCTCATAGTACATTTGGAAGTAACATCGCCCTGAACATACAAAAAGTTGAACGAAAGAATTATTTGGTTACAGGATTTCATCATGAGCTGACATCATTTAGAGAACCATTGTAAAACCTGCAAGGAGTACTGGACAGCTGTTCCGCCCAGTTTTGGACTCTTTGGCAGTACGCAAACGCATAACCTTCTGGTTACAAGGTGAGCTCGTAGACCATTACGCCATTGGGACCCGATCCAAGTATGTTTACAGCTTCTTCTTTTTCTTCCTTTACGTTCACAGTGGAACATAGAGCTTCAAGCTAGAGGCTTTACCAGTTTTACTACTGGTTTAGCGAGGCAAAGGAGTGTGCCGGCCGGGGGTCGAAACCCGGACCACGTGAGGCGTGGTCGGCGAGCACTCTACCACTGTGCCACCGACACTTAACAGTCTCTGTGATACAGTATTTATCATTTACTGGATGTACGCCGAAAAATATTATTTGTTAATATTCATCTTATCTACAATGGTTTTGTGCGTCATCGCTTCAGCGGTAGAATACCTGCTAGCTACATCTTACGTGATCTGAGGTTCGATCCTCAGCTAACGCACTCCTTAACTTCATCTAATTAGAAGCTAGCCCGATAAAGATGGAAAGTTGGGCTCTGGACCAGCAACCTCACCCAGTAAGGAAAACACTACCGCTCCTGGAATTTCAACGCTGAAGCTTGAAGCTCTCTATATTCCATTCAGAAAGCAAAGGAATAAAACAATAATAGGATAGTTGCGTTAGAGTCAAAGCAGTCATAAAAGTATCCGTCTAGTCTTGTTATTATTTCTCCATTAAATAGACTGTGAAGAAGTTGACAAAATGTTTGAAGTTTAATAAGGGTATGCTAACACCTGTTACTCTTCCTAACATTCTAAGTAAATACTCAATAGACGGATAATACGCTGATATATTCGAAAAAATTTAAAGACAAGGCAACAATTTCTATATCAGATATTCTTCAGACTGCATATAGTAGATATAGAATAACTGGTCAGCTGATTAATTTCTTTCCCAACTTCAAATAAACTTAGAGAAGACGAAGGTGATGAGGATACCTAACCATCATCAACAACAACAACAACAAAAATCTTCGATTACTATCAACGGTAAGAATCTGAAGGAAGTCACTACTTTCACTTATATAGGCACCATCATTTCAACTAAAGATGGCACGGATTGAGATGCAAATCAGCTACATCGGGAAGGTAAGACAGACCTTCAATGTTCTGAAATCAGTTTGGAAACCTACTGCACTAAGCATTAGAAATAAAGATAAGGATTTTCAACGTCAATGTCTAATCAGTCTGTACTTCCAGATGGTTCAGAGACTTCCTAGAGGTAGAGACAAAAGCATTTCCAGCAGCCTGTTGCAGAATTTCATCAAAAACAGCTGTCTTCGCTGCATACTCAAGATCACATGCCTCGCGAGAAAGGATTAACAACAACAACAAAAATTCTGGGAACAAACCAACAAAGAACCTATTATTATTATTTATTATTTATTCCTTCACGTTCCCAGTAGAACATAGGGCTTCAAGCTAGAGGCTTGAAGTTTCTGTAGCAGTGGTGATTATTTTTACAGGATGGGGTTGCTAGCCAGCCTCATGCCCGACCTTTCCTCTTCACCAGCTTTATTTGTGGCTTAGTGAGGTAAAGGAGTGCGTCTGTGGCCGGGGATCGAACCCCGGACCAAATGCATGGTCGGCGAGGGTCCTAACCGCTATGCCTATTGCTCAATATATATTCCAAAGTAAATGGAGATGCATTGGACACACCCTGATGAGACAATTGAGTGATATCGCGTGGAAATCAATGAGGACGTGTTTCCAAGGGTGACGCGAAGATCGTGTGACGAGGAGGTAATCATGAAGCCAGCTATAGAGGACTAAAGAAAAGTGGATGAAATCGAAATGTGGTTTTTAGGCCCTATGTTACATTCAGAACCCAAGAGAATAACAGTGATATAATAATTACACATATAAACAACTGTACACATTAAACCATGAACACCGGTTATTTGTTGTGTAGGGTGATAAACTAACATACAACATTAAAAGTACATCTATCACGAAAAAAAAATAATGCAGGTGAATTACGTAACAAAATAATCGAAATGTAGTTAATGGGAAAGACTGAAATGCAAAATCATGTTGCTAAACTCACGATCTCCCATAGATGCTAAACGTGCTCTATCTTTTGGTCCAGCCAAACGATAACCACGCTGACAGATACAAGCATGTCCAGCTCCTGGATCACAAGAATGTTCACAGGCATAACGTTGACGACAGATTCGTGTACCAAGAATATGACGTGTATCAACCACATCTGTGTTCAATTCACAGGAAAAAGAAACCATATTTTGGAAAGTGTCATGTGTGAAGAAAGTGAGAAATAATTTGCATTGAACGGTGAGACAAAATATATATCCAGTTTTCATGGTTCAGACTGTACTACTATGTAAATAATTTCGCAGTGGATTTCAAAGAACATAGAGTCATTCTAGTAAGCTAAGAGTTTCTATTATATTGGTTTATACTGAATGAGATTTTAGGTAATAACTATCCCCTGAAATTCATCAAAACACTAATCAAGTGTCAAACAAAGGGCTCCACGAATCTAAACAGCTTCCAAAAAAGAGGATATGCATATATCTTTACTGTTCGAAGGGGGTCACCGAATTTTGATCACTAAACAGAAACTCAGAGAAGCAATCAACAGAACCCATTTTCATAGAGAAGACGGAATTTATGGTGTCTTTTACACCGATAACAGCATTCCAACGATAGTGTCACATCCCAGATTTTTACCAATTTACATGCATGTGCAGTTACACGTACATAGGGAAAACACTACGATCTCTGCAGATCACGACTTCAGAACGCATCCTTAAGTGACTGCAAAAACAAATAAAGTTATCTGGTTCAATCAATCCCAGAAATAGATATTCAACGTTATCCATCGCAAAGCACATCATGAAGTTGGTCTCAGAAGTACATTTAGATCGGCCGTACCATGCGCCTACTTGGAAAAAAACATGCTCGTGAACACTATCCAGCCTGGCTAGTAAAAAGAGAACGAAAACGTGTATGTAGTTCAACGACAGAACACCTGATCAATTCAGGACATTCAGCACCATTCGAAGAATCCTTCAAAATAATATACAAGATTCGATCAAACCTATCGAATGGAGCTAAATTAAGACATCTGGACATAGTCGGGGCACTAGCCATTCAAAAGCTCAAACCCACGCTATGTATCCAAAGGAAATACATCCAACCCTTATCCCTGCCATGACGATCATTCTCATTTTCTTCCTTATCCAAATTTCCTGTTTATTCATGTTATTTTTAAGTTTTTCTTAATCACTATTTACACTATCATATTTTCATATCCGAACTTCCTGTCTATTTTGTCATTTTATTATTTCTACATATTTAATCCCTAACTGCATAAACAATTATTCGTCACATTAGTTATGATCCCACTAGACCGGAAATTATTCTGGAACTTTCCCACCCATTTATTATAAATACACGAATGTACAGCCTAGTTAATGACTTCGTCAAAAATTATATATATATATATATATAAAGTGGGTTTAAGTCGTTTGTCTAAATCCATCAAAACCTTTGCCACAAAAAGGCTTAAATCTGTTTTATACAATCAAAGATTATTTTTAATTACTCTGAATCTGCCTTGGTCACCCAATTTTACATCCAGAGTTCATTTTGCTAAATAATATTTTCATCTCCCCTCTTTTTTTACCTCATTTTCCTACCTCTTATCTGTGATCGTGACCCCTAAACAACTTGATGTGTATATTGCTCTGCTGCCTTCTGAATTAATTTGTCTGATATTTCAAAGCCTCTACTACTACCGTATGATGACTGAGAAGTATATTATATGAGTCAAATCAGTAGATCGGGGTCAACTAGATTATTGGAATACAAAACTTTAGCTAGACCTAGAATAATTGACCCTGTTAAGCTAAATAGTCTATAAAAAAGCTCAGTCACTGCACTGTATTCACTTGCATTTATTCACAAAGTAGGGGGGGAAGGGGGAAGTATTAAAAAGTATAGTTAGGTGGAGAGAGAAGCTAATCACTGAATGGTTACAGGATTTCATCATGAGCTGACGTCAGTTAGAGAACCATTGAAAAACCAGCACGGAGTACTGGACGGCTGTTTCGTCCGAGTTTTTGACTCTTCGGCAGTACGTACCCATCAACGGCATTCAAACCCAGGACCTTTCAGTTACAATGCGTGCTCGTATACCACTAAGTCACTGGAACCCGATTCCATCTGTTCTCACACCCAACGTGCTTTACCCCAATGGTCACAACTTCTTATCAGAACCCAGATAAATGCCTACCTGAATAGGGCCAGTCGCTAGTGAGCATCGGACTGATAGGACGAAACAGCTCTCCAGTACTCCTAGGTTTGTTGATGGTTCTTTAACCGGTATCAGCCCATTATGAAATTCTGTAAGCAATCAAACCAACACTTGAATATTAATCGTTAAATCTTTGTTCATCGATTCAACACAGCACACGTAATTGATGTTTGAAGCACACTCATCGAATATAGATGTTTGTGATCAGAATGGCCGAAATGTGTTGCACAAATAGGCTACATGTTCTAGATAGATTACGTACCCTTACTTTTTTTTTTGTTAAAATTCAGAAGGGTCTGTTTCACACCTCATGTCTATCCCTGAGGTTAGTTCATCAGCAGAGAATATGGAATGAATCAGCTGTTTATAACAAAGTTACGCTTTTGCTGACATGAAGGGGAACTCAGACCAACAACTAAATTAAAGTTGACACGATTACTACCACAGAGGAGGTTACATGTTAAGTGATAAGTTTGAAAGACGGCGGAAAGGGGGAGAGAGGAAGCTGTCAAGCTATCAATTATCTGTACATAATCAAAAACCGATACAAAATTAAAACAAATTCAGCATTTAAGAAACTTAACTTACCATAAATATGAATTGAATTTCGTTTGATCGGTTCAGCTATTCGAACTTCAGTACCACTGGTTTGATTTAACCAAAGTTGTATAGTTTGAGGTGTTAAATTCGGCGATTTTTTATCTTTGTTTAAACTAGAAGATTCATCATGATTCATTTCACCTGCAGGTATCATTTTTTTCGGTAACCAAATTGTTACACGTACAAATGGAGATGTTGAGATAGAAGATCCGAAAGCCTTTGGATTTGTTGTTGGTGGTGGTGCTGCTGTATTCTTTGTAGTCGCTTTAGATTCTTTATTCAATGTCGACGGGTTTAAAGATGCAGATTTTTGATAGATGTCAGCTTTAATCACATTCCATTTGGTAATTTTTTCAGAATAATCATTTGATGAAGAAATTTTGTATTGCCTACTCCGATCCGCTGACTCTTCACTATTTGGATTTCCTATTACAATAACTATCATGAACATTAATGCAATGATAGTAAGAGTTGTAAAGCGTAGACTGAAATTATAAAACCAAAAAAAAATAATACAGACATGTAAGTAAGCGAATCATATTCATCAATCGATAAAATATGACATTTTTCTTTTATTGATTATTTTATATTTTATTCCTTTACGTTTCAAGTGGAATATATAGGGCTTCAAATTTTGAACGTTAAAGGTTCAGTAACAGTGGTGTTAAGTTTTTACTGCGTGAGGTTGCTATGGACGTCTTCCAAAAGAATGGATATCCACGGAATTTCATCAAAAGACATATACCCCCAAGCCAACCTATCAAATCAAAGACCCCCAAGGAAAGCACAAAGAAAATCGCCCTACTATATATAAAGGACATCTCAGAAATCACTGCAAGACTCTTCAAACTTTCAGGAATTGATGTCGCATACAAACTAACAAAATCACTTCATTCAGTTCTATGTCAACCAAAAGACGCAGCAGCGAAAGAAGATAAAATCAACATCGTCTAGAAAAAAATTGTAACAACTGCGAAAAACACTACATTGGTCAAATTGGACGTCCTCTTCGTCTTCGTATCCACGATCATAAGCTAGCCGTCAAAAGACATGACATCCACTCCCTCATATCACTACATACAGACAACCACGGATATCAATTAGACTGGGACAACCAAAGTACTCGAGTAAAGCTTTTCGATTAATACTTAGTAATTAGAATAAAACAGATTAATACACTCATAGTATTCATTACGCATCGAATAACCACACTACCACCCTAATTTCACTCTTCTTCCTAGCAGTGTACATCACAAAAGTCACACAAGACTGAATATTAGAACTATGCTGCTTAGATACTGAACGTAATCTCCCTCTGAATACTACAAATATAAGACTTGTGTAAATCACTGGTAATTCTGCTTTGCCCTTCCAAATTATTCTACATCACAATCCATCCACCGATTGCTAAAATCAAAAAAATAGTAATAGTTTAACCTCAGAACCCAAGAGTATTTGGCAACGGCATTATTATTTATTGACAGCCCTGTATACAGGTATAGGCGAGATATTTTTTTTCCTTCACGTTCTCCAGTGGAACATAGGGCTTCAAGCTAGTGGCTTGAAGTTTCACTAGCAGTGTTTATTTTGCAGGATGGGGTTGCTAGCCTCATGCCCAACATTTCCTCTTCACCAGCATTATTTCTGGCTTAGTGAGGTAAAGGAGTGCGTCTGTGGCCGGGGATCGAACCCTGGACCATATAGGCGAGATATGTCGATCATATATTGAAATCACAATTTGCACATATCTTCCGTATTGAGCTTCTCTGTCTTCCTTTCATGTTTTCTACATTTTATTTCACAAGAATCGTTCAATTCTTCTCTTCGTTATTAAATCCATCTCTCTGCTATTCGATATTCTCACAGAAGATATACAATATTTTTTTCTGTATATACATATATACTACTTATAAATCTTGTCAGTAGTGTGTCTTAGTTCCAATGGACGTTAGGCTGATGTTATTACAGTTTTGCATGAACAGGCTAATTTAATCATTGTAGTAAGCTAAGGTGATAACGTATGTATGAAATTACTGTCCTCCAAGATTACGATTATTATTATTATTATTTGATGAAGCCTCAGGATAATAAACGCAATACGACAGAATTTGTGGCTAAATTAAAGTTGAGCTTACACAAACTCATAGACGTAGACACACACACACACACACACGCATACACAGAGACAGTCATGCTAACAGCCTATGAAAAACGCATGGAAAGTAATGACAACAGAAATCAATAACTTGCCATTTGTTCGTAGAATAAATCAGGTCAGAAAAATATACAGAAGAGGATACTGTAGACAAAATTAATGAGGACTTGTACGTGTGTCTGTGAGAGAGAGAGAGCGTGCGTTTGTTTGCCTATGTGTGTTTATGCATACTTGTTATGCCCCTTAATGGATTATTATTATTATATAACGTGAACACACACCAGGGTAGAATTAATTCAGGTCATTTTTTGGAAAAATCTTCACTGCATAACAGCCAACATTATTAGTAACACTGTAAGGAATAGTAGTAGGAGTAGTAGGGCGAAGAAAAAGAAACACGATCAGGAATAGAGAGTTCATATCAGATTCAATCAGCTGGCTAATGTTGTTCTGATAAGACGCAGATAAACTGTGCATTAATCTAGCCAAAGAAATTTGACAAAGCTGAAGACCTTGAATGCCCATAAATGAACTGAAAGCCTGTCTGCTACACGGCCAGATGAAATTCCTGCGTGAATAAACACTGAAAATGGATCCAAACACCTTGATAGATATTATTATTGTCTCCTTTAATTCCTAGAGGAACATAGGGCTTCAGCCGTGCCTCTCCATTGCGTTCGGTTCTCTCCTACAGTCTTCACCTGGCTCCACGCCTGCCCACACGTTTTCATCTCCTCTTCACATCACCTCCTCCAAGTCACCCCACCTTCGCACTGACGACCAACTCGCCGCTTCCCTTTCGGGTTCCACTCGAGCAATGGCTTGTCTAGTGATGTCACTTGATGGTTTCCTCAGAGTATGCCCAGCCAATCCATCTCCATTTCTTCCTGCCTATTTGTTTCACAATCGGTTCCTGCTGTGTTGGTTCGCTCATTGCCAGAGATCTATGTTGCTGATCTTTTCTGACCGGCCATCTGATCTTGAGTATTGAGCGAAGACAACTGTTGATGAAGGTCTGTAGTTTGTTTGAGATGCTCTTTATGACGCGCAGTGCAAGTCTCTGATCCGTATAGTGAGTAGCACTGACTTCACATTTCAGTTGAAAATCCGGAACTTGTTTTTGATGCTGAGTGCTTTTGATCTCCACACAGACTTGAGAGTAGTGAAGGCTTGTCTTGCTTTTCCGATTCTCGCTTTGATATCCTCGTCAGTTCCGTCCAGCTGTAGTTGAAACGATGCTTCTCAGGTAGGTAGGTAAAAGAGGTTGTTTCTTTCAGGTTCCTTCCATTAATGCTGATCGTTGTCCTTGATAGATAACCTCACACTAATATTACTGAAAGTTTGGAAGGAAGGGAAGGTCACTCGTCAAATCATCAAAGAAGGGCATTGTACATCTTTGTGGAAAAAACTGCCGCGAAATCGTGCTGTTGTTTGTTCACTCCAAGTAAAACACTATTATGTCAAGTCATCCTGGAGAGAGACTAAAGGATGCACCGGATGCAGAACTCCATCCAGAATAAGCTGCATTCAGGGAAAGCAAGTCATGTGCGAAACAAATTGCAACTTTACAGGTCGTCATCGAATAGAGAACAGAATGTGGCAGGGAAATATCTACCTCAACCTAATCACCTTTGAAAAAAGGCTTTAACAGCGCTGACCGCAAAGCTATTTGGAAACTACTTCAGCGGTACAGAGTGTCCTAAACTGTTATCAATCTTAATGAACAGCTATATAATGATGCCATATGTCAGATAATTCACAAAGGAAAATTCAGTGAAATCTTTGAAGTGGAGACAGAATGGAGTAAGACAAGGCTGCCTACTATCACCGATGATATTTCTAAATTATAGTGGAATGGATCATGCAATAGACTATGAATGGGGATGGAGAACTAACAGAAAGACTCTAGAAGACTTGTACTTCGCCGACTATTTATGTCTAATGTCACACAAACTCGACGATCTACAGGTGAAAACCAACAGGTTCTTAGAAGAGACAAGCAGTGAAGGCAGGTCTTCAAGTGAACACAAAGAAAACAGAGGTGATGAAGATACCAGACTACTAACAACAAAAAACACCAATCACTATCAACAGAAGAAATTTCAAAGAGGTCAGCCCATTCACTTTTCTAGGTACCAGGATTTCAGCTACACGCGGAGGCACTAATGCCAAATCGAGCCAAGATCGGAAAGGTAAGGCAAGCGTTGGTCACTCTGAAGTCAATGTGGAAATCTTCCGCACTCAGCAAAAGCAACAAGATTAGGATTTTCAACAGCAATATCAAATCAGTTGTTCTATATGACTGAGAGATTTGGCGTCACGAAGAGCATTTCCAACAGTCTGCAGCAGACTTTTACCAATAGTTGCCCTCACCATATTCTGAAAGTTAGATGGCTGGTCAGAAGGGATTAGCAGGAAGGAACTCTGGGAACGAACCAATGAATAAATATTCCGAAGAAAATGGAAGTGGATAGGTCAGATGCTGAGGAGACATCGTGCGCCAGGCCGTTGCTCACGTGGAACTCAAATAGAAAACGATGAGTTTAGCTTGGATTGAAAGCCATATAGGGGCGTCGTGTGAGCTGGAGAGATGAGAGCCTATGGGAAGTCGTGGAGCCGGTTAAAGAGGAGGAGTTCAAAAAACAAGGTGAAATGGAGATGTGCTGTTTTCCGCTCGGAAGCCTAGAGAATAATAACATAATAGTGGGGAATTTTGTGCTTGATTAGTAAGACAAACACTTCGATGACGAATCCCCGGTTTAATAGCCGCAACGTATTCTTCATTTATATACATTATTCAGTAACATAGAACTAACTACACTTAAGTGACTTATTAACCTTTTTAACAAAACAATCTGCATGGTAAATTAGATTTTCCTTTTCCAATCAGTTATTCATTTACTTACTGTTTATTGACTTTTGGACCAGTTCTATCAGCACTTTTTAAAGCAGAACGTGGATTACTCGATGAATTCGATGAATTCGCTGGTAGAGTTAAAGAGGATCCAGGTGGTAAAGATTCAAGATCTAATTTTGCTGAAGATGATGCTGAAGGTAAACGTTCAAGTGTAGCTGAATGCACTTTATCATAAGACTTATGCGTATCCATAAAATCATTATGCAGATCGTGTAATGTCTGTGATATATCTGTAATTAAATCCATTTGATGATTTGATTTATTTGACATAAATGAATTTGACTCATTTTCTCCAGTCTAATATGATAAGAAAAATAATTAGATGAATAAATTTCAGTTAGCATAAATAATTTTTAGTCAATTTCAAAAAAAAACCAAACTGCTACATGTCTTAATTTCATTATCAATAATTTTTGTTTCATTCCTTCACGTTCCCAGTGGAACATAGAGCTTCAAGCTAAAGGCTTGTTTTTTCCACGATGGAGTTGCTAGCCTCATGCCCAGCCTTTCCTCTTTACCAGTCTTACTACTGGCTTAGCGAGGTAGAAAAGTGCGTCCGTGGCTGGGGACCGAACCCCGGAACATGTGCATGGTCGGCTAGCGTCCCAACCGCTGTGCCACAGACGCACACATTATCAATAATAAATATAAAGATTTCATCTTTGGTGATAGATGGCACTTATTTTATTTATTTTCATTGAAATACAAACTTGGGCACCAAGAGATGTGCAAAACGAAGTCTTACAGTTTCTGAAAGGGCTGGGGTACTACGAAGACTCCCGGACCAGAGAAGCTGGTTATCTAAAGGGGCCAGCCGTCCACCCCATTCCCACACCTTTGATTTAGAGTCCGTTTCATAGAGGCATGGAGCAGCCTCAGGGGCTACGTTTCCATGATAGATGATGGTCAAAGCAGGTTCATAAGCTAATCGGTCCTTTCGGATTCTGAAGACTTTTAAATACCGTCATTTTGGTTTTAGCTCCCCCTCTAAGTACACCTGGATGTCCACCAATTCGGTTTTGTAAGTGCCAGATGTTTGGATTCGCTTTTTCACTTTTGTGCGGAACACTTTCACCGTATGAAGACAGTGAACAGGACTTACCAAATGAGAGCAGTTTGAGACGGAGACCGAAGTCCACCTACGCTTAGCCGCTGTGGGTCATTTGTAGGCTCCAAAAGTGGCAACTATCAGTCATCATATGAAATATAATGTCACATTGAATGAATAAATCATCTATCGACCATTAGTAGGAACTCATGTATCTACTAAATTCATACTGAATCATGTCTGCAAGAGTGTATTAGAATGAAGGTTAACGATAAAACTGGCAATGTTTTGTTAAATTTCATCCTGAAACTTTTAAAATGAATATAATGGTATATTTGCAGAAGCACTTACTAGAAACTCTTACTGATTATTTGACACATGCAATCGTGAAAATGTATTCACTAGGTATTCTGTCTTGTGATTACTTTTGACGATTTAATTCACTAGGTGATAAGTCATGTACTTTGCCCTCTGAGACTATAAAGTTCAGCATCCATTCTTTATGGCAAGATTACAACAAAAACACGAATTAACTTTGGCGATTTGATCTGGCCAAGATGGTGGTCATTAGTATTGTGGTGAGAGCTGGCTGCTAGCCAAAGTTGGTAGACAGTAATTGACGTCAATGTTTATGTCCCCAATATTGGTGGTGAGAAAATGAGAACAAAGGCTTTGTGTAGGCGGACACAGTTAGCATATGGATGATCTGACACAGCCACAAAGAGATGCAAGGTTAACTTTCTGTGAGAGACAACCAATCAGAAGACTGCATTTTCTACTAACAATAATCTACAATAATGTACAATAAAATCTATAAATATGTGTTGATTTTCCTTAATAAACGATCTGTTGCCTGGCCCTTGTCTTCTGTTGTTACAGTATTAGTATTCTAGAAAATAAAATTCACAATCTAACTCGAAAGATAATATAATTTTAGTCCTTTGCATTCCAAATGGAATATATGGCTTCAAGCTTGAGTGTTGAAGTAGTGTCAGTGGCAGTGGTGTTTGTTTTTACGAGGTGAGGCTGCGAGTCTCTTTACTGGGCTAACTTATTGGCTAGTCAAGGCTAAGGAGTAAGTGGATCAAGGAGCGAACCTTGAACCACCTGGGAGGTTGGCTAGTATTCTACCGCGGCCGAACGGTAACAAACCTCTCAAAATTAAACGCTACATGAACCAACAATTCACTGACATCAGTGAAAGAAATCATTCCAGTTGAATAGTTTTCATATAAACCTCGGTATTGAATTGTACCACTGTAGATTAACTGTAGATCAACACACCGAATCAATCTTCAGTCTAGTGCAAATACTATGAACACTACTCACCCCTAATATTAACTAATTATAGTCAGCTTTTTAGACAATTTAAATATTCTCAAGATGCATCATAAACATAAACTAGTTCATAATAAAATTCAGATGTATTGCTTACAGCTTCTAAGTTTGCCTCTTCACTTTCGATACCATTTTCATTGTTATTATTCTCATTATTTATATTTGTTGGTGTTGTTGATGTTTGAAGTTGTTTACGTGATAGACTGACACTTCGTTTTGGTGGATTAGGACAAGTCTAAAGTTTGAGGGGGAAAAAAGTTGAAAGAAATTATGCCAACCAATAAGTCTCCACTCTTTAATATTATGGTAAATGAAAAAAGACAGTATACGAGATTTTTTTTAAATGCACCTGAGTTGTTATATGTGTAAAACTTGGGCACTGTGGTAGTAAGTAATTCCATATTAGTTTGTTTATTAGGTATATCACACAGTGAAACAGTATTATTTACTGGATGACGTTTCGAACAAAATTTATTGTTCATAATCATATCAATTGTGATCGCACGACTTTGACACTTGAGTTTTGTAGTTTTCTTTGTTTAAATGACAGAGCACAAAAATTAAGTAGTACCAAAGAAAATCTAAAATAGGAACTAACACACATAAAAGAAGCCTTAAAACTTAATAATTACCCGGATAAATTAGTCAGGAAATATGTAAAGAAAAGTAAAAATAAAATAAATAATGATAGTAGCGATAGTGATAATAACAATAATAATGATAATGATAATAGTGATAATAATAATATTAATGACGACACCAACAATAAAGAATCTAAATCATCAGTAGTAATTCCATACAAGGAAGGAACCTCGGAAGCCTTACGCAGAATTCTTAACAAGGCAGGAGTAAAAACGGCATTCAAACCCACAAACTTAATTAGAAACAAGCTTTGTCGGTTAAAGGATCCTGTAGAGCCTTTAAAACAAAACAATTTAGTTTATCTAATACCCTGCAATGATTGTCAGGTCAAATACATAGGTCAAACTAGTAGAACAGGGGCAGTCAAACTAGCTGAACATAAAAACTTAGCAAAATCTAGATTGGTTGACCCGAATAAGATAAGAAATCTAGAGAATAGTTCAGCTATAGCACTACATGCAGTCACACACAACCATACAATAGGATGGATGGGGTAGGATGACAGTTTTAAAATCTAATGTCACAGGGTATAGGGAGAGATTGATAACAGAAGCTTTGTTTATCGAATCAACTACAAATACATGTAATAGGAATGATTCATCACCTGTCCCCGATATTTGGAAAATTCTACTACCCATACGACAAATAGGAGAGAACAAAGAAAACTATAAAACTCAAGTGTCAAAGTCGTGTGATCACAATTGATATGATTATGAACAATAAATTTTGTTCGAAACGTCATCCAGTAAATAATACTGTTTCACTGTGTGATATACCTAATAAACAAACTAATATGGAAGCACCTGAGTTGTGTTTACCTGGCATATCACCTTTGAGTTTCAGTCGTATATATAGAGGGACCTCATTTTAGAAGACACAGAATAATTCCTTTCCACTCCCTTGGTCATGTACTTAGTGGTGAACTTTTCAGCGTACTTTTCAGTTCAACTACTCCTTGTGTGGAGCCAGTTATCCTAGCCATTGCATACTAGGGACTTAATTTTCCATGCTTGGATACACCCACCAATGTGACGAAAAAAGGTGTAGTTGAAACTATCAACAGTTCCATATTAGATCCCCCCCGTCCAAACAGGCTACAAAGTCACCTGTTGAAGAGTCTTTCTCTATCATCTATCAGGTATCGAATAAATTACGAAAGGCCTCTACATTTCGAACACTCTAAACAGCAGAGGCCAATGTAATTTGCTGAAATCCACCAGAGCTCCATGTGCAAAAGAAACAAGTCCAGCCAGTCACTGTTGCCACCATGACCTGCTGTGGAACTTCTATCGCTTCCCTTAATTTATCTGATATCCACCTTAGTGTTATACTGAGGCGTATTATCACCAACAGATGTTTTTCAACCATAATCTATTGACTCAATGTCATTTAAAACACTAATAATTCTTAATAACAATAATTCTTTTATTATTATAGTCATATGAAGGTAGAACCTGATGAAGAGCAGGTTTCGGAGAAGAATATTCTGTGTTAATTAATTAGTCTTCGAAGTATAAACAATTATAAAATTGGTAATAATAATGATTCTAGCCAGTGACTTGCCACAGGAGAGTTTCCTGGAGTTCTAGTGAAAAGTCATGACCAGTGAGGTCCATCCAGTCAAGTGTGAGGATGGATTTCCCACAGATGACATTGGATAGTGATCGCGCTAAATCACGAATTGGTAGAAGTTAGAATTCATGGACAGGCCACTGAATTGGGTCCCAATGGCTGAAAGGTATACAAGCTTGCTTTGTAACCAGAAGGCCCTGGGTTCGAAGCCCAGTGGGTGTGTACTGCTCATGATTCCCAAAAACTAGGATGAAACAGCTGTCCAGTACTCCCTGTTGGCTTTCAATGGTTCTCTAACTGATAGCAATCCGTGGTCAAACTCGTATAAATAATAATTGTATTAATAATAGGGCAAAAAGTTAAGGCAAGTAAAAACACTATTGTGATAACGACACTGAAAAAAGATTGTTATAAAAAAAAGTTAAATAAAATAGCATAAACACCTAAAACTATATACTACTGCTTGATTACAATGCGTAGTTGCATGCGACGCATATCAACCAGCAGTTCTGTTTACTAGCCAGTCAGATTATCAAAATGATCTAAACACGAGACGACAGTTTTACTCGTTTGGAGTCGAGCTAGTTAATCTGCGGTGTTCAGTTTAAACCGTCTAAATTCTAGCTAGCTACTTGGGTAAATTGGTAACACACACCTTAAATGAAATTTGCAATTCACACAGTTCAAAGAGGTGGAGTCTTATCACAATCTCCTTTGGAAAGCAAAATTATTCAAGTCACACTGTGTGATTACTCCTTATAATATCAAGCAAATCACATACTGTGATCTGAATAATTTCAGTTTCCCGAAGAAACTGTGGTGAAGTTTTACCTCTTTGAACTGTGTAAATTGTAAACTGTGAATTAATTTGCAAATTCCTAAAGTTAACAGTATTTCCTTTGGTAAGTTAGTCAATTCTATCAAAGTTACCTGTTTGGTAGTGAATAGCAGTGGAACAGATAGAACTGATATCACTTTGAGAACTGTTGTACACTACGGAGTATTGAACAGTTGTTTCATCCTGGCTTGTGACTCCTCGGCAAAAATCACGATAGTTCAGTGAATAGTGAACAGGTGCTTTACAAGAAGTTTGAAACTTCTTACCAAGATGAATTCATAAACTAACAGTGATACACTTGTCCAACTATTAACAGTTTTCACTGTTTCTACGTCATGTATGAGTTCATGATGAAAACATTAAAGCACGAAGTCATTCCTTCTACATGGAGCGGAAACTTGACACACGTGTCACCAAGGGCATTTCCAACAGGCCAGTGCAGACTTCTATCAGCAACTGCTTCCGTTCCACACTGAAGATGGAATGACTAGAAAGAATTAATCAACAAGAAACTTTGAGAAAGAATCAACCAACAATCTCTCGCCCAACAAGCATGGCAAAGGCAATGGCGATAGATAGGACAAACATGGGGGAGGAGCATCGAATGGCATCAAGTGCCACACCATTGATCGAGCGGAACCTGAATAGGAAACGACGAGTGGGGCACCTGAAAATGACATGAAAGAGGTCGTATAAGGAGGGGGGTGACAGCTTATGTATAGCCGTGAGACTAGCTGATGAAGCCCTATGTTCCACTCAGAATCCAAGGGAACAATAATAATAATAATCAGTAATAAAAATTAGGCAAAAACTTGATCAAAGAAACTGATCTAAATAATTTACTTACTTTTTGACTTGTTGAAGTCGAAGAATGTTCTTCACTAGAATTCCTTTTTCTTCTATCATCATCATCGTCATTAGCACTACCTGCTTTAGTCTTACTGTCTTTTGAAGTTTGTGAGATTGTCTTTCCCATGAGTACTATATCATCTGACTTCTTATTAGGCATGGGGTTGATTTCATCGGCTCCAACAACTGTTTGTATTGAACTAGCACTACTACTTCCAGTAGTGGAACTGATTGTTAAACCTATTTTCATAAATCAATAAAACTTTCATAATAACTAATAAAAGAACTCTGATAAAAACGTGTATAGACTGTATGCAATAATTTATTAAATGTAAAAGCTTAAAATTCATGAGAATTATGTTAGTGTGCACACTACATCTATGCATTACATATGTCCAAAAGAGGTTCACTTTTAAGTTTGAAAAAAATTTAAGCATCGGGTATATGATAATAAAGGTTTCTTGAAATTTCCCAATGAATGAAAAACAATGGACGATATTCTTTTTACTGACTTTTCACTATTTAATACTGCCAATAGCTTTATCAAAGTATTATTAAACCAGAATTTACAAAATCTCAGTATATATATGACAACTTAATCAGCGTTCCTTAGCATGGGGCCAACTGGTAAAGATAACAAAACCAGGTGTAGATTGTTGGATTTGATAAGTGTGTAAAATTATAAAAGCAGCGTGTGTTTACATAATTCGGAAGCAGAATCAGACATCGGTGAACTACCATTTCTAGACTGTCTAATTAAGAGAAGCGAAAACGGACATTTTAGTAAATCTAAATTCAGTAAGAAAACCCACTCCAATCAATATTTAGATTTAGAATCATCATACCCCATTCGTGCAAAGCTATAAGTTGTTTCAAGTCTTCTTAGACGAGCACACTCTCTGACATCGGATGAGGAAGAAAAAGAAGAATAAATATCAAAGATTACTGTGACTCTCAACACAATCAACACTGACATTAAGTATGGTCGAAAACGCGTCCCGAAAACATGGACCTCAACAGTTGTCATTCCATACAGAGCGGAGACAACAGACGATATCAGAAGAGTACTCAGTAGACACAACATCAGTTTTCTTCGAAACATCAGACACACTGCAAAGCAACCTTGTCCATATAAAAGACCAAATCCCTAAGGATTCTCCACCTAATTGTGTCTATGAAATAAAATGCTTGCAATGTGATGCGATATACATCGGACAAACATCGCCAGACAGAAATCAGAAGAAATAAACACCGTGGGACATCTATCTGTTCAGCCACCGAGAAATCCAGTTGAACTGGAAAAGCTTGAAAAAAAATCAGCCATAGGTCTACATACTATAGAATCAGGCCACAAAATTCATTTTGACAACAGTGAAGTAATCGAGAAAAATTTCAGAAATCACAAAGAACGTCTCATAACATCAGTAGCACCACATTTCATCAAATGGAATCCAAATTGTCTGAATAGGAATGCTGAAATAAAACAGAATTTGACCTCCCTCCCTCATAAAGTAACAAAATCAACACGAATGTGATAAACAATTTCATTATGTAAGCACACGCGGCTTTTATAATTTCACACACTTATCAAATCCAACAATCTACACCTGGTTTTGTTATCTTTACCAATCGGCTAATTTGACAACGGAAAAAATGACCCCATTCTGAGGAACGCTGATTAAGTTGCCATATATATACTGAGATTTTGTAAATTCTGGTTTAATAATACTTTGATGAAGCCATTAGCAGTATTAGCTAGCGAAGCGTCAGTAAAAACAACACCGTTCATTGTTTTTCACTCATTGGGAAATACAAAACACTTTTATTATAATGAACATCTAAACATTGTTATTAAGTTGATAAATTTAAGACCACTTCTGTTTTCTCTAAAAAAATCCACTGTATACATATAAATATATATATATATATTATCTACTCAGGTTTTGAGAAGAACGCAAGGCTTTAACAGCACATAACCTACTTCAATATGTTGGAAATGCTTTCGTGACACGCCAGGTCTCTGAAACATTTAAAAGAAGTGATTGACTCCTTTATGCTGCTGAGTGCAAAAGATTTCCTTACTGCTTCCACATTAATGAAGATCTGCCTTACCTTTCTCATCCCGGTCAGCCTTTACACCTTCATCTGTTCTGTCTGTAGTTAAAACAATGGTGATAAAATAAGTGGAGGAAGTGACGTCTTTCAAATATCTTCCGTTGATAGTGGTGCATGTTGTTGTTGGTGGTTGTGGTTGTGGGGTTTCTTCATCAACTCCGTCTTCTCTGTGTTCACTTGAAATCCTGTCTTCGCTTCCTGTCCCTTCTGTCAAATTGTGGCTCTTTTCACCTGTAAGCCTTCAAGTTTGTGTAACCTAAGTCATTTGTGAAGTCCATGTCTCCTAGGGTCTCCTTATCGATGCAACGTATTCCTGTCTTCTCACTCCCCAGGCATTTTCTGTTGCATGATCCAGTTAACCACAATTGGGAATATTATCAGTGATAGCGTGGTGAGAGCTGGCTGCTAGCCAAAGTTGGTAGACAGTAATTGACGTCAATGTTTATGTCCCCAATATTGGTGGTGAGAAAATGAGAACAAAGGCTTTGCGTAGGCGGAAACAGTTAGTATATGGATGATCTGACACAGCCACAAAGAGATGCAAGGTTAACCTTCTGTGAGAAACAACTAACCAAAAGACTGTATTTTCTACTTACAATAATGTACATTAAAATCTATAAATATGTGTTGATTTTCCTTAATAAACGATATGTTGCCTGGCCCTTGTCTTCTGTAGTTACAATAGTAGGAGGTGTTGTCTTAATCCATTCTGTTTTCACTTCACAGACTTCGCTGAGTTTTCCATTGTGGATCACTTGACGTGTGGAGTTGTCATATTGCTGTTGAATGAAGTTGATAAAGGTTCGTGCACTGCACACCGTAGTGTTGAAGTGGTTTCCAAATTACCTTGCCGTCAACACTGTCTAAGTACTTTTGAAAGTCAATGAAGTTGAGATACATATTTGACTGCCAGTATATGCTATGTTCCTTGATAACGCGTAGCGTTGCAATCGGATCCTCACTTGACTCGCCTTCTCTGAATGTAACTTGTTCGAGGCGGAGTTTCGCATCCTGAGGATCTTTGAGACTCTCCAGAATGACGCAACTGATTATTTTGCCTAGTGTGTAAAAGAGCATGATTCCGAGCCAGTCCTTGTAGAGGCTTAAGTCACAATTCTTTGGTAATTTAACAAGGTAGCCTTTCTTCCAACAACTAGGTACCTTTCCTGTCCTACAAACATTCTGTAATAGTCGTATGAGGTTATCCACTGAGGTATCTGGATTCATTTTCAGCGCTTCCGGAGGAATCCTGTCTCGTCATGTTGGCTTCACGGCCTTCAGTAGCTTTATGACAGTAAAGACTTCTGCTTTTGTCGGAGGACTGATGTTCACTGACAGTCCTGTGGCTTTTACTGGTATTTGTGAACACGTTGTAGGTGGTGGTGCCTTAAACAACTGAGTAAGTTACGATTATTATGAACACCCCCCCACACACACACACTTTGTCACAGATTCAAATCTACGCCAACAATCAGAGATAGAAGCAAGGATCAATTTGAATTTTGGCTAGAAAACTAATTTTTGACTGAGAACACAAAAATTAACTCTATGGAGAAAACAGAAATGGCAAGGTGAAGACACTGGAAAAGGTTACTTTACATGTGTGTGTGAAACGCAACCAACAATAATTATTTTCTCATATATAAATGTAGGAACGTAAAAATAATATGCTCTGCTTACGGTTAATTGATCCAGCGTTTGTAGATGTTGTTGAGACTTCTGAGAGTTTACTTGTTGGCATTGAAGAACTCATAGATGAAGAGGTAGAAGAAACCACATTAGATGATGTAGAAGTGGGTTGTCTGAATAAATAACTATGTTGTGGACAAGATGCCATTTCTGCAATCAAATCTGTAGACACATATGTTGCACCAGTTGAATTTGATCCTCCGGTTAGAACTGACAGTGGCAGCATAGTTGAAGCAGGGGGATCTGTAACCTTTTATATCGTTGTGGACACAATTAAAATTTAACGACGAGTAATTTAGGAGAGAATTAAGATACACAATCGAATTTATATACATATAAATTTACCTACTTCTATGGAGCTAGGTGCATAGGTCGTTCTATGAGCATCGTGTCAAAATGTGTTAGAGAATATTACCCAGACTGACCGCAAAGAGGAGACACTAGTTCAATCAGAAGTGATATTGTATTGAAAGCTATCTGTTAGCCAAAATTGTAGACAGCAACTGACGTCAATGTTTACGTTCCAAATCGAGGTCAAGAGAAAAAAACAATAACAAAGCTTAACCTTGATGAAATCACCAACCAATCACAGCAGACCTAGTGTGTGCAAATACGATTCGCAGATATATGGCCTGACTTTCTAAGAAACAGCCACATAGAGACGACGGAATAACCTTCAGCAAGAAAATAACCAATCAGAAGACGTTGTTTCTCTGCTAACAATAACGAATAATGGTGTTTATACGAGTTTGACCACGGATTGATATCAGTTAGAGAACCATTGAAAACCAACATGGAGTACTGGAGAGCTGTTTCATCCTATTTTAGGAATCACAGGCAGTACGCACCCACTGGGCTTCGAACCCAGGGCCTTCTGGTTACAAAGCAAGCTTGTATACCTTTCAGCCATTGGGACCCAATTCAGTTGCCTGTTCATGAATTCCAACTTCTACCAGTTCGTGATTAAGCGCGAACACCATCCAATGTCATCGGTGGGAAATCCATCCTCACACTTGACTGGATGGAGCTCACTGACCTAACTGATATCATTCCGTGGTCAAACTCGGAAAAATAAATCTAATCCTTACAAACCAACTCTTGAAAATGAATCTGATGCTCGCTAGTGACTTGCTACAGAACGGAGTTTCCTGGATTTCTAGTGAGAAGTCGTGACCATTCAGGTCCATCCATTCAAGTATGAGAATGGATTTGGTGGTCACACTAAATTACGAATTGGTAGAAGTTAGAATTCATCAGCTGGCTGGCCATTGAATCGGGTCCCAGGGGCTTGTGTTGTTATCATTATTTTTTATTTTATTTTTCTTTGTCATTAAATCATTTAGCCAACGAGTGTTTCGAATATTATCCAGCTTGTTTGAATCACTGGGCTACCTGAATCTGTAACCAATATACTGCATTATATTTTATCTAATTTTTATTGTCTCAACCACTCAGTTATGTCTATGAGCCACAAAATCTACTCATGTACAATTTGTATTGGCTTTCAAACTACTAAAGTACATTTCCCAGGGATGAGGGATAAGTCTATACTTCAAATCGAACAGCACTGTGTCACATGATATACTATAGATTGTGCTATTTGACTTGAAGATCCTGAATTACGAGAATCCTGTACACTGTATAAACGCTTTGTCCACAATAAAGCTGTATTTATTGTTGCTGTTATAATTATTACTATTAAGTGGAATAGTAAGCTTGTTAGCAGGTGTGCGTCGTAGCTCATCTAGCACAGTGTCAAGTTATTAATCCGGTTGCCACTGGTTCATCTTTAGTCATCACTGCTTGCAAGCTAAGCTCTGCAGACGATATAGTCCTTCTAGGCGAGGACGCTGACAAAATGCAAAGTCTTCTGAACACCTTGAGCAGCAATCTTCGTATGTTTGGCATGCGATTCGCCCCTGTAAAATGTAAGATGATGCTGCAGGATTGGACTACACCGACCCCTAGATTAGAAATAGGAAGTGAAGTGGTAGAGCACGTTGACCGCTTCACTTACTTGGGAAGTACCATCAACCAGTGCCAACGGGTTGATCTCTGACGAAATCTCAGCACGAATACAGAGGGCTAGTTTCGCATAAGCCAGTTTACGCCGTATCTGGCGTAGACGTGACATCCAACTATCGACCAAAGGGCGTGTGTAATGCTCATCAGTCCGCTCCGTCCTCCTTTATGGCTTTGAGACCTGGCCATTGAGAGCAGAAGACATGAAAAGATTAGCTGTCTTCGATCATAGGTGTCTGCGTTCTATGTCCCGTGTGAAGTGGTGTAATAAGGTGAGCAATACTGAGGTTAGGCTTTGGTCGAGTGCTAGGTAAGGAGGGGAAATCAGTCGACGAGACTGTGAAATTACATCGACTGAGATGGTTAGGACATGTGTTACGTATGCCTAGTCATCGCCTTCCTCGACGGGCAATGTTGGCTGATATAGGATCAGGTTGGAAAAGAGCCAGTAGTGGTCAAACCAAAACACGGCATCAATCAATGAAATCTACAGCAGTTAGTCTAAGCCACGTAGGAAGGTGTAGACTTCCTGGTTCGGGTCCTCGGGACGGTAAAAGCCAGTGGTTGGAAACAATCGGTGACATGGCTCAAATCGTTCTCAATGGCTGGTGCAGATGCATCCACTCCTTGTGACTTATGATTTCCAATTTAACTGTTTTGTTCTTTGTTATTACTCTACATTTGTCTCACACCTCTGTTTACTGTCTCTAATATGAATTTCTCCTACTTTCTTCTCTTGCTTTGTGTGCTGGGCGAAGTGTGGTGACTTGAAATGCCGCACATATGTGCAAAGTTCTATGTCGAAAACAGACAGACAGACAAGCTAAGTTTACCTCAAATGGTCTCACGACCAGTATATAAAATATCTGGTATCCTACTAAACAGTATTAAAAATTAAAAACAATAATAAAACTAAATTGTTCCAATAAGATAATTTATAAACTTTGTTCATATTTACTTGTGAATTTGCTGACATAAATGGTGTGAAACCTGTGGTTGACTTTGCTGTATCACCACCGACTACTTGTGGAATCATTTGAACATCTGTACTTCCAGAGACTGGATAAAGACCATGCGGCAAGAATAAGGTATTTGATTGGGCAGATATATTACCACCGATTGTAAAACTTGTACTACCTTCAGAATCGGACAAAATTCCACTCGTTTCATCTGAACCATGACCAGCAGGAATATAATGGTTTAGGATTTGTTGAGAATTACACGATATGGGGATTACACCAGATGTCATTGTAAAAGGCGGTACAGATCCGATACTTTGAGCTGTCATTAATTCTACCAGACCTCCAGATGCTGGATGACTAACGTAGAGTGGTACTGCGTTGGCAACTTTATTAAACAATGATAAAAGTGTACAACAATTTACGTTTAGTTATAAATGATGATTGGAGTAAAGCTAAAAAACAGACGTCGTCATGAAACAGCATAAGCCACACGAGCTGTTTAAAACAAAGAAACTATTCGAGACACTACAGTAGAGCTCACTTGTAGCTCTGTCAGGAATCCAACCCAACGGCATTCCGTCAAGAGGAGAATACTTCATTGTTCAGCCACTAGGTTGATAATAATTATCAAATAATAATGTCTTTATTGTAAACAGTACTTCTGATACCATATGGAATTTTCAGCATGTAATACCGAATCGCCTTAACTTCCTTACGTAGAACGTTAAACGAAATACTTTTCCAGTAGCATGATGTGAGTGTGGACCAGTAAACATCAGACGAAATACACAATCCAAAGTACTTAACATTTAGCTTAGTTTCAAATTCAGTGCCATTTATAACACAAGGCATATGGGGATGAACCAGTTCATGTAAGTCGCAATTGTGTCTGAAAATGAAATTAACAATCTGACATTTGGAGGGATTCAGTTTAAGAACACTTGAAAAGAAGACCACTGACTAATTTCCGATAAAATTTTAGCGAAGAAAATTTTCTTTTCGACGAAGTCATCATCTAGGCTATACATTCGTGTATTTATATCAAATGGATAGGAAAGTTCCAGAATAATTTCTGGTTAGGGGTCAAATTAATAAAAAATTACAATTAGGAATTAAAATGACATAACAAACAGGGGGGATGGGTGAAACTCGAACAAACTAGCATTATAATAACTAAGAAGATTGACATTGTGCAATTGGGGGTTAGAAATGTAGAAATAACAAAATATACAGGATGTTTGGATAAAAAACTAATATGATGAATAATTGTTTATGCAATCAGGGATTAAATATGTAGAAATAGTAAAGTGACAAAATAAACAGGAAGAGTGGGTATGAAAATATGGTAGTGTAAACAGGGTTTAAGAAAACTTAAAATAACATGAATAAACAGGAAGTTTAGATAAGAAAGGTGATGAGATTGTCATTACTAAAAAATTTTTACCTGTTTATGATGGCCATGGTAGGGAGAGGGGTTGGACGTAATTCTTTTGGATACAAAGTGTGGGTTTGAGCTTTTGGATAGCTAGCGCCTCAGCTATGCCCAGATGTCTTGATTTGATTCCCTTTGATAGGTTTGATTGAATTTTGTATATTACTTTGAAGGATTTTTCGAAAGGCGCTGAATGTCCTGAGTTGACCAGATGTTCTGTCACTGAACTGTTTACACGTTTTCGGTCTCCTTTTACTAGCCAGGCTGGGTAGTGTTCACGAGCGCGTTTTTCAAGTCGGCGCATGGTACGGCCGATGTACTCAGCTCCACAAGAGCAAGTAAACTGGTATATGCACGTTGAGGTGGCCCAATGCGACGGCTTGTCTTTCACGTTCTGGCTGAACAGTTTCTTGCAAGAAAACGTCAGTCGTAGGCTCGCGGCGAAGTATGTTTTCCTTAGGGATTTGCAGAGACGTTTGCGAAGGATTTCTGCTTCGATATCACCTTTGAATTCTAGATTAAGCAGAAGTGTTTTCTTTGGAACGGATTGGAATTGTTCTGAAGTCTTAGTCTTAGATTTGAGATTTCTGTCTATGAACCTGGGCGGGTTCATAGACAGGTTCATAGACAGAAATCTCAAATCTAAGACTAAGACTTCAGAACAATTCCAATCCGTTCCAAAGAAAACACTTCTGCTTAATCTAGAATTCAAAGGTGATATCGAAGCAGAAATCCTTCGCAAACGTCTCTGCAAATCCCTAAGGAAAACATACTTCGCCGCGAGCCTACGACTGACGTTTTCTTGCAAGAAACTGTTCAGCCAGAACGTGAAAGACAAGCCGTCGCATTGGGCCACCTCAACGTGCATATACCAGTTTACTTGCTCTTGTGGAGCTGAGTACATCGGCCGTACCATGCGCCGACTTGAAAAACGCGCTCGTGAACACTACCCAGCCTGGCTAGTAAAAGGAGACCGAAAACGTGTAAACAGTTCAGTGACAGAACATCTGGTCAACTCAGGACATTCAGCGCCTTTCGAAAAATCCTTCAAAGTAATATACAAAATTCAATCAAACCTATCAAAGGGAATCAAATCAAGACATCTGGGCATAGCTGAGGCGCTAGCTATCCAAAAGCTCAAACCCACACTTTGTATCCAAAAGAATTACGTCCAACCCCTCTCCCTACCATGGCCATCATAAACAGGTAAAAATTTTTTAGTAATGACAATCTCATCACCTTTCTTATCTAAACTTCCTGTTTATTCATGTTATTTTAAGTTTTCTTAAACCCTGTTTACACTACCATATTTTCATACCCACTCTTCCTGTTTATTTTGTCACTTTACTATTTCTACATATTTAATCCCTGATTGCATAAACAATTATTCATCATATTAGTTTTTTATCCAAACATCCTGTATATTTTGTTATTTCTACATTTCTAACCCCCAATTGCACAATGTCAATCTTCTTAGTTATTATAATGCTAGTTTGTTCGAGTTTCACCCATCCCCCCTGTTTGTTATGTCATTTTAATTCCTAATTGTAATTTTTTATTAATTTGACCCCTAACCAGAAATTATTCTGGAACTTTCCTATCCATTTGATATAAATACACGAATGTATAGCCTAGATGATGACTTCGTCGAAAAGAAAATTTTCTTCGCTGCAATTGTCTTTTTATTAACTCCTATGACCCAATGTGTATATTCCGTGATAAAATTTTACTCATTTTCGAACAATCTGATTGGGGGGTAACCGTTATGGAAATAGTCAGATAATTGTCATACTTACCAGAAGTGACTTCATCAGAATGAGTCAAGTCATGTAAGAAAAAAGAAGACAGAAGAAAAAGAGAAAGAACCGCACCCTCAGAGACACTAGCTAAAAATAAAACAGTGGAAAGCTTTCTCTTATGTACAGTGTACTGCTCCCAATCAGAAAAGTAAGAATGCAACCCTTTTATTAACCCAGCAGCCTGCTTGTGTCGCAATAAACCTGTTAAACAAAAGAGGCCTAGTTACACAGTCAAAGGCAGATGAGTAATCAAGGAAGGCATACTGAATATATTTGGCACCTCTGTCCAAAACCCGAGGCAATATTATGATGCAAGACAAGAGCAACATCTAAAGTACACGTGTTGGATTTATAAGCAAATTGTTTAAGGTGATTGAAAGCCTTCAATGAACGCTCACGGTTAATACGTAAAAGCAGTTTTTCCATTGTTTTTTAAAAAAAAAGATGAGGTAGTACCCTTACCGACGTGAAGAATCTAGAAGACCTGGATTTCGCGCGTAGATGATTTATGTTTGATGTCACACAAAATCGAAGACTTACAAGCGAAAACCGACAAACTGGTCGAAGAAGCAGCAAAGACAGGACTGCAGGTGAACATAGACAGGACAAAGGTTATGAAAATAACCAATTAACAACAACAACAGCAGCAACATCCAGCCCCAATCACCATCAACGGGAGGGATTTGAAAGAGGTTACTTCATTCACTTGTCTAGGAAGCATTGTCTCAACTACAGCAGGAACGGACGAGGATGTCAAATCGAGAATCGGAAAGGCGAGAAACACATTCATCAACCTGAAACCAATCTGGAAATCTTCGTCACTCAGCCTGCATCAACAACAAAATGATTCGGATTTTCAATACAAACGTCAAGTCAGTCAGTTCTTCTATACGGATCAGAAACTTGGCGGCGGGTCACAAAGAATATTTCCAACAGCCTGTCGCAGACCTTTATCAACAACTGTTTTCGCTCTATACTGAAGGTCAGATGGCCGGAAAGAATCACAAACAAGAAACTATGGGAACAAACAAAACAAGAACCAATCGCTCAACAAATATGCAGGAGAAAGTGGAAATGGATTGGACACTCGCTGAGGAGGCCGCTGGGTGACATCGCACGTCAGGCCAGTGCTCCAGTGTAACCCGAAAAGGAAGCGGCGAGTGGTTCGTCGGTGCAAGGGTGACATGGAGGAGATCGTGTGAAGAGGAGCTGAAACAGTGTGGACTAACATGGATGCAGTTGAAAAGTCCAGCAGAAGACTGAAACAAGTGGAGACGTGCAGTTGAAGCCTTATGTTCCACTAGGAACCCAAGGGAACAATAATAATATAATAAGTACCCATAGATCGAAACTTAACACCTGATGATTTTGGCACAGGAATAATCTTAATATCCATACAAGAAGCAAGTACAACATTAGTGCAAAGTGATTCATTAAAAATGCCGGTGAGAGGATAACATAAAATGTCAGCACATTTTCTGAGGATAATAACCTGAACCAAGGGATTGGGTAGGTTTCAAGGATGCTGAAGACAATTGTGAACCAAATAAAGCGATTCGTAAAGTATGCTTAAAAAGAACTATTGCATCACAAGCAACAAGTCAAGTGTTCACAAACACTTTTAAAGCATTTCATATATAATAAACACTAAGAAGTGAAATGATTTGACAGTGAACTTACTTCCACAGGACATTGTTCCTATAGACCTGTTTGACAATAATTCAGGCAGTGTTGTTACAACTTTAATTTGATCAGTTTCATTCATATTTCCTTCACATTCTTCATTAATAGTTTTAACTGGTTGACTTGTTCGAATCAACAGTACCGATGGATTTAATGATACTAGTGCACTACTTGGTAAAGCATGAGCAGTAGTCATTACTGCTTCAGTATGCACTTGTGTAATTTGATTAACACCGATTTTATTATTTAATGGAGTTTTTGAACGAGCCATTGTAGCTAGAACTGACTCGTCTAGAAATTCTTTAGCCACATGACGTCTTGAAGGCAGCGTTCTTAAGCGTAAAGAGCTTGTAGCTGTAGTAAATAAGAAATAAAAGTAAACGTTAATAACGCTTTGATAACTAAATGACTGCTCAAATTTCTCAAATGAATATGGCTTAAACAAAACTGACACAATTCGAAATTCGTCATTGTCTTTATGTGCATGTGTATATCATTATAATCGTTTATTACTTTTGTCTTTTCTAAACAACAGTAACTGTATAGTGGGACTAAAAGATGCAATGGATACAGAACTCCGCTCAGGAAAGCTAAAAATTGTGAGGATCGAATCACAACTCTCTGCGCTGGATTGTCGAACGGAGCATAGAATGGCAGTCAAATCTCTCCCTCAGTTTCACCGACTTTGAAAAGGCCTCCGACATCGTTGACGTTCATGAAGTCTCAAATCTTCTGTCAACTTCATTGAACAGCTATGTGATAATTTCACATGTCAAGTAGTCCACAAAAGGAAAACTCAGTAAAGCCCGTGAAGTAAGACAAGGTTGCCTACTATTGTCGTTGATATTCCTAATTGTGGTGGACGGGATTATGCAGCAGACTTCGCGGAGAGAGCAAGAAGACAGACATATATGGTGTTGATAAAAAGACTCTAGAAGATTTGAACTTCACGGACGATTTATGTCCTATGTCAAGCAAACTTGGAGATCTACAGCCGTAAACCGACAAGTCACCAGAAGAGACAAGTAGTGAAGAGAGGACTTCAAATGAACATGGAGAAGACAGGAGTGATGAAGATAACCCGAAAACAACAACAACAAATATCAATCAATCACTAACAACGCAGTAAATTTGAAAGCGATCACTTCTCTCGCTTATCTAGGAGGTAGCATCGTTTCAACTGAAGGCAATCGGCATGGATGAGGATGTTAAAGCCAAAATCACAAAGGTAAAGCATACCTTCATCACTCTGAGATCAGTCTGGAAGTCTACTGCGCTAAACATAATTAACAAGATCCGGATTTTCATCATCATCACAAGTTTAAGTCAGTTTTTCTTTATGGTTCACAGACTTGTAGCACTCGTCATCAATATTATTTTTGACAGGCTCCGGAACACTTTCATCAACAGCTGCCTTCACTGCTTGCATACTATAGATTAGAAGGCCAAACAGTAAGGATAAGCAACAAGGAACCAAGAACCTACTGTTCGACATATATGACGAAGGAGATGAAGGTGGATTGAACAGGCACTGAGGAAACTGTTGAATGAAATAGCACACTACGCCAGTCCTCAAGTGGAACCTGAATGGAAAACGCCGAGTTTCACTTGGATCCGAGGGTGACATGGAAAAGGTCATGCAAGGAAGAGATGTGAGCTCATGGTAATCTAGGAGTCAACAAAAGAGGAATGCAGAGAAAATGATGCAGTAGAGATGTGGTGCTTGATCGTTATGTTCCGGTTGGAAGCTGAGGGAACTATAACAAATAATAGTAATAATAATAATATTTCATAAAATCAATTTTATGTTGAAACTCAGTATACAAAATCGAGTCGCCGATGATATATGTCTGATTTCCCACAAACTGGAAGATATGCAAGCGAAAAGCAACAAGTTGACACAAGAAGCATCAAAGATAGAACTTCAGGTGAACATACAGAAAACAGAGGTAATGAAGATTCCTGGACAAGAACAACAACAACAGACAACGATCAGCATAAATGGAATGAACCTGAAAGAAACAACCTCTTTTACCTACCTGGGAAGCATCGTCTCAACTACAGGCAGACGGAACTGACGAGGATATCAAAGCAAGAATCGGAAAAGCAAGACAAGCTTTCACTACTCTCAAGTCTGTGTAGAGGTCAACAGCACTCAGCATCAAAAATAAGATCCGGATTTTCAACTCCAATCTGAAGTCAGTGCTACTCACTATACGGATCAGAAACTTGCACTGCGCGTCATAAAGAGCATCTCAAACAAACTACAGACCTTCATTAACAGTTGTCTTCGCTCAATACTACTCAAGATCAGATAGCCAGCCAGAAAAGATCAGCAACAGGATGGGATCTCTGGCAATGAGCGAACCAACCCAGCAGGAACCGATTGTGACACGAATAAGCAGGAAGAAATGGAGATGGATTGGCTGGCCATACTCTGAGGAAACAATCCATCAACTGATATCACTAGACAAGCCATTGCTCGAGTGGAACCCGAAAGGGAAGCGGCGAGTTGGTCGTCAGTGCGAGGGTGACATGGAGGAGGTGATGTGAAGAGGAGATGAAGGCGTGTGGGCAGACTTGGAGCCAGGTGAGGAATCTAGCAGAGAACGCAATGGAGACGCATGGCTGAAGCCCTATGTTCCTCTAGGAATTAAAGGAAATAATAATAATACAAAATCGACAGAAACATAGAAATAAAAGATTTTAAAAAACATCTCACCTAGGTTTTTCGACTGATTAATATTATTCAAATTCTGAACAGATCCCACGGCTAATGGATGATCGTCTTGACTACTACTACTACACTGTTGACCAACTGATGTATTCATTTGTTCAGAGTTGACAACAAATGGTTTAGCTAATTTCACATATGTGACTGATGAATTCATATTTGTACTACTCGACTCTGGTATTAAACCTGTTACAACACCATTATTAGAATTGGCTGATATTAATATCGGTGTACCAATCAATGTTCCATCTGGTAGTTTATCGAATTCAGAAGTGAAATTATTACTACTGCTCATTTCACCAGCTGCTACAACATATCGTGGAAGGGGATAATTGGACGGTAGGATGGTTGTTAACGCTGACATTCCCAACTGGGAGTTATTAGCCATAGACACAGTTGCATAAGCTACAGTTGGTGAGACATAGACCTGTTGTAAAAAATGGCAGATGAAAATAATATTATACAAAGATGATGATTGGTTGATCTATGCACTAATGAAGATGATTCACTTGAACAGAAGAGATTAGTGATGTTAGTGTCTCAATTCAATACAAAGTAAATTAGACAGAGTTACATCAAAATGCATTGATTTAACAAAGGTACAATAGTTATTTGTTTTCAATTCAATCTTGATTTTACCGTTGATTGAGTAGACTGAAATGTTCAGCTTCTGTTGATAGATCGCCTCCCCAGTACGCACGCCTCAGCAATGTCTATGGATTATCTTGAAGTGATTTGGTGGATGGTGACTAGCAGTGGGGATCAAAGACGCACATTTTGTCCTACTTAAGACTCGTCAGTTGAATGTACTGGCCCTTCCACATAGATGATGTTGTTGTTCCCACTGAGATTCAAGCCCAGCATCCATCGTTTCAAATGCCAAATCGTGATCTGTTGGTATTAGATGGTTGGAGGCAATCGGCAGGAAGCCTTGGACCTAGGTTTCGTGCTAGTTGGCACTCATCAGCAAGGTGTATCTGCAACCTTGAAGGAACTCATGTCCCTTCTGAGATTCGAACCCACGTCACCCAGTGCTGCAGTCAGAGACGTTACCACTGAGCAATTCAGGCTCGTGACTGACCTCCTGTAGGACTGTATTGGATATTTTTGATTGCATACTAGTTACTGACTAGTGTGCAGTCAAAAATCGTCATCTGCTTGGGCCACGAGAACCACCTCTTGTGGAACGAGTAAAAATTATTACTTGTTTTTAATCCCATTCTCAGTGGAAACACCATCACTCACCCGGGGAATGCACATACTTCCAGCTGGTGAATACCCGATGGGATGAAATCCGCATTCTGGTGGATTCTACTGCTAGTCACCATCTACCAAACTACTTCAAGATGGAATAGTTTACAAACTATACAGCTACAAAAATAATCTGCGGGGATCCGTTGGTTCCCACAGTGACGCTGGCAAATCTCCTGCGACGGTCGGTCGGTCGGTTTTCGACGTAGAACTTTGCACATATGTGCGGCAGTTCAAGTTGCCACAATCCATGTAGCACACAAAGGAAGAGTAGAAAGTAGGAGACATGCATAATATAGACAGTAAACAGAGGTGTGAGATAAAGGTATAGTTATAACGAAGAACAAAACAGTTTCATTAGAAATCATGAGTCACAAGGAGTGGATGCATCTGCGCCACTGAGAACGATTTTGAGCCATAACACCAATTGTTTCCAACCATTGGTTTTTACCGTCCTGAGGACCCCAATTAGTCAGGAAGTCTACATCTTCCTACGTAGCTTAGACTAACTGTTGTGGATTTCATTGACTGGTGCCATGTTTTCGTTTGACCGCCGCTAGCTCTTTTCTAGCCTGACCCTGTATCAGCCAACATTGCCCATCGAGGAAGGCGATGACTGGGCATACGTAGCACATGTCCCAACCATCTCAGTCGAAGTAATTTCACAGTTTCGTCGATTGATTTCCCCGCCTTACCTCCTGCGACGCGCATTATCCACCTTGGACGGAAATTCGCGAGAGCAGTTTCTAGCTTCCCAGTTCATCGAATGCGTCCCGCAGGGATATCGTTCATCAGTTGCAGCTAGTTCACGCCGCTCAGCCGATGGATGTTCACGAAATGGCAAAAGTCACAAGGCAACTGATGACTTTACACGTTGCTTGAGTGATGATGGAGTGCCAAGAACCCAAGAAGATTGCAGACCCGATTGAAGAGTTGAAACAGCAAGTGGCGGCTATGCAGATATGAGAAAGACGCAACAAAAGATGTTTTGCTTGCGGAAGAACCGGTCACTGGAAGACAGATTGCCGGAAACGAAAACCAAATAACTTTAAACGATACAGTCTTCCTTCTTCTCCTCATTTGCGTTTGGGGGTTGTGGGGTTAGTTGGAAGAGGTGCTGTGTACGGACGATTACGGGTTAATGGAAGAGAACTAGTCTGTTTGGTTGACACAGGGCCAGGAGTTTCTTCGATAGGTAGAGAACAGTGTGAGGAAGTAATAGCGTGGACGGCGAAATCTTCGCGATTAAATCAACCAGACAGCTCAGACAGTGAACACAACTAATTCATCAATATCATCCATCTGAGCTACAAATCTTCTCCATTAATTCATTGTTAAATTAAGATTTTAACTAAAGCAAAATGATTCCAAGATTTTTCAGTGTTCACTGGCCAGCATTCTACCACCAAAGCACCTGTTAAGTTGATGTGATATAGCAACTATTCAATTGTGCTGATCAAAATGTGCGGAAATTGGTCGTTATATATCAAGAATTATTCACAGATTCAAAGTCTGAGTTATGAAGTTACTTGTCAATGATATTAGGCACCTCGTCAGCATAGTCCGAAACCCCCTATTTATGGCTACTGGGTGGATTTCATAAAGCTGCGGGAGGAAGTAGTGACCAGTGGGATCCGCCATGTCAAGGTGGAGTGGACGCTCATCAAGGGAATTGGGGATGACAGTTCTATATCACAAGCTGACAGAGTTAGAGTTCACGGGGTCATTGAATTCCAAACCATGTGGCTGAATTGTCAACGAACTTGGCCTCGTAACCTGAAATTCCCCGACTCGATCTTTGTCTGGGTCATGGGAGCACAACACCGAAGAGTCCCAAAATAGAACAAAACAGCTATGCATTTCTCCCTGGTTTCCAGTTATCTACCTCTCTAAATTATATTGGTTCATGATGAAATCTAAGAATTGAAATTGATCTACAAGTCTGTGAATATGTGAAAATGGGGAATACTGGTTGGAAGCTTCACATTTGTCCAGTTTTACAATACGCTTAATAATTAAAAACTATTACAGATTTTTTAACAAAAAATGAATTAAATTCAACCTTAAAAAATATCTGATTATCATTATTATCACTGAAATAATGAATTATGAGTAAGCGACTGATGAGACCTACATGTGCTTTAGTCTCTGGAGTTTCTTCAGATCTTGAATGTGCAGTCGATATTAATTCAATCAGCTCACATTGATCCTCTGAATTTGTAGTCTTATTTGTTGCATTATTAGTTGCATTCATCTCGGTAGATTTCTTTCTTAAACATCGGTGTTCACCATCTATTTGACCATCCTTGGTAATTATAATTAATTTATGAAAAAACATTTTAAAAAATAAAATAAAATAGAATTTAAGAGAGAACAAGAATAAGCAGATTATGGTATAGACCAGAGAATGAAATCACAGTCATCACAATAAGTGTTTTGATCGGATCATTGAAAATAAAAATAAGTGCTCAGAACCAATAGCTGGAGACTGACTACTCATGACATGGCTGACAATTGTTAACAGTGGTGCAGATGTATTTACTTTTTGTGAACTCTTGTGTCCATTAAACCCTCATGATTTTCTTAATGTTGTGAGTATTCTTCCTTCCTTCCTTACATTTTTGTTTATTCTCCTTCTTTTGAATCTGTTTTTTCGCTAACTTAGTGTGCTATATGGAGTGTGACAATTTGAACTGTGTGTTGAAACTTAGCTAATATCTTCTTGCATGGGTGGTGGTGTAACAACAGAAGACAAGGGCCAGGCAACAGATCAGTTTTATTACGAAAACCAACAGGTATTTATATGTATTTTACGTACATTAATAGGCTTCTGCCCGCAGAAAGAAGGCGGTCTTCTGATTGGTTGTTTGCAAACAAACGCAGTCTTCTGCTTTCTCGTTTTCGATATTTCTCGGAAATGCGAGCCACTTGTCTGCGAATCATATTTGTCCACGTCTAGGTCAGCCGTGATCGGTTGTTGAATCAGCCTAGATTAATTTCTACCAATCAGCGTATATCAATGTCTACCAATTGGCTAACAGCTTGCTCTCACCACAGTGGGACAACACGTGCTACTAAGTTACTCAAACATCTCAATACATTCATTCGAATGTGTTTCAATAGCCGGTATAATAAGGTAAGTAATGTTGACGTTAGGCGTAGAGTGTTGGGCAAAGAGGGAAAATCAGTCGACCAGGCTATAAAGTTACATAGATTGAGATGGCTAGGTCACGTGCTGCGCATGCCTAACCATCGCCTCCCCCCCCCCGACGGACGGGCATTACTAGCCGATATAGGTGCAGGTTGGAAAATAGTAAGTGGTGGCCAAACAAAAACATGGCCTCATCAATCCATGAAATCCCTGACAGTTAAACTGAGTCAGGTAGGGAGATGCAGACTTCCGGGTTGGGGCCCGCCCTCGGGACTCTAAGAATCAATGGCTGGAGACAATAGGTGACATGGCTCAAAATCGTTGTCAATGGCTTACGCAGATGTATTCAGTCTCTGTAATATTCAGTCTCATATTCCTTTCTACCATTACTCATTCTGTTTCACTCTAATACTTGTCAAAACTCTATTGATTCTCTTCACTCATTTTCATGTCTATCTTTGCGTGCTATTTGGAACGTGGCAACTCGAACTGCTGCACTTCGGTGCCAAGTTCTATCTTGAAACCAGACAGACAGACAGAGTTTGAATAGCCTAGTGAAATGTATTCTTAATGTAGCACATTGTTCAACAATCATTCGGGTCTACACGAACTCAGCTGTAAATCACACTTATTGTATGACGGCAAGGTCAAAGTGTCTAGAGAGAAGTCTTCGAATCGTTGTGTGATGGTCAGTGTTCAGGTTCCTTGACCGATCAGTCACAATTCTACAGCCTATGATTAATAGCAGATCAGTGAATTAATAACAATTTTGATTTGACTCAATACAAAATGACAATAATTCAGTGTTGTACGGATATAATGGCATGAATTGCAGTAGACTGACTGAAGTTCAGCAAATTAACTAAATATTATCACGAAAGCATCATTGATGAATATTCCATAGAAATAAGACCCAGTAAAACTATTTTTAGAATGGAACAAAGAAAGGTGCATGTATCAGTTTGCCATCTAAAGGAGATGACATACAAGAAGTAGTTAAACAAAGACTTGAAAAAGCTGTTAAGAGAACTTATTTTTCCGTAAAACTCGTGTTCCTCAACACAACCAAGAGGGTGGTTCAACAATCTGGGAAAAACCGGTCACCAATCGTAGACACTTCAAACTGCGTATATCAATCTGAGTGTGTGTGTGTGGAAGCAAATACACAGGTCGTACAAAAATGGGACATTTGCCCTAGTGGTTGAAAAAAGCCGAAGTCAGTGTAACCAAAAGTTAAATAACAAAGCATCTTGCAGACTACAGGCAAGATATTGACGCTGTTAAGTCATTCACTGTTGTCAGAAGAAAAACAAACAGAAAGATGTTTGCATTTGTGGAGGTTTGTGCAACTAAAGTTTATAAACCCGGTTTCTGTGTAAAAAAGGAAATAGTGGTCACTCTGAATCTACCATGGTAATATCTTTAACTTACTAACTCTCATTATTATTAATACTTTATTACACCTGTTAGCATTATTATTATTGATACATTTATGACTATTCTTCGTTAGTAACGTTATCTTAACTCGTTTCATTATTTTTATAATCACTATTCAGTTTGGATTTCCGGATATTCTAAAATTCTTCCTCTGATATTATTATTATTGTTTCCTTTAATTCCTAGAGGAACATAGGGCTTCAGCCGTGCGTCTCCATTGCGTTCGGTTATCTCCTAGAGTCTTCACCTGGCTCCATGTCTGCCCACACGTTTTCATCTCCTCTTCACATGACCTCCCTTGGACGACCAACTCGCCGCTTCCCTTTCGGGTTCCACTCGAGCAATGGCTTGTCTAGTGATATCAGTTGATGGATTGTTTCCTCAGAGTATGGCCAGCCAATCCATCTCCATTTCCTTCTGCATATTTGTTTCACAATCGGTTCCTGCTTGGATGGTTCGCTCATTGCCAGAGATCTCTGTTGCTGATCTTCTCTGGCCGGCCATCTGATCTTGAGCGAAGTATTGGGCGAATACAACTGTCAATGAAGGTCTGTAGTTTGTTTGAGATGCTCTTTATGACGCGCAGTGCAAGTCTCTGATCCGTATAGTGAGTAGCACTGACTGACTTCACATTGGAGTTGAAAATCCGGATGTTATTTTTGATGCTGAATGGTGCTGTTGACCTCCACACAGACTTGAGAGTAGTGAAAGCTTGTCTTGCTTTTCCGATTCTTGCTTTGATATCTTCGTCAGTTCCGTCTGCCTGTAGTTGAAACGATGCTTCCCGGGTAGCTAGGTAAAAGAGGTTGTTTCTTTCAGGTTCCTTCCATTTATGCTGATCGTTGTCTGTTGTTGTTGTTCTTGTCCAGGAATCTTCATTACCTCTGTTTTCTCTACGTTCACCTGAAGTCCTATCTTTGATGCTTCTTGTGCCAACTTGTTGCTTTTCGCTTGTATATCTTCCAGTTTGTGGGAAATCAGACATATATATATCATCGGCGAAGTCCAGATCCTCCAAGTTTTTGTGTGAGTCCATTTTATACCTGTTTCCTTTCTCTGATAACTGGTTGTTTATTTAAGTGATGTAACTGAACCGGAACGCTTTACTATCTCAATTGTGATTTCACTGTTGTCTTAAAGGAAAATTGTTTGAAAAATCTCTTACGAATGATCTAATCATGATCTACGAGCTCGTCTTGTAACCAGAAGGTCTTGGGCTCGAACCCCGTTGGGTGCGTACAACCGAAAAATTCCCAAATTATGGCGAAACAGTTGTTCAGTACTATAATTTTAATGCCGTAAGCGCCCATGACTGCGTGGTGATATTGATAATATGTTGTTTCACGACATGATTTTGTTTGATTGAATTAAGGTCATTTCGACCTTTAATTATCTCCGGGAGGTGTTGTTGTTTGATTCCTGTGGACAGAGGTTTTGATCCCATATTGTTGGGAATATTCTACCACATTATAAGTGCTTGTTTTGTAATTAGAAATTTATCTTGCCTGTATGGACAACTGCCTAACACCACTGTTGAGAACCACACACAGATCCCAGCAACGAATAATCGTCTTTTTGCTGTCATTGGATCGTTTTGCGACTTTGCCTGTCTCAAGGAAGTTTTGTCAACTACACAGTAGAGTGCAGAGATAGGTTTCCTGTATTCAGACCGCAACAAGTCGGTTTCAGTCGTGACAGTTGTTGCTATCTTGGTGCCAAGTAAAGGTATGTAGAGCAGGCTTCGAATTCAAGCCTCTTAACTGATCAGTCACATTACTACAGTCGTAAAGATTTATGACAGATGAGTGAATCAATAAGGATCGCATTTTAAACCATACAAAATGACAATTATTCAGTAGAAGAGAGGTACAGTGACGTCGACTGCAGTGATTTAACTGAAGTTCAGCAATGCACTAAATATATGATCACTAAAGTACCATGGAAGCATACGTAGACAAAGAAGATAACACTTCAACAGTATTATGCTACCAAGTGATTCAACTCTTTCCTTATTGAAATAAATAGTGAAAATATTGAATGTAAATGCTTTAAAAACTTCATGCATTCAACATCTTTCTAAGATAATAATCATATTATATTAACAAAGCATGCACAAATATACATATATATATGAACTATCAAGGTAGCAAAAGGCTGTACAGATCTAATATAAACTTGTTTGATTTCTTAAAGAAACGTATTGGTCTTAAACGTTATACTCATAAGTATAAAAAGTTACATTAGTTTTCTTTTTATCATAGTTGAAGAGTAGTCTGACATTAAACAAAATAATTGTGTAAGCATTTGATGAGAAAATGTCCCACAAGTTAAATATTTCATGCATTTCTATGTGGGTGTGGGCAACTCTAAAGAATAGCAGCCCAAACCGAAACTGCCTAGCGAACGGATAAATGACCTTGAACAACCAATCAGGTGACTCCAGAGGTATTTATGGGTGCTTTACACCTTTTGCGTTGCGAATTCGCTCCAGATCTTGTTTTTGATTACTGTGTTGGAGAACGGACTGATAAGAATGTCGAAAAATTGCCAATGTGGAGGTGTCATTCATATGCAAAGATACAATAGGTGCATCGATGGGTTTGTTTGCTGGTGAAATGAGTGCCGAAGCAGAAAATCAATTCGAGAACGTATGTCGTTCGTTTTTAATTTACAGATTCCTTAGGTACTTTTGATAAAAAGAATATATTATCGAGGGA